GTCAACTTTGTTTTTGAGGAGACTGTGGCTCTTCAAAGAAGCGTCCTTCGACATCACGAGCAGTCAGCGAAAGCTCATGAAGATAGCGTAAGCCCGATTTGACTAGGGTTTAGTGCTAGGGTTAGGTTAGACTCAGTGAGAACCTTGTGCAGACCTAGTGCAGACTCGGTGTAAGGATGTGCGAATTTTGAAAGACCCTTTGCGGCCTGACTGCAGCCTTTGCAGATTTCAAAAGTTTGTTTTCATAAGGTCTGTTTCAGTCTATACGAGTATTGTTTCTTTTATTATTATTGTGTTATGGAGTGGGAAGAGGTAAGTAGTAAGTGGGGAGCGTGGGGAGGGCAAAAAACTAAAAAATATCTTCGAAGGGGGTAATTAAAAATGATTATTTGGAAAAATGGTCTCCCCACGCTCCCCAGTCAAAAATCAATCCTCCCCAAGAACTAGATCGAGATTCTAACAAAGTTTGGTGGAGACCTGGCGCGGACTCTGGTAATGGTTAGGTGAGACATACCATTACCGCGCGCCTGAAGCGCGTGGTTTCGAACTAGTTAATCACGTAAAATTGATGTTCAAAAAAAAATAAATGATTTTTGCAAAGGGTGGATGGGTGGGCACGGCTATCATGACGCAAAACAATATTGCATTTAAAATCTTTATTAGCATTTTTTATAAAAATCAGTGGATAATAGCGGCACGTGGCAACCCCCTATTTTTGCGGAAGTATGACGGAAATTTTGCAAAGACTGGTTGAATTTGCGGGAAACAAAAATAAAAGTACTTAAGGGGAAGTCAGTATAGTAATATGAAGAGGAATAAAAAGCATGGTCTTATATTTCGATGATTCCGATGATATATAAAATAATTAAAATGACATATATTAGTACTTAAGAAGATTGTGTGAAGATTAGTTGTGAAGAACGTCAAACTTCACCTTCATGGTTCAGTCTTCAAAAATTTTAGGGATGTCCCGAAATCTACGGGATTTATTGCGTGCCTGACGTCATACTTCCGCAAAAATAGGGGGTTGCCACGTGCCGCTATTATCCACTGATTTTTATAAAAATGCTAATAAAGATTTTAAATGCAATATATGCAGGGCGCTGATTTTAATCGATCGTCGCTCTTGATACGTTGTTGCATTGCTTACATGCCGCCGGATAGCTACTTGGGCCGATCAACATGTTGAATTGCTGGTTGATCGGGCTGTGCCGATCGAGGCGGCTCAGGCTGGATCTCTCTCTATCTATATATGTTCTCCGACCATAGAGAGCTCGTATATGTAACTTGGGACGACTGAACCAGGTCACTGCAGGTAATTTTGAATGACGGCGCCACCGAGTTTGGTACATATATCTTGTGCCATGCGGCACTGCCTGATTTGCCACCACTGATGTAAGAAGTGCATGCATGTTGTTGAAGTAGACAATGTTACTGCAGTTCATGAAATGAGTCAAGTGGAAAGTTGCGTGTGACAAGTTCATTGTTGACGAGCTGTATCGGTTTGCCATGCATGTATTACGGTTCAATTAAAGGTGCTACATTTCTGCCAGGCTGAGTTTTCAACAGACACAGCAAGTAACTGCAAACGTCTAAGATCACCATATGACTGGCGGGCCGCCCTTTGGCAAACCCCTTATCTGCAAGCGCAAGCAACCCAAGCAAGCGCCGCCTCTCTAACCCTGACTCACATGCATATTTGTCTCTCCATTTTCGGCAATCGCGTTCAGACAAGTACGATTCGGCGTTGAGAACCAACGCCCTCAGATGTCAGTGCGTCAACCCCTCAGCTTTCGTTTGCTGACAACAAGCTCGTAAACCAGTCCGTACTGCTACACCAAAAAATCTAAATCTCCATTCGTATAACAATCCGTTTCAATCGTTCCACAACAATCGAGCGTTGACACAAAAGAGCCCATCAAGTCAACCCCCATTTTCCGTTCCGTCCGAAACGCGCCCGTCAGGCTCCATTCGCCGCAGCCTTCGCTTCCGGCTCGTACGCGGAATCGTGTACCCCAGTGGCGGCCCTCCCGGAGGGGTCCAGCATGTTGGCCCACGCCTTATCCCATTCAATGGCAGCGGCCGTGCTGCACGCGACGCTCGGGCCCCCCGGGACGGTCAGCGCTGCGGCGTGCTGCATTAGATAAAAGACGATTGAATGCCTATTCAAATTGAACAAAAGTAGATTCGATCGAATCAAGTTGATTGCTCTGATGCTGGGCTGGGACTGTGATTCTGAATGCACGACCAAGCCGTTTACTCGACAGAAACTGGACGATTAGTATGTTGGAGACGCACAGAGCCCCAGCACGGTTAGCGCCGCAGCGGGATAGAATAACAGACGATCAAATGCTTAGATCTGTATCGCTGAGCTGGAACTTGCACTCTGACTACGCCATAAGACCCCATAAACGAAAGGGCTGGATCGGCGCTGTGATATTGACTGCGCATCAAAGCTGGCGAGTTTGAGAGCAGAGGGACAGTTTCATGATCAGTCTTCGGGTCAGTTGGCGAACGCTGGGTTCGCAATCAGGCGGGTGCGTGTTATCAAAAGCAGTAGGGGGGCGGCAGCTCCAAACCTCCGGCGAACGTTCCCCTCAGCTAATTTATTGTGGATCTTTGCTGAGTCTTCGAAAGTCGCTCAAGCTCCTCGTTCTCGATGTTTCCCGTCGACTTGAGACACACTTGGACGAATGCTTTCCTTCCTAACTGCTATCGGTCCAGAGTCATCCCGTTTTCAGATTCCCTTTGCTCTTAGCAGCAGATTCTCAAATGCCTGCTTTGAACGTTCACTATCAACTTGAGGTTATCCACAACCCGGAATTTGACAAAAACCTTTTCGGTTTTCCCTTTCTTTTAGCAGCAGCTTCTCAACTGCCTGCTATCCGACGAATACTGTCCGAAACAAGCATTAAAATAAACCCTGAAAGTTGAAACCCTATGTCCGGCTTACCTGCGGGAAGTGCTTCTCGAAGAGCGTCCGGTAGTAGTACCCCTCCTTCGTCGTGGGGCTGTTCACGGGGAACGCCTTCTCTGCGTGCTGCATCATCTGGTCCGTAACCTGCAGGGTTAAGGGCGTGGTTAGTGACTTAACCGGGTGGGGTAGGCAGTAAATCAGCTGGTTTAATGACGGTCAAAGGGAGCATAGCTGGGTGATATGTGTGCACGCTAACCACTGGTTCAACCCCCGGCTTGACTCACTGGCATCTCGGCAAACGCTTCGAGGCCGTTCCTTCAGGTTGATGAACACCATCGCTGCAGTGCTTCTCTTGCAAAAAAAGATGCAAAACGATGCGGCCTGATTGGCACGAGTGGCGCGCTATCTGCAGACTGGCCCGTGGGTTTACCCACCCGAGTTTTAAGCGAAGGGTGTGTGGCCGTCAAGCAAGAACGTATCAGGGTTAGGTGTTGAAAACCCTCTCTTTTTTTCCTTTCTTTCTTCTCCTCCCCCCATCCCCTCCCCCCCCCTCAAGGAAAAATGACAGAAACCAGCCCGCTTCAAGGAAAGTTTTCAAATCGCATGACAAACCGCAGGTCAAGGCAAGCAAACCCACCTGCTTCTCGGCGAAGTCTTTGAGGCCGTCGATCCAGCTGTATCCGACACCGTCACTGAATTGCTCTTTTTGCCGGTACAGAATATGCTCCGGAAGGAAGGGGTTCTCGGGGGTGTCAAAGGCCTTTCGGATGATGAACTTCTCAATCGGCTTGCCCTTGAAATTCTGCGCCATTTTGTGCTACAGAGGAAGGGAAAGGATGCATTTTTTAGATATTAATTCACTCGATGCTTTAAAAGCAGAGTATTAGACTCAGGGGCGTCAAAATCCCTCCGGATGATAAACTTCTCGATCGGCTTGCCCTTGAACTTCTGCGCCTTTCCGTACTGCAGGGAATGAGGAAGGGTTGCGATTAAAATACTTCTCACACGGTTTGGCAACCAGAGTGTTACGATATGCTCTTGGCTAGGAAGATATCAAGTAGAAAAAAAGTTTCGGCAGTAACCCATACTGCTTTTAAAAATATACAATTCCGTAAACCTGTCTCTTGGGTTCCGAATTCGGTCAGCTTGCAAGTACATATCTGGGCCACCCTAACTCTAGAGCACTTAACAAAGGGCTTTACATCTCGGACTTGTCTAGTTCGGCGCTTTATAAAGCAGCGGTTGTGCATTTTGACAAACCTGATCTTCTGGACAACCGGACTCTTCGTTGGCTTGCCCTTACGACAACAGAACTGCTGTTTTCAACTGACGCACTTCTTTGCGGTCCTTCTCGGGCACAATCGGCGAGTCCCGCTCTTCTTTTCGCGAACCAGAAACAGATATTCCCTTTGCTGGCACATCCTTTGGACAATACGGTACGACAACCAAGTCCTTTCCAATCCGCTTAAGGCTTCTTCTGCTCTTCCGTTACCAAGCAACCTACACAGTCTGACCGTATCCATCCCAGGCTATCGGCAATATATGCTTCGAGTCATGTAGAACAAATTCGCAGCCCCACTTACCCGCCGGTCGATGAAAACAACAACGTCCACGAACTCCTCATCGGAACTTTCTTCAGCTTGTCTGCTCAACTGTCGGAACCAAGTTACATCAAAGCAAACCAAGCAACATTTCACAAATTTCGCACTTCTGACGCTCAGCGATGCTTGCCTGTGGTCGATGGCCATGGCATGTCACTCAACCCAAACTTATTAGCTGGTTTGCCCTCGATCATTTCGCCAAATTGCACCGAAGCAAAGCGAGCAACTCTTCGACGTGCTTACTTGCGGGTCGATGGCCATGGCGACGTCAATGAACTCCTTATCGAGGAAGGGCACACGCGCCTCGATCCCCCAGGCGCTCGTCGACTTGTTCGCGCGCAGGCAGTCGTACATGTGAAGCGCCTTGATTTTGCGGCATGTCTCCTTGTGGAACTCCTGCAGTTGGAACGGAAACGGAACGGATCAGCGGAATTCAGATATATTGAGAGGGACCTGCGCCTCGATCCCCCATGCGCTCTTTGGCTTATTGGCGTGCAGGCAATCGTACATGTGAAGCGCCTTGATAGTGCGGCACGTCTCCTTGTGAAACGCCTGGAGTAAAAGCTGGAACGGAACGAATCAGCGGTACCAGAATACTGAAAGGAACCCGCGCCTCGGTTCGCCCCCAATCCCTCCAATAGAGAACGAAACACGAACGGTCTGCAGTTCTCGAAGGTGGGCGGTTCCAACAGCAGCAGCCGAGAATTGACAAGGAGTGGATGGATATATTGCGTTACCCTTTACGATGCCTTGATTTTGCGGGACATCTCTTTGTGGATCTCCCGGAATCGGAACGGACACAAGTGAATATGCGGAGTTCAGGAACGAATGAGCGGTGAGAAAAGACCTATCCTGCAGCGCATTGATGGTGTGGCGCGTACCGTTGAGGAATTCCTCAAGGGATCATGTAGGAAGAAAACGAAGGAATCAACGGAATTAAGAGGAGAAAATTTGAAACCAGACTGGTCAGCTCACCGGACTGGTGAACAAAAGAAGTGGCGACAAGAGGGGCCTTGTAAAAATGACAACAGCCAACGAAAAGGTATTTTCCGCATCTGCTACCATGGGTCGTAAGATTAAACATGGACCGTGGTGGAATATATGACCGTCAGAAACCTTAAATGTACAGCCTAATAGAGCTTGTACCTTATAGATCCCAAAACACAATCCGGGGCTGCACTTACCTGCTAACTGTGGGCTTTCCAAAGCCTATCACATTCTTGTTTCGAGCCCTGTTGTGGGAGTCGAGAATAAACCAAGAAAGAACAGCTTGACAAGCAAGAGACAACAACTTCCTTGTTTCCTTGTTCAGAAGGATCCTGACCTCCTTGTTTGGCGCTTTATGGAAGTGAGTGCTCGGTGTCGTCGCAACTTCCTTTTGTGGAGCTGCATTGCCACTTCAGAGTACAAGCGTAAGAAGCACGAGGCAAGGATTAAACACGGACACGAAAACGACGCTTCTGACCTCCTTGTTGGGCGCTTTATGGAAGTAGAGGTACCCCCCAAAGATCTCGTCCGAGCCCTCCCCCGAGAGGACCATCTTGACGCCGATCGCGCGGATCTTGCGCGACATGAGGAACATGGGCGTGCTCGCACGGATCGTCGTGACGTCATACGTCTCGATGTGGTAAATCACCTCCGACAACGCGTCTAGGCCGTCCTGTCAAGAATCAAGAACGAGGCGCTGTTGATCTGGACTGGAACATGAGCGTTTTTTTTCTTTTTTGAAGATCCATACGGTTCGCGAAGTGGCAACCAGAAAGACGAGCGTGAAGGGTTTTGGTAGATCGGAACAGCTGGCGCAATAGCAACCAGAAAGATGAGCGTACATGTCTTTGGAGATCCTAGGCTGTGCGCGCTGATTCTGGAATGTCAGAACTTATGCTACTTCCACCAATGCCTTCATATTGTCCTGTTAAGGGTGAAAGGTGATGCCAGTTCGTCGGCTGAAGGAGGAGTCTTGATAAGAAAGTGGAAAAGCGATCCGATGAGTAGAGGTAGCTATTTGGAAAAATCCGTTCAGGTTCTCGACTATGCCGCCTCTAGGAATGCATCCAATGGTGTTCTGTTCGAAGTGTTGCACTGCAAGCTGGCAGAAAGGGCCTGGATAAAATTGGCAGATTGAACCTTCAGTCATCTACTAATCAACCGGCCCAACATTCAATATTACGATCTGTGGCACCTCCAACGACGCTTGATCAATATCTTAACATGCGGTCGTTATTAAGTGAAAACCACATCCCGCCCAAAGGCCGTCTCCGGTCATAGGACAACTTTTGACTGACGTGGCTTAATCAGACTTTTGAGCAACACATATCCCCGGAAACAACCACAATTTTGAGGACCACAATCGACTAGAAAGTCTGGTCAATCTTTGCTCGAATGATTTGCCGCTCACCATTAGAAATTGCTTCTAGAAAGGCTACCTTTGCCCCCAGCCAAGCGTTGGTCGCACCGAAGAGAAAGCTTTTCAGTGAGAAACGCGAATGGGCTGGACGGGCGTGAGAAGATTGGAGGCAAACTTGGCAATATAGAAGAATAAGTTCTAGAATTTGAATATGCATACGGTGCTTTTTAAGCGAGGCAACGCCTATGACAGAATCCCTGACTGCAAATGTCGACCCTCAACGGAAACCCCGCTTCCCTCCCCAGCCGTCATTCCTTGGGATCGACGGCTACGAATTGATCAGAGTACGGGCGGCCATAACCAGCGCCTACAGGTCACTTAGTCAAACTCGTGTCTGGGAAACAATCTAACGTCACACTTTCCGATCAGGGCTTTCCCACAAAAGACAATTTCGTATCGCACCTCACTTTGACACTCCTGGGATCCAGGCCTCTCAACACGAGATGTCCCTCATGGGCAACTGACTTGACACGTCAACAGATGCGCAAAACAAATCTAATTGACCCTCAGCGTAGCATTGTTCAAGTCCCTGGTTGAGGGTAAGTCTAAATCAGGGTTCAAGTCGCAGGACTATGGTCAAGCCCACGCCCACCCGAGAGGGACCCAAAACCTGGCAGTACGCACCAGATGGAATAGTAAAATCAGCCATGTACAACACCAGTCCCAGACTTCAAGTTAGCCCCACCTGTAACGAGAAGGTGAATTCATGGTGCTCGGTTCCGAGAATCGCCGCCACCTCGCGCGCCGCCTTCAAATCGGAGGAGCCAGGGAAGCCCACCGAAAACGTCCGCAGCTTCGGTCTCTACACCCAACGAGGAGGGTGTAGCGACCGAATCTGCCACGTGGCGGCTTGCGAGAGAGGCAACTAGAGCCGGGCCCGAACTCAGGATTCTCACAAATCACACTCGTCACATGTCACACTTGAAGTGAAAACTCAACACAGATACCCCAACTCAACAGAATCGGTCTTGACCACCTTTCCTAAACACCACAATCGATGGGAGGCCCCATTTTGAAGAGCAGCTTCCGAACCAAGACTCGAATTAAAACGCAGTTTCAGATCCAAACCCGAAATCGACACTCTACCAAACACAGTTGCCTGCACCGAGAACGCGGACTCGTAAGGTCCGTGCCGCTGAATGTTGGGCATTCAACCGGCACTGTCAGAACAGCGGGATTTCCGCAGCTTCCAGCCCTGCGGCCAACTAGTAGGGTGCGAAGACCGACACTGCCACGCACGCTTTTACGACAGAAGCAACTAGAAAGGGCTTTAACTTCCCATCTTGAACTAAGACCCGCACTCCGATCCCGGAAGCTGCAGAAATACCCGGAACCTCTTTCACTCCAAGGTGTTTTTCCAGGCCCAACCCCCGCAATGACCCGTACAACCACTTCAAACGGCAGAAACAAGATCCAGAACAAAATTCAAACGCAGAGCCAAACCAGATCCAGGATCATCAACGAACCGAACGCAGTACCCGAAGTCAACCATTCAAGACCAATATGAAAGTCCAAGTCGAAACTCAACCCAAACCCAGAATCCAAAGTTCAGGACCGAAACATACCCAAAACCAAACCCGCACCCAACAGTGGCAAAAACAAGAATTTACGACGGTCCTACTCTAACTTTGCCAGCTCGCATTTTACCAAACGCACTGCATCCCCTGCCTGAACAAATTTCTCGCAAACTGAATCGACCCCATCAGGCTAGTCGACAAAAAGCTAACCGCCTCAAAACCCCCCAAACCCGCGCTTAACCCACCTGCACCGAAAACGTTAACTCATGGTGGTCCGTCCCCAGGATATCCGCCACCTCGCGCGCCGCCTTCAGATCCGGCGACCCGGGAAGCCCCACCGAGAACGTGTGCAGTTTCGGGCCCCAGACCGCGGCTTTCGTCTCCGCCAGGTGGCGGCTCGCGACCGAGGCAACTAGGCTGGAGTCCAAACCGCCCGACAGGAGGACTCCGAAGGGGACGTCGGTCATGAGCCGCTTGACGACCGCCTTCTCGAAGGCGACACGCAGCGCGGTGAGGTCGAGCGGGCCGGACGGGATGTGCTCGTCGAACCAGGGGGGGGTGTAGTAGCGCCGGAGGCCGCCTGAAGAGGACGAGGCGTGTGTATCTTTTAGACAGCTTCTGCCGGCTTTTTGAGACAAAGGGAACTATACAAGATGGTTCTATATGTTCGTCAAAAGTGGAAGTGCTCGTCGAGTGCCGGAGGCCGCCTGAAGAGCAGGAAGTACACATCAGGCGAAACGGGAACTTTCAAGTCACGTGGCTACTCTGACGGGTTTCCCTAAAGCGATATCGACGCGCTCCGCACCAAAACCCACTCTAAAAAACCAAATCCCACCCGTCTTTTCAGGCGCCTATCCTACTTCAGCGCCTGTCAACTTACGCGAACGTTGCCAGAGTCTTTGCACGCACCTTGCTTGCTGGAGTAGATGTGCCCCGGGGGAAACTCCTGGAACTGGTCGCACTCTGAGGTCAGCGCCTTCATTTCGGACGCGAACCATACGGAGCCGTCGCGGCCCCAGCCCATGTACAGCGGCGTGATGCCGATCGGGTCGCGCGCCGCCATAAAGTTGCCCGTCTTGTTGTCGAGAAGCACGAATGAGAACATGCCGTCTAGAAGGCTCGCCACGTCCTCGCCGACCTCTTCGTACTGGAGACGGAAAGAGGACGACATTTGCAGTTGTAGAGCATTATGGAACCAGACTTCGTAAGTTTGGAAGGGCAACCTAATGGCCGCCACATCTCCCTGCTTGCTGGAAAGATCGGATCTGAAAAACTGCCGTCTAGAAGGCTCGCCACGTCCTCGCCAACCTCTTCGTACTGGGGAGTAAGGGAGAGGGGAAATCAACTTCCAAACAAGACTTCGTTAAGGGCAATGCAATGGCCGCAATGGAGCTCCTATTATCTTCAGGTCAAGAGTGAACGGAGAGATCCGTCTGAATGGCTCGCCACGCCTCGCCCACTTCTTTGAACCGCCTCACGATTGAAGTTTCAAATAGGTCTCTGGCTCGGCAATGGAGCAATCTAATGACCGCCATAAGTTCCCTATTATTTTTTCGAGGAGGACCTTTGAAAAGAAGCTGTCGAGTGGCTCGCGGTGACTCCGCCAAGTTCTCCATATAAGGGCCAGGAAAGCAGTCGGTTTAAGCATCAGACAAAGAGACAGTACAAGGGCCCCATGGAAAGTGCGCCCCGTCCTGTTGTCAAGGACAAAGAACATGCTAGTCTGGATGTTTTAGGTGGCTTGCGATGCCCCCCCCGACTTCTTCCTACGAGCAAGAAGGAACTCTATAAGAGGGTTAGGTAGCCGACCAGCACAGTTCCTAAACTGCTTCATTGATCGCAAGTTCAGCAAGTCAATGAGAACAGGTGAACCGTTGAAGTGGTCGATCGAAATCCGTTGTTACAAGCCTCAGGCTTTTACTGGTAAGTTTCTGACAATGTTGCCGCCACTGTTGTGCTCCGCCCTCATATGAAGAAGAAAGGTGAGAAGGCTGGGGAAGGGAATCAACGTTTTCAAACAAGAACCACATTTGCCTTGAACGTACCAGATGCGGGATGACCTCGCAGTCGCTCCCCGTGCGGTACATGTGCTCCCCCGTGAGCCCCTTCTTGAGCTGTTCATGGTTGTAGATCTCGCCATTCACTGTCACAACGATGCTCTTGTCTTCGCTGTAGAGAGGCTGATCGCCGGACGCGGGGTCGATGATCGCCAGCCGCTCATGGGCCAGAAAGTTGTTCCCGCTGTGGTGAATGCCACTCCAGTCGGGCCCTCGGTGCCGCAACCTAGGACCAGAGAAAGTAAGACCAACATGAGCAAAAAATTGTCACTGATTGGTTCAATCATGAACCTTTCATGCAACTGTATGAGTAGTAAGGAGTAACATCGAACCCTTCATCAGAACCGTAATCGAGGTCGTTGCAACACGGAGGATACGAACTACTGGCAGAAATATTCTGAGAACCTTTTGAAGCAATGCCACCGAGTGATGTTGAGCTACGCAAGATTGAAACGACTGTTGAAGAATCTGTGAGTAGCATGATCACCCTTTACAGGTAGGAGAAAGACATTGACAGTAGCAAATCAGTAATGAAAAGGCTCGCAGATTAAAAGTCCTCAAGTCGGTGGACACAGTCGTTTTCCGAAGTTCTGCGTTTCTTGACGCACAAAACTCCTCAGCTTGCAGTCTTCTGCGCCAACCAAAACGAAAGAGCCAATCAAAAAGAAGCTAGGCCTTGCAAATGGAGGGCAGTTGCATGTTCAAACTGGCCTGGTCAACAAGATAGACTAATGCAAGGTATTCAGGTGCCTATTGCTGCTGTGGGTACTGCTCTGGACCTGGAACGGTGGCGCACCCTGCCCTCGACACATTCCTTCAGCTCATGATCAGACCGACTAAAATTGACTTTAAGGTGTCACCCTGTTCCTTCTGGCCACCTCTCAAGGACACGCTCCAATCAGAAAGTCGGTGCTGCCGCTTATTTGACAACTTATGAACCTGTGTGTTTCAGTGACAAGCTCTGGTTGAAATTTTAACCATTCGTGAGATTATGTCTTGTGTGAATCATCGGTGGTGGCATTGGGGTACTTCTGATGGACCCTACTCCAAAAAGTGATAGTTGAAGGGGGAACATTGTTCGGATAGTTCCTAAGGGCGAATCCGAGTCAGCCTTACGTCCTGTACATCAGACACTTTGAATGGAAGTGTTTGGAATAAAGTTTGGTGGCTCTGTGGAACGCTAGGCAATGCCGGTCCACTTGGGCGCTGAAGATAAAGGCTACAATTCCTAGAATATTAAAAATGCATGTGACAGCGCATGCAGCGTCCCTTGGCACAATCGTGGCGCCCGCCGGAGGTCATCAGCAAAAAGAGGAACAGTATGAATGGATAAACAGGAAAAGCATGACTGAACGTAAAAGGCGTGAAATCTGCACTTGCACTTTAAACCTTTTGAACTCTTTTGTTGATTCCTCAACATGATGAGTATCTAAAGGTGCTCATTCATGCCGCAATAATTCCTAACCAGAGTTCCCCAAAGCATTGGCCAAGCCCAGCATTTCGCAGCCTATGAGGAGGCGACATTGTGAAAAACAAGTTCAGGCCTTTTCTTTTGAGATGCCCCAAGGCCATAGGGTGCACAACATTGACCGCCTACTTGCTTGCACACCAATTCAGAAACGCGATACGCAACTCACTTCCGAGCGCAATCCACAATTTGGATTCGACGAGATGCAGATGTGTCCTGGCTCCCCAGGACCGCAACAATGCCGCACATCGTGCTCGTAGCTAGACACCCCCTCTTGCAATCTGCACAGCTGGTAAGGCTTTACGGGGGCCCAGAATGGAGTTGACGTACGTAAACTAATGCCGCGGTCTCTTTTGCTTCATGGGACTGCAGTGAAACAAAGTTACAAGCTGTAAGGCAGCTTTTGTCTGAAGAAAACCTTTGCAGGTGTTTGAATTTCTCAGGCTTGCAGCTTGTTGCTTGTGCAGGACGCAACTTGAACGTTCGCCTTCGCAGACATTGACAACACATGCTGCTGCGCTAGCCTGAGGGCTTACCCACACCATAGCGTACAAGCATTTCGCTTAGCCCCATGCTACAGCTGGACAAATGGGGAACGCTCCTCGCCCTAGTTCAGCGCCAACCGTTATCGATAACGGTCACAAGCGGGGATAAGACATTTGCAAACGCGCGAAGCAGCGCGATTTCGAGTTGCCCCTGTTTTGGAACTGCGCACGAGGAGCCTGTTTCAGCATCCAAGTCGCGCACTCCAATAGGACAGGGCAAGCTGGAGCAACTCAGTGCTTGCGCTGCTTTCATATTATTCATGACGGAAGCAGGGGAGGAATAACGTTGGGGCGCTTGCGCTTGCGAGTTGGAACTTGGAAGCCGGAGAATAAGCATTGCACTGCCAAAATTTATTGGGGAGAGAAGTAATGATGGACGACTCAGAGGAAGAGCCCGTGTGCCCTTTGTGCCTGGAAGAGTTGGATCTCACGGACCGTCATTTCAAGCCCTGTCAGTGCGGATACCAGGTACGCTTTACGCATTTCTGCCGCATCATACTGCCCCAACCTTGTTGAACTGCAGCAAGGGCAGTTTTTGAACGAATGGATTGCCCGGGAAGTATTTGTAGTTGTTATTGCGTTGCTAGTGGCGATTGTTCTGTACTCTTCTTGGAGAGCTCTGTAGGCTATATAAAGTAACGCCATCAAGGTTTTGCGGTGGATTATGATTCTGAGGCGACCATGGTACCAGAAATGACAGGGCTTCCCATTGCTTTCTATAGTGGTGTTTGCAGGGCATGATGAAGAGCGAGGGGACAGGGTGCAAACACATTTGAAGGTATTCTCCGGCAATCTGGTTAGCAACGGTGGTACTTATACATTCCTTGGGGTTTTCAAAAGGGCGAGTGTCAGGTTGCTGACAGATCGTGCTCTTTTTACTTGTCATCTGCAGATATGTCTTTGGTGTTGGCATCAGATAATGGAGATGGCAGAAGGGGAAGGAAAGTGCCCGGCGTGCAGGACACCGTACGACAAGAACAAGGTCACAGAGGCTTCGCAAGCTTTGCCGGAAGAGTGAGTTGGAGAAGAGATCAATTCCCGCTCACGCAACAATCTTGAGTTTGCTTTCATGACATTGGTTTTGCATCATGCTGTCAAGTTTATCGATCAGTTTGAGTGGTGGTATCTGGGAACTAGTGTACCTCCTAAATTCGACGTTGGTTGTTTCACTACCCATGAATAAGGTCCACTTAAGCACCTTGAACAGAATGGAGCTTCGTTTTTGCACACATCTGACGAGGTTTCCCAGTGTTTGAAGGATTCATCTGCAAAAAGCAGACCATTGAACGCCGGTTTTAAAGCCGATTCATTCTTTTTGGCGCCTGATGCAGTCTTACAGGTCTCATTTCGGAGAAGAAGCAAAAGGACAGGCAAAGCAAGGCCTCAGTGTCTGCATCTCGGCAGCACCTGAGCAGCGTGCGGGTCGTACAGCGGAATCTTGTCTATGTCATTGGACTGCCTCTCAACATTGCGGAGGAGGATGTGAGTGCTCTTATTCTCGTCAACTGTGAAAAATTTTGAGGGGAGCTTTGATAGAAACTCATGCAACCTCCCCGTGCTTCGTCGTTCCTTCGCCAACGTCTGCTTGCCTCCATAGACTCAGCAATGCTCTAAAGGAGTCAGTGTATCCGGCTTTTAAAACTCCTAAGGGCTCTTTTGACCACTCTACTCAGAGGCTCCTTCACAGGGCTCCATTCAGCGGTCCAATTCCCAGAATGTCCACATTGTTCAAAAGTGAGCTTTATATTCAGGCTGCTTGGGCCTTCATGTGCAGATTCTGCGGACAAATCAATACTTTGGCCAGTATGGCAAGATCCACAAAATCTCGACGAGCCGCTCGGCGGCGTACAATGCTGCATCAGGCCCTAACGGACCAACTGCAAGCGCGTAAGTATGGCAGTTGCACTTGTCACTGCCTGCTGGTTTGTTTAGGCGCTCTTCATGGGGGTTTCTGGTAGCTATCAGAAATGGGGTTTCTATGCTGCGATTCTGATTCGTTGTCAATTGACGGCTGAGGTTCAAAGCACAGGTGACATATGATTAGTCAGCTCATCTTTGTTGTCCCTATATATGTGTTCAACAATTGGTTTAAGCTCATCTTTGTATGCTAGTGCTGTCCCCTCACTTACTTTGAGCACCTCTTGCTCGTGGGTCACCATGTGAATCATCACTCTTTGTCATTATTCTGTGAAAGTGAATGTATCGAGAGTGGTCACTTGTGGAAAGTCAGAAGGCCCTTGACCCTAACGTCTGGAAACGCTCTTTACTCAATCCAAGTGATACCATGACAGGTACGTCAATTTTGTGAGGGAGGAAGATGCAGTGAAGTGCATCCAGACAGTCGATGGCGCCTTACTGGAGGGCAAGCTGATACGGGCCTGTTTTGGGACCACCAAGTACTGCAACTCATATCTGAAGCATGTGGTAAGCACTCCGTGCGCGTCTGTTCACTTTGCTAGTGGTTGCCTGAGTCCTATCTAGCGTTTGCTTTGGAAATGGAAATTAGCAAGTAGTAAGAGGCATGTTTGTTTGCTCCAGAAAAGTACTGCAGACAACCAATCAACAGCACGTTGAATGTAAGCAGCTTGATCCATTGTGCCTCAGCTAGACCTAATCGCCGCTTGCAGACATGCACCAATCCAGACTGTCTGTATCTTCATGACATCGGGTCGCACGATGACAGCTTCACAAAGGAAGAAATGCTGGCCAGGTATGATACAAGACTTCATGTTCCAACTCTGAGTATTACTCTCAATGAGTGACTGCTTGAACACAATAAGCGACTGCCTGAAATCCTGAATCCTGTCATTTCTTCTTTCTCTCAGAGAGGCTCAGTTTCTGATGTGTTTCTGTGGTACACTCCCCCCTTAAGAGCTTGTTGCAGTCTGTACAAAATCAGCTGAGTCATGGTAGCGGGCTGTTTTACAAAGTCTGTTTTAGACTCCAAGCTCCTGCAACCTTTCAGTGTGTCGATGATCTTCTGGCAGGGACGCTTTCCTGCATTGCTTTGAGGGTCTTGAGGTTCTTCACAGGTTTGTGAGCCAATCATTCACGTTTGACCAGGGTCCACGACTTGTCCTGCTCTGTCAGATTCTTGAAAGGCAAGGGGTGGTCTGCTTTGGTTCTTTCCTAACAAGTTGTTGCGTAGTTCACCTCTGTGCCAACGTTCTTACTGTCTCTTATCTTGTTCGTACATTGCAGCAAACAGGATTACTTCCACAATGCCACGCACCCTTCCAACTATAGTGGGAAGGGACTTCCTCCTCCCCCACCTTCTGATGGGGCGTCTGCTGCGCGGCCTTTGAACGTGAGTGGAACGTATTGGTGATATGGTTCTCAGATTCCAAGCGTGCATTTCTTGTTGAACAGCTGTTGCTCATCTAGCCCTAAGATTTGTCAGTGAATGATAGAGCGTAGGTCTCCCACGTTGCTTCTGTGCCAATTTTCATGTTCACTCGCCACAGATAATAATCAGGGCCCCTGTCAAAAGAACCCTGGTTCTCTGTACTTCTGACGTTGCTCTGAAGGTGGTTCTCTGTTGCTTTATGGTAGTGTTCGTTGCTCATTTTACGTTGTTAAAACCTCATCCTTTTGCAGATTCCCTCAACTTCTCAGCCGCCGCATCGAGAAAGCTCGGCCACAGTTGGCAGCCCTGGCCCGCAGGCAGCTTTGGCCGCTTCATCCTCATGGTGAGTCCACTGACTCTTTCAGCCTCGTCCTGGAGGTCAAGTTGCTTGAAAGCTGCGAGTCTCTAATTTGTCACCATATCCATTTTGCAATCTCTGGTTTGGCATCTCGAAATTGCTCGTGAAACACTCTTTTTCGATGCACTACTTTGATCTCGAGCACTCCAGTTCTCCCATTTGTTGGCCGTTGCTAGTTGGAGCAGTACATGAATCAAACACTGAACACGTCTTGAACCAACATTCCTGTCGTCTGTCCCATCTTCATAAGCCCCTGTTACTGTTTGCAGGGGCTCTAAGAGCAAAGTTGCGGGGCCTGCTCCCTCAACCAAGGTGCCCCCAGTGGCTGCGCCACCGCCAGCCCTCAAGGCGCTCAGGCCGGCAGCGGGAGCAGGGCCGTCAAGCAGCGCCGCTGTTGCGCCCTCCACATCGGCCTCTGCAGCAGGACCCTCCACTTCCGGAAAAGGCTCCTTTACCTCTCACAAGCCGTCCGCCGCCGTCCTCAGCGGCCGGGTCATAAATGCCAACGCGCAGCCCCCGCCGTTCATCGCCGTTGCGAGCCGCAACGTGGACGCGCCAGGTGTCAGCACGGCGAAGACCGTTACGGTGGCACAGGCAGCAGCGGCGGCAGCCCTCGCGGGGCGGCCGGTCACACCGGGGGATGCAGCTGGTGCACCGAATCTGAAGGCAGCGAGGCCGGTCACACCGTCGGAAGTAGTGGGTGGGTCGGGTGCAAAGGCAGGACGGCCAGTCGCACCGGCGGAAACAGTGGGTGCGCCGAATTTGAAGGCAGGGCTGGACCCAACTCCGAAGCAAGCGGCGGCGGTTCTGGCTGCGAGGACGGGCAAAGTCGGGAGGCAGGTTGTAGTGGCACATGGGGCACCTGAGGGGCCGACAGCTGGCAGCGCCGCGCCGAGCGTAATAAAGACCCTAGGGACTGGTCCCATCAGGCAGGGCAGTTTTGTTGCAGTGGCAAAGGCGGCGGCTGGGGTGTCGCTGGGGGCTGGATCGAAGCTGGTGTTGGAGGGGAGTCTAAATGCCACTGGACCGAGCCCCCTGGCAGGTGAAAGTTTCCCCACGCTTCAGGCGGTGATCAGTCAGAGCAACTCCCGCCCAAGCAGTGCGGATACAGGCCCGGGAAAGCAGCCTAGAGCTCTCCTCGAAAGGGGGGGGTCCCAGCACGAGGAGAACGTGGCGGGAGGGAGTGGAGCTGGGGGCCTCGGCGCCTGGGGCAAGAGCCTCGTGAAAACGTCGTCGGGTTTAGCTGCGGAGTCCATCCCTGCGGAAATAAGAGGGCCCGAGAAAGCAGGCCAGGGCGAAGGAGCGAGCACGACTGCAAAGATGGCAAGTGGAGGGTCTGAAAGCAAGCTGGCCGCAGAGACGGTTCTTCCAATTAGCACCACGAGGGCGCTGGAAAGCACGGCGCCCAGCGAAACGGCCCCGGCGCCAAGCCCTCTAAAAGACGTTTTGTCAAAGTCACCTGCCGGGAGAGTTGGCAGCCTGCGTACAGCTAGGACAGAAGCGGAGCGCGCGAGTTTAGAGAGCACGAGCGGGTTCCATTTTGAGCGGAGCGCCGAGATCCCGGTCACGCGGAGACCAAGCCATGGGGACGAGGGGCTCTTGCGCGCCGCGACCGGCTTTGGGTCGGGCACCGGGGTGTTTGTCCCCGGCTTTTTAAACCAGGATACGTTGTCACGGTCGTCGAGCCCGCAGCCAGCTGGCACGGGCGTCTTTTTGCCGGGGCTCAGTAGGACGTCGAGCGGAGGGGGGGGCTCTCCTTCCTGGGGGGGCATTGGCCGGGGCATGCTGCAGGAGAGAGGGGGGGGGATGCTCGATCAGGGGGGAAGTCCGAAGTTCAACCGACTGCTGGGAATGAACATGGAGGGGGGCAGTCCGAGGATCTTCCGGCAGGGCTCTCCGTTTGAGGGGGGCAGCCCGAAGTTCTTCCACCAGGGGGGGGTGGTGGGCAGCCCCAACTATGGCAGGCTGGGGCCTGGTTTCTTGGAGGGGGGGTCCCCGAAGTTTGGCCGGGGAGGGCCGTTCCAGGGGGAGGGAGGCAGCCCTGCGTACGGCCGTGCAAACGGGGGGCAGATGATGGGCATGCCCGAGATGGCGAACTTTGGGCGGCCGCCCGGGGGGCACTTCAACAACCTGGTCGAAGGAGGGAGCCCCAGCTTTGCGCGGCCTGCCATGTCCGCCCCCGTCAGCCGGTTGGCGCGGCTGGGGGGTCCGTCCGGCGACACCGACACCATTCCAGAGGGGGGCAGGAAGGTGGAGCAGAGCGCGCTTGGGGGGCCTAAGGAGAGCGGTGCAGGTATGAAAGAGCCCGGTTTTGAGCAGCTACGTCGAGTCAGGACAGGAAATCCTAGAGAGGAGGAAACCGCTAGGAAGGAGCCGGGGAGTCCGGGGGAGTCTAGCGTAATTGCAGACATTTTGGGCATGGAGTTCGACCCATGGGCGGACGGGCCCCTCCCTGACCCCAGCGGCCTTGCCAAGATTTTGCTAGCAGAGGAACGGGCAAAAGCCGCAGCGGCAGCAGCAAAAACGTCAACCCCCGGCGCACCCCCAGCGCGGCAGTCACGGTTCAAGTTTGCATGGGAGTCGGACGGGCCTGCAGAGGAGCCAGCTGGCGAAGGGGGAGTGCGCAAATCCAGGTTTGACTTTGCGGGCAGCTCTGACACCGTTCCCACGCCCGCTGACTCGGCGATGGTCAGTTCGAGCGCTGGCGTCAAGTCCCGTTTTGGGTTTACGCTGGAGAAGGACAAGGGCGGCGCTGACGCTGCCAGGCCCAGTACGGCTGGCTCGAGCGGTGCCGGTTCGGACGCCGGGGGCCGATTCTCACCTGCCCCGGGTTTGACGACGTCCGAGAGTTCTGAAACTTCGTCGCGGCCCCAGTCCGGGTCGCGACCGAGTACAGCGGAGGAGGATGGGAACACGAACGGCGCCGGGTTTGGTGCGGGACTTTTGCGGCCCGGATCTGCAACGGGCAAGCCGCTCCTGCCCGCCCCACCGGGGTTTGTGAACAGGGGGAGGGGAGGGGCGCCCGCAGGGAGCCAAGGTGACTTTCAAATCAAGTTTTTGCACCTTTAATGCAAGCTTCTCGTCTTTCTCTGACATCTTAAGCTATTTAAGCAGCTCAGTGTGATGGAACGGGGTTCATGTGTTTAGGCAAAGCAAAGGTTTGCAAGTCTCTGAGACTATTGGTAAAAGTTATTTCTGGCATGGAGTCCTATACGAGCTGGTCTCTGCTTTCAAAACCCTTGTACATTTTGTCGAGTTGCTCGTTGCTGCTCGCCCTTCTTGTGGCTGACGCTCTATGTTACTTTCCTTCTTCTGGTCAATTTTTTGGTCGACAGATTTCTCTGATGAGTTTGTCTTTCACTCCGACCGCTGGATTGGTTTCACGCGGCTTCTCTGCTGCCGCTTCCTTCTAACTTGGGAACAGGTTCTCTTGTTTGACTTTTGCGGTTTTCTCCATAAGTGCATGTGAAATTGATATTTGATGTCTTGCCTTTGCAGGCCTCCTTCCGACACCACGCCCGTTCTCCATGCGGCCCTCCCACGCCCCTTTGGGGGGCCCTCAACCACACCACCCAGCCCCCCCGCCAAATCCAGACATGGGTTTCTTCGATCCAGCAATCATGGCCATGGGGACAGGCAAGGCGTTTGAGTACAAACCACCCCCTCCTTCGAGCTCACCCAACGAGGCGATGTCCCCGGGACTGCTTTCGATCCTGAAGAACCTTGGCGGGCCCCCTAGCAGCAACCCTCCTCTCGGGGGGGAGGGGTTGCCAAATCCCGGTAGTGGTCTCCCCTTCTTCCCGCCCCCTTCTGGTCAGAGGACACCCCCAGTAAGGCAGCAGGGGTTTGGGGGGTTGGCAGGCCCCGCTTTTCAGCCCCCCCTGCAGAGTGAGCAGTACAGTCAGATTGTGACGTCGTCTGGCAAAGAGACGGGGCATGTGGATGGCAGCAAGGGGGAGGAGTTTCGGCCTGGTTCCGGGGGGGCGGGTCCGAGGAGCTGGGGGGTTTGGGGGTTAGGGCAAGGGCCAGCAACACAGACCGTGAAAGAGCCTGCGCCGCAAATGAGAGCCCAGAGGGGGGGTTTGAGCTCCATGATGGCAGCGATTGGGGGGGTGGGGACGCAGGCCTCAGCCCCATCGTTTGCCAGCGCTGTGGCTGCGTCACAGGGGGCGCACGTTCCGGGGTTTGCGGTTGGGGGGGTGCAGGGTGCGAACAACCCCGGTCAGAGCTCCTGGGCTGCGATCGCGGCAGTGAAAACGCCGGCTGCGGCTAAGCCGCACCCACCGGAAGCGGAGAGGAAAGGGGCGAAGGAGAGCGGGAGAGTCGACGGTGCAAGCCAAGAAAGGGAGGGAAATAAGCAGGGAGAGACGGGAAGTGAGGGGTTTGGCAAGGGAGAGAGGAAGGTGATTGAAGAGAAAGAGAGGCAGGTTGTAGCGGAGATAGGGGAGGGGAGCGATGGGGGCCAGGAAGAGGGGGACGAGGATGCGGGAAAGGTGCTGAATGAGGAGGAGGAAAAGGTGAGGAGCGTGCAACTCTGGTAATTTATTTTCTGCTTCTTTTGCAGGATACGGCTGCATTGAGCTCGGAAACCTGGTTACGGTGGCTGCTGAGGAACTTCAATTCTACTTTTGTTGGGTACCAGCTCTCTGCGATGCATGTTGAAACAGGGTTCAAGCGCCTCAGCGGGAAGTTTGGAGCGCCAAGCAAAGCTGGTCTAGAGAAGCAGCTTTTGTGTGGTACGTCCGACTTAGGGAATGTTACTAGCTGGACCTCGTGCCCTCCCGCCAAACTCTCACTTTGTTCGTTGCAAGCACGGGCGGGGCCCGCATGTATTCTTAGAAGCCAATTTCCTTCTCTGGTTTATCCTTGCAAGAAGCTGATTAGTTCTCTTTCACAACTTGCAGAAGGCGCTTCGGAAAAAGGAAAAGAAGCTCCGTAGAGAGCGAGAGAAGGCCTTGGCTGCGGAGCGGAAGCAGAAGGAAGCGGACGAAGCGAAAGCGCGGGAGAGGGCCGCATCCAAGAAAGAGAAAAGTGCAACAGAAAAGGAATTGGCACCCGCGCCCGTTAGTAAGCCACCGGAGGTTTCGTTAGCAAAGGGACCCGCTGCGAACGGCAAGGCAAAAAAAGAGTCTGGAGTCCCCGAGACGAAGGTTGAAGTAGAGGCTGAGGAAAGGAAAGGAGAGGCGTCAAAAAAGGGGCCTGAGAAACAGAACGGAAACGGAAAGAAACGGAAGGACGCCCTCGTTTTGGACGATATTGGGAAAGACGATACGTTGGGCGAGCGGGGGGAGCCAATTCTGCAGTTTGCAAAGGGGAGCGACGGGGGAGCCAAGAGCCCGATCAAGGAGAAGAGCAAGGTTGGGCTCAAAGCGCGGGCTCAGGACGAGAAAAAAAGTGCGGGTTTTGAGTCGGACGCCGTGAATGCGGCGGGGTTTCTTGCGAGCCTCGTGAACGAGAAGAAGGGTGTGAATCCGCCAGTTAAGGGGAAGAGACCGGAACCCGCAGCCGCGAAACCGGGGAATCTACACCAGGAGAAGAAAAGCGGGGACAATAAAGCGGGCAGTGCTCCAATCGGCGTTCCCATCGGGCCGTTTGGGATGCCGGTCGGGGCGAACATGGTGTTCGGGTCCGGTAGCACGGAGTTTACTGCTCAGGGGTTAGGGTTTAACCTGTCCGCTAACCAGGTGTTTCCCCAGAACTGGCAGGGCTCGAACATGAACGGAATGGCGGAGGGGATCAAGGCGGGGTTAAGCCTGAGCGCGCTTTTGCAGCAGCAGTTGGAGTTGCAGTTGCAGCAGAATCAGGGGGCGCCGCCGGCGGAGGGGGTGGGGGGCAAGAGGAGTAGGGGCTATGCCGAGGCGCCAGCTGGCGGGGGCGGCAGCAAGGACTTCGGGCTCCCAGCAGCCGCGGCGCGCGCAGCAGGTAAGGGACCTGACCATATTCTGGGGCGCTAAGTTTTGTCCGAGTGTGCGTATGTACCAACTCTGGTTAGGTTTTTGACTTGAGTCGCTGATCTGCTGTGTAATTTGGGTTTCTCTCTTGTCGTGGTTGCGTCTCCGAAGATGGTCCTCAAAGCAGACAGGTATCTTGTTTGCATTGGAGTACTTCGCAACCGTCGGTCGCTATACTGCGTTTGTCTGATCAGTTTCTGTATGCCTCTGTCACTCGCAGTACGGCCGGCCCCGGGATCACGTCGATATCTCAAAAGCGCAGATCAAATAACAGACTAAAGGCTTTTGAAAAAGCACTTGACGCGTCAGAAGCATCCAAATTATGAGTACCTCTCCTTTTTGCGCAGCCCGCGTGTTTCGCATGGCAGCCGACTTCGTGATGGACGACGGCAGCAGCAGCTCGGGCGAGAGTTTTACCACAAGCGCTGGCACCGGGCGGCACGGAAATGTGAACGGGGGCGCCGGCTTCGGTGTGAACAACCTCCCGGACGTGTACCAGTTCTCAGCGACCAGCTCAGCGGAGAGAGCGGTCGCCGCTGCAGCCGCTTGGGAGCACGGGTTACGGGGACCGGAAGCCGCGGTTAGCAACGGAAATGCGCACAACCCGTTGCTGTCGCAGGTGCGAGATCTTTGAGTGGAGTAACCTCTGTTTGTGCAAGTTGAAGAATAGGAACGAGTTGTGTGGTTGACGTTGTGGAGTCGGTTTTGCCGATTACTTTGGGATTTGGGCATCCAGCATCTGGGCATCTCAAAACTGCGCCAGTACTGCCTTCGGGCAATGCAAAAAGCGCCAAAATTTGGGATGTCGTTTTAAGTATTACCTGCGATTGGGGTGACAAAGTATCCAAGCGCTGACCGGTTCGCCATTGTTCCCAGGTGGATTTTGGTGCTCAAGTCGTTTGCCGTCGTTTTGTTGACATGTCACCTCGTGCAGCTGTTTCTCACTAACTTCTGCGCACTGGAACTCGCAGAAAGCGAAGCAGCGCCACTTCGCTGCCAAGCTGCTGCAGACATATGCTGCGAAAGGTACATCTCAAGCAGACTTCAAAGTTCTGCGGGCAAAGAACAGAAAATGTGTTTTTTGTCGTCCAGGTTGACGCCTTGGAGCGAGAAGTCGAAAACGCGCGCGAAGTCGAACGAAAGTTGGAGAACAAGCTTATGGAGGTGAGCAAAGCAGTCGCTGGTATTGCTGAAAGGGTCTGGCTGCCGATAGGTGCTTGCTTTGAGTGAGGCCGACGAACAAGTGTGTTACTGAAGCGACTAGGTATGCTGAACGTTTCGGACTCTCTGCAGTCTGCTAATGCTCGTTTTCATTCTGACCAACAGTGCGTCTGGCTCTCCAGATAAGCAATGTGTATAAGCTTGCCATGCAGCTCGAAGCTGATTGGTTCGACTTGATCCTCCTTTGCAGGTGAAACAATGGATTGATCAAGACGATGCGGTTCTGGAAAATATCACCAGCTCATATGCCGCAACAGCAGCCGAGACTAAAGGGGCATTCTGATCTTGTAATTTCAAAGTGTCTGATTTGGCTGGGCCACGGGCCGCAGGGGTTGTAGGCAATTTCACGATTCGCATGAGGTTGCATTATCCAAACAATGTGAATTTTGAACTCAAAGGAGGCTGGCAGAACTTTTGCACGAATCGAAGGTCCCCAAGTCTTGACGCCTCTTTGGTACTAGCGCTTGTCAAGTGCATCTTGCTCTTTAATAATTCCGCATGTTTCATCACTCTAGTTCGCTCCATGTCATCTATCGCCGGGAGTGAGCATAGGCATGATGGTACTCTGCCGGTTCAATTCACCTCCGGCTTCGAACCTATTGCCATAGCGAGCCTGCTAAGCTCCTCCAAGGGTCAAGATGCAAAATGCGCTGGCTCTGTGGGAAGGCCGGCATGTCCGACTTGGGGGTTTGTCCGTGAGTCTGTAAAGGACTAGAGCACGTACGTGTAGAAATCACATGGCGGAATCGGTACAATAAAATCTAAGAATCTATGTTACCCTCGTACGCATTGCGCGCATGAGCACATATTGACACATACGCACATGTGCATGCAAACGTACGTACGTTGTCAATGTAAAATGTGCGTTAATTCGAAAGATGATCATTGGGCCACATGCGCTGGCGCATGTCGCAGAGCCCGCGCTCTGTAGAACGCATTTACACTTGTTAAGGATCAAGCTTCGGAAGCCGCTAGGCGCTGCACCGCGACCGTAGTGCATGTTAATGATCGTCTAGTGCATACTAAAGCGAACCATGTTGAGTTGATCCGCCACGTACCCAACACCGCCTCTGTAAGCTCGCCAAGCTATAGCTTGCATGAAATTCTCACAATACGACTCGATCTCCGTGACAGCTTTGCAGCTGAAACTCTCCTTGCTGATTATGTGCGGTGGCAGACACTGATTCGAAGGAGCCGCCAGCACGATCTCGTCACTATATAGCTGCCTGTCAGCTCCAGCGATTACCGCACAGTAGCCAAAGGTTTTTGGTGCAGATTGGAGAATCGCATGCTCGCGTGTCAAGAAGACGTGGGAATCTGGTCTGAGTCGATACATCGCTGTAATACAATAATCGGATTGTTCAGTCCAGGTCAACCGAATTCGGCCGTAATAGAGGGGTTGGGCATGTCCAAAGCAGGACTGATCTCTAGGCGCCAATCGAGAACTACTCATGCCTGCCTCAACTTTGAACTTTGGCCGCAACCTGGTTAGCACAAGCTAGGTAGCGTTGATCCGAGCTCGGCAGACGCTTTTCAGCGCTCGCGAAATTGAGAACTCTTTAATGCCTAACCCCCTCTTCGCAGTTCCCTCGTCCATCGTTTCAGTAAGTACAACCTTCGTCAAAGCTTCCTCTCTGGTTTTTTTGGAATTCTGTGAGTGACGCAATTATGGACTGTCAAACCTGACAAACCCCATACGGTTCGACCGTCAATTCTTTCGTCTGCTCGAAAGCGCAACTCGCGCCTCTCAATCTGGCCTCTCCTCTCAAGCAGTCAACGCTTCCAAACTGAGACCCACCCCTCTCAACTGTCGCCCTCTACCCGTGCTACACAACTGATTTGCGCGCGAGCAATTCACCTCAACCTGCTGTCACTTGTGGATTGGTTTCACCGCCTCTCAACATGGTTCCACCACTTGACCTGTGTCGACCTCTCCGCCGTCGCCTTTCGCCAACACCGTGTGTCAATCTGCAGGTTCCCTTAACCTGGCGTCCCGCGAACCAGGTTCTTAAGCTGACCGTTTCGTTGACCCGCTTTCACCTCTCTACCGTCGCCTCTGTCCGCGCGCCGTGCGGCAGTTCGCACGCGGGCACGTTCTCTTTCCTCCGTGGCGTCAGCCCTGCGTGCTCGCTGAAACTCCGGATGCGGCACTGCAGCCCCGGCCGGACGACGTCGCCGTACACCGCCATCTCCACCAAGTCTAGCTCCCGGTCTGCAACAGCGGGGCGGTGTCAAGAGGCAGAAAGGCATAGGAATCTGGACTTCGACGTGTAAAAATGATTCTTCCTGCGGCAACTATTTGAGACGGGAACCCTTTTTGAGACACCCACGAGACACCGAGAGAGAGCCCGCTTTTTCACTTGTCCACCAAGTCCTCGCTTATTCATTTGTTAGCACAAGGAGGGAAGGAAGTCCTCGTGAAGTAGATGTACACAAGTCCTCGCTTATTTTATGGTTAGCACAAGGAGAAAGGAACTCCTCGTGATCATAACTGTGTAAAGAAGGCTTGAAGATGAACGTAAGGGCACGGTTATGTGAGCTGTCCAATCGGCTCACACTGCCAGCTTCGCCATAGCGAAGCAATTCAGCTAAGAGACATCGAAACATAACTCGGCATCGAAGGCAAGCGGCTTAATACGGGCGTTCTTTGAGTGCTCGACACAACCGGCAAGCTCTTGAAGAAACTTATGATTGCAGCCCCATCTTTATGCTTCGGCTCTTTGCACGACACTTGACCCCTGATCCCCGGTCTCGAAAGCATTTATCCTCCACCGTCCGAAGGACCACTCTTCTCATTCTTCCAAACCAAACAACTAGAAAAGAGCATTCCATGATCACGCTTGAGGTCGTTCACTCGCAACCCAGAATGCCAGCTGATGCGCAGACCACAATCACTCACCTGAGAACGGAAGGCTGCACGAGAACTGCTTGATGTCGTGCACGCCCAAATCTTCTGTGTTGCTCTTCTGCCGGTTGGCTCGTGTCTGAAGAATCTGGCAGTTCGTAACCTCCGTTCGACCACCTGAGAACAAGGAAACAAATTGAAACAAATCAGTGAGCGTTCCTCAAGTTTACCCGGGCGGTCATTTGAACCGAATGATGTACGGTAGGAAAGACGGCCAATGGCAGCGTTGCTGTTCAGGAAGGACCAACCAGAGCCGGGAATTCAGAGTGGAGTTTACCGTCAGAGTGGTGGGCCCAAGACCACTGAGAGTTGTTAAACACCATAGAATCAAAAGTCCCTGTTTTCAAACTACTGCGAGCAACTGAATCTGCCGAGTCAATCAGCCCGTGATTGGGGGGAAAAGTCAATTGGTCACACCCCCATTTTGAGCCAAGAATAGACGGCCTAAGGCAGAGCGTATCAACTTGTTGCATACATCGAGCTCCAAGCACCCCACCGGCCTGTGGCAGATTCAAAAATCCTGAAAACCCAGGGTCTTGAAACGCTCGGATTCTGGGGGTGTAGATCAATTTGGAAAAGGAAACAACGAGATCGTTTTCCAAATTCCAGCAAGCCAGCAGCTTCCAATCAAAACAAGGTTTTGATACTGGGGCTCGACAACTATGAGTTTGCAGGTTGTTGAGATAAGGCTTTGTTGACACACGCCCTTGCCAAAGAAAACAACGTGATCGTACTCTTAGCACGTGCACCCCAAGCAAGCCAGCAGCTCACAAACAGAGTTGAACTTGGGTTCTGGGACTCCTGTCTCTAAACATCCAACATTTTGCAGGTTGAGTTCTGCGTTAAAAAAAATGCTCCTACCTTTGGAAAAGGGGACGATGTGATCGTACTCATAGCACATGCACCCCATGCAGGCCAGCAGCTTGCGACACACGACGTTCCCCGCTACGTCTTTCCGCCACCGTTCGGGGTGTCGACCCGTAACCTGCGCTGCAAAGAAAACGACGACCTCAAATCTTGATGTAAGTTCAACCCTGTACAGACAATGCTATTAATGTTTTGCTGCCTCTGCATGCGCAAAGTCCTCATCCAATCCTCAATTCTGACCAACTTTTGGACTTAGGCTTTGAAAGCTTGGTGCTACCATTCAAACCCTGGGCAAATGTAGTATTGCATTCGAGCCCCCCTGACTCAATCGGCGCACCCTGGCAATCACGCAATTCCAAACTTTCTGACTGCCAATTCGTGACATGACCAGCACTCAATTGACAGAACCGTCTTTGAAGAAAAGCAGAGAACGTTCTCTCACAAACTGCGCTGTACGACGACCATCGATTGGCTAGCTTAGAACCGGTGGTGGTGTAAGTTTAAACAAATGTACCACCATTGCAACAATAATTAAGGATGATTGATCCGTCGACCCAGCTGCAGATGATGCCGCATCGTGTATGAACTTTCGATCAACAGCATTACTGGTCAACAGCCAAGATTCCAACGGATCACTCGGAAGCAAGCCCACATCCTCCGAAACAGTACCTCAACGATCGCAGTCCCTTTGTAGAAGTGAGGCAAGAGCAACACGGTAATGGTCAAGCACAAGAGCAGTGACGGTGCAACGACAAAACCCACCACGTCTGCTTGCGCCCAACACTCGTCCCGCATCTTGTTCCCGAACAGCCGGTCCTTCTTCCCTTTTCTGGGCCCATCCAAGAAGGGTGTGTCAGCCATCTCGGGGGATGGTACCGGTATGGTCCCCAAGCCGGAATCGGCGGCGCCATCCGCCTCTGGAGCCATGGCAAAAGCGAACCAGATCACGAAGTGGTCTGCAAATGAGGTCTCTAGCTTCATCATTTCCACAGGCTTCGGCTCAGGGATTCCCGTAGACTTTCGTCCCGGCCAGCCAGCCACAGGCAGCCCCCCGGCTGTACCAGCTGGGGGGCAGGCGGTTGGCTCTACCGGCCAGCTGAGTGCCCTGCGGACCTGTCAATTTTACCAGCTACCGAGCTGGCGGGGTGCCTTCGGCACCAGCCAGGGTCCCTTCCCGGCCAGGCAGGTCCGCCCCAGGCTGCCAGTTGTGGGAATCCCCAGGTCCGCCCCAGGCTGCCAATTGTGGGAATCCCTGCTTCGGCTTCTCGTCTGATCCGACAGCCCGAGTTCTGGGCCCTGGCTCGCATACCTAGTACATACACACGTGCACATTGATGTTGCAACGCAAGAAGTAGGTACCTTGTACCTTGTACGTTGTCGAGTGTCCTAAGTTTCAACTCCTCAGTCCCCACTACTAACTCTCGACGTACGCCCGGCGGCTCCCGTCTCCCGGTCACTCAGGGCCGTGCTGCGGCCCAGGCTAGTCAGCAGATAGCACTCGGTCGTCATGCCGGCGTCAAGGCTTTGCCGGCCTCTCGGTCGGCGGCGGTAACCGGTTCCATTGCACTGCAGTGCAGAAGCACGATTAATTTGGAACAGTGATCGGCACTCAAGCGACGGCCCAATAGAGAGACCCGGTTGACATTGCATGCAATATGCTCGCCGTACGGGACGCCCTGATGTACGAATCTCAGGTTTGCATCGGGGTCATGATGGTTAGGATTCTTACAATCCCTAGGATTGCGCGCAATATTCCAGTACTTGTACTTTTGTCCAACGTGTCGGGCAGAGAACTCTCGTGATGTAATTATCTGGATGAAGTCCAAGAAGCAGGCGCCCACGTGTTTCCTGGCCGCTGCCTAAATTTAGAAAGTTTCCGCGTTTCTGGAGCCCAATCGGCAAGTGGGTGTTATTGTTATCGTCTCGTCGAATAATCAACAAATTGATTCACGCTTTAAACCGTGTAGGTACGCTGTGACTCCTCAGCTCCAGAGATAACCATAAAGTTTAATACCTATAAGGTACGTTCCCTATAAGGAATTTGTTCAACCGTAGAGGAATATTGTACATGTGAGGCCCCGGGCAACACTAAAAACCTAGGGTAATGTGACCGACAGACCCTAATGTTACTGGGAAGTGCCCGGTTGTCACCCGGCTGCTTGCGAGACCCTAATGTCAGAGGGAGGGCCTGCTTGTCACCCGGTTGCTTGCGAGACCCTAATGTCCCAGGGTAGGCCCGGCTGCTTCTCGGGTACGCACCGCGCAGCGCGGGGTACGACCGCGCAATCATTAAACGTACAGTCCTCTTACGCAATACAGTACCTTATTGGTCACATTGCCTTATAGGTATTAAACTTTATTTATATCTCCAGCCCCCCCTGCCTACTCGAAGGTACCTACCAAGCTACCGGTACTGGTAGACTGGATAATCGGTTTGTATTCCATCTTCGACTCTTCGTCCGTACATGAATCTGAAGCATTAAATGCCCTGCACGGATATAGCGGAATTGAGGTAGCAAGCCTGCGAAACCATTTTCCGAATCCCGGAAAGTCGTTTCTTATTGGGTTTGCAGGTGACCAAGTTTAGCAAAGTCAGGCTTTCGAACTTCTACAGACGGTTTCGAGAACAGCGGGATTGCGTTCTGGTGCGTCAAATAAACCCTTATGAACCATGAAAATGATGGATATGAACTGCTTTTTGCGGACCCTTTTCCTCTGAAACTGTCGAAGGAGCTAAGAAGCAAGGAACTATTCCAGTGTACCGCTATGAGCTTACAACAAATATAATACTTTCGGATATGTGCACAAATCTGCAATTTTTGGAAGGCCACGTGGCGTCTTCCGAGGGGGCGGGTGCTTTCCACTTGGATGTCCCCACACGTGAACCGCGGCCAGTTTAAACCTGACTTTACCAGTCTGGGGCCCACCCTCCAGGGCCACGAAGAACAAGAAGACGGCTTCTTTGAGATCAGCCCACTAGGTCCCAGTGGAGAGCCATGCACTTTTGACTGCTGAAGCTAGAGGATGACTAGGGTGGGGACAGGTATAGGCGGTGCAACCTTCCAGCTCTGGAGAGGCGTTGCTCGAAGTGAGGCACTGGGTGTCGCTTGGGAAGACGAGCATGCAGTCTGCGGCAGCGGGGGCTCGCAATCTCTTCAGGCGCTGTACGACTGCGCAGAGCTGAAGAGCAGCCTCGAGCCCATGTCGTCGTCGTTTCATGGGCATTCTTCGGGGCTGTCGGCAGATTATGGGAGCCGGCAGACGGAGATGGCCGGGAGTGCCAGCGAAAGGTGAGCGCCAGCTGTTGGCTCGCTGAGTTAGTGTTCTGCCAGCTGTCATGTTCTGGGGTGGTGTCAACGAACCCTGGTTCTGTGATTGGGCTTTGTGGGCAGCTTGTTCCCCATTCAGATCTGCAGTACTCAACTGGAAAAGCTTGGGTAAGGATTCAGAATGCTTGTGAAGAGGTATCTGTGGGTTCCTTTTAGAATTGGTCAATCAAGTATTTCAGTCACCACGCGATTTGTCTGCTCAATGCTGTGCCCCCTGGATTCTTGTTCTGGTGGTATGTTCAAATGTGGTCGTACCTAGTACTACCAACCAGAAGATTTTACTTTCTGGCATTAGAGTCCCCCACCCTTGGTTTAAGGGGCAGTTTTCAGAAAGGCAACCATTTTGGCCTTTCGCTTTGGCTTTTCCAGCCAATCTTCAAGAATGCCGTGTAACGGTTTAAACAAAAACCAGCATGTCATGAAATCGTGCGATCTTAGTGAGTGCCGGTTTCAACTTACTGTTTGTCAACTGAAAGGGGCATGTTTAGCCGCCCAGTTTTTTCGGAGAATCGCAACAGCTTCGCAGTACACAGCATTTGCCAAGTTCTTCGATGACTGAGCTTTTACTTCATTGTTTCAAAAGTGCCCATTTTGAAAGTTGTGTCAAAAGTAGCACTGTGCTTGTACGGACTCGCAGCCAGCTACCCTCCATTTACCAATGTCAGACAATGGCTTGTGTCAGCTATTTCCCAGATCATGGCATGTCGATGCCCTTCAGCTAGAGATTCGAAAATCAGAGTCTAGGTGGCCAAAAAATCCTGTTGAAGAGTTTACCAGTTGAAGAGGTTACCAGCTTGAAAAGTAGAGAAGGCGGCTCAGATGCAGATCACTTGCAACATTCGCAATGCCAGGACCTCAACCACCTGTTCAGCGAAGCGCATGTGGGTTGCCACAAGAAAACCGTCCAGACAAGGATCTGGTAGATAAGCAATTGTCGCTGAAAACTTACATGCATGCTCTCTTGGGTCCTCTGGTCTTCCCAACATGGCTCAGGACAAGAATGGAACTGTCGATGCTATCAAACAGCCGTCTCAGATGGGTGTTTTGTCTATTTGAAGTCCTTTTTCCCTCTTTCCATTCTGTTTGGGCTTCTGTTATGGAAGCCTGGGCCTTTGTCTGATCAAAAAGCTGGATGAAGGCTGTCTTAAGTGCATTTCGGGTCAAGTGTCACTCCGCTTTGATCAGAACAAAACTATGCGGCTCATTTAGATAGCCCTTTTTCCTTCACCTTAAGCTGCATGCCAGGGATTGGAAGGCAGCATGCGAGTACTGCAAGACGGCAGTTGAGTTGGGCTGGAGAGGAGTGGAAAAGAGTTTGCTGTAGGACAGTGAAGGGCCACTCTGTTGACATGGTTCATCCGTCTAGATTGAAGTAATTGAGATCTATACGATGTTCAGCGCCAGCTGGCATGCTAGATCCGCTTGTTACCAGGTTCTGTCAAGTGCAATTTGTCGCAGCCCAAGTTGATCCTTGTTCATACGCTTAAGATTCAATGTTTTGAATTGCTTAATTGTCTGGGTAAGGCTGGGAATACTTGTGAGATCTCCTCCCTTTGCCTCTATGACTTTGAAGGTACACTTAAGATCACGGATTTGTTACATTCGGCGTCGGAGATTCGGCAGTGAGACTGTTATTCACCACTAGTGTCTCATGTTTGTTTGCAGGGCACTTGCCTCTGGTCTTGTAACTCCTATTGAACGCTTCAACAAGGAATCTGTCTACATCCCTTGTCTACAAGGTTGCCAACTTGAAACGTCCCCTGAATGTGTTTCTTTTCACGTCCAGGTACCTTGCTATTTTGCTTCTTGAACGGCAGAAGTTGGCGCCCTTTGTAGAGGTGCTACCAAACTGCAGTAGGCTGTTGCAGCAAGGTAAGCATATTGTTGATTCCCTCCGCGCCCACTCTGGACAACGAGTACTCTGAAATGGACACAGGGGATGAGCGAAATAAATTCCAACTCTAAATCTGCTTCGCCATGGCTGGGTGCCCAGATGCTTTTAAAAACTCTGCCTGGAAGACTGCTGCTTATTTCCAACTCCCAGTGGCTCTCTGCTCGACTCTGCGTCTTCACGCTTGTTTCAGAGCCTAAGGCCTGAGATCCCCTTTGGTTTTTGTGCGCAGTTAGCCCCAGGATTGCGTCCAGATCCCTTTCCCAATGTCTTCTCCTGACCCAAATCGCATGACTTTTCTTGTGCGCAGAAATCGCCCGAGTAGCTGAGAGCGCCTCCTTGTTTGACACCGACTCCCTGACCCTAGATAGCGTCCTTAGTCGTCAGTCGTCTTTTGGTGCCGCATACCCCTCCCCCGGAACCCCTCGCACCCCTGACTCCCCAACTAACTGGCCCGCAATGTCGCCAGAGGTGAGGAGCTTTGGACACCTGTCAATTTCTGGTGACAGCTTCATCGTACACCTCAAAGCTGTCGACTTTGTCTTAAGAGCCGTCTTCCTTTGAGCGGGCAGCCGGTTACAAGCCAATCAGGCGTCCTCAGAACACTCTGTTCGGGCCTCTGACGATGCTGCGAATCTTCTGCGAAAATGGTAGAATGCAAAGTTGGCCTGAACGGGTGCTTTTCTTCCATAGAACACCAGGACCCATTCCTTAGCTCCCTCTAAAGTCGAGAACCACACGTCAAAGTCTTCTGCCTTCTTAGACGGTCCACCTCCCAAAATTGTGTCTCACTGCCTGGCCAGACTCGGGTCTCCGCTGGCTTTTCTGATTGATTGGCCATCGGCTTTGCATTTTTGAGACAATTTGATCATTTTCTAAAAGTGATCCGAATCGCAGAGTATGTAACCGTTGCTTTGATTCGTTCCTGTCAGGCATATGGGGCATCTTTTTGAATTGAAAAACAATATGCAGGGTTATCCGCACCAGAGCGCCCCGTCTCCTAGCGGCGCAAGCGGAATGGGCTGGAGCGCCTCTCAGGGTTCGCTCGCCCAAGGGCCCGTCGTGAAACGGTCGAGGAAGGTCGAAGTTCCGGTCGACAAATATCCGAATGTAAGGTTGTGCTTCAGGAGCGGGTTCATCCGCTTCTCAGTCCGGGATACAAGTCTGCTTTGGCACGAACCCTTAGGTAATCGAACGTGAGGTCTTACTCCAAGAGGTCTTACCTCAAGAGTGAACCCTCCTTTTAGCTGCAATAGTCGAGAAAGGCTTGCAATCTGGCAGCCATGTATTCGGGTGAGGAGAGACGTACTGAGAAGTAACCGACGTTTTGTGGAGATTATGCCTTGAGAAAGGCTGAAACCGTGGCGGTCGAGTGAAAAGCTGCGGAGGTGACCTATGCCTTTTGAGAATTGAAAGACGGGTCTGCTTTGGTAAATGTGCGTCTTGAAGCGGTCGAGAAAGGCCCTTTGCTTGATTGACATCTGTCGAAAACAAGTTTCTGCCCTCGAGGGCAGAGAGGGGTTGGTCAGCAGTTTGCATCGGAAGGAAGGTACGGTCTGGTGAAGACGTCTTTAATTTTCATTGATTGGAAGGCACCGGACCTTGCCACAAAAACCTTGATCCGTGAGACGGTGGCGGGAGGTCAAAAGTCTCGCTTGGCAAGTAGCCCATCACGATGTTTTCATTTTTGGAAGAAACATAAGGGAAAAGATTTTGTTCGGCCGACATCTGATAGTTGGGTTGCGAGACAGTCCAGGAAGGTTCAAATTTTGTTTTACGGACCTGACACGTGTCGCTTTTTCCCCGCAGTACAACTTCGTGGGGCGAATACTGGGGCCGCGGGGCAACTCGTTGAAACGGATAGAAGCGGGGACCGGCTGCAAGGTGCTGATACGAGGGCGCGGCTCAATAAAGGACCAAGTAAAGGTAAGAGGGACCGAATCCAGGACCTTACGGAGCTATGTAAGAGCCAATATTCCGCGGACACCACTTTTTTGATCTCCGGCCCGAGCAAACTTACCGTGCAAAAGGGGTTTTCCGGATTCAATGGTTCACCGGTTCACCGCTTCACCGGATTCAACGGTTCACCGGTTGGGCGAGGTCTTTCTGGGCTGGCTCGGGACGTTAGTCACGGAGCGCCCAGATGCGAGCTGGAGTTACAGTGCCTTTTGTTAAACATTTCTTGGTAATAGGCTGTTCCGATTACGGAGGCCACAGTACCAGCGTCTTTGTTCCTGACCGTGGGAAAATCTGCGCTGACGGGTAATCAGGAACTGCAGCATCGGAAAGACGAGCTAGAGTGAGCCTCAGAAAGCCTTATCTTTTTCGTGCCGGACGGGAGACGGACAGCCCAGTTTCGACCAAGGGTCTTGGAAGTTTTGCGTGGGCATGAAACCCCGAAGAGTTCCTCTGGTGGGATTCTGGTGGACGCCGTATTCTCTGGAGAACGTTAGACCTTAGCGCAAAGCAAATGTAATGATCGTGTGGAAGACTTAGCGGGACAAGCCGGGAAAGTAATGTTATTGAGTCCTCTTGCCTTCGGCTTTTCTTGCCGCTCGACAATACAGCTATGAACGCTGTAACGCCGAAAGTGGGGCTACGTGAAAGCGTTACGAATCATTGGTCCGGATACCTTGGTCGTCCGCTGCGTGGATATGATGCTGTGACGGTTGAGGGACCTAATGTTACGATGCTGTTCCCGATTTCCTCCGACGATGTTGTTCTTGTTTTCGGAGGAGAAGATGCGGGACTAGCTCAGGCCACAACCGAAGTCTCGACCTATTCTGTCCTGAATTTTACGTCTTGGTCGGCCAGAACGCTGTAGCGTCTGGCGGATTTCAGCTCCTAGCGTTACGGCGGCCTTCCTGATCTTGCAGGAGGGTAAGATGCGGGACAAGCCCGGTTTCGAGCACCTCAAGGCCGCTGTAACTCCAGACTCAGTCGTTAAGGCGTCACAGTAAAAGTTCCCTGGTCGTGGTCGGCCGCAGATTGCGCTTAAACACTGTCAGGCCTGGAGGAAAATCTGAGCCCCTAATCTTACCGCGGTCTCACCGGTTTCGCAGGAGGAGAAGATGCGGGACAAGCCGGGGTTCGAGCACCTGAAGGAGCCGCTGCATGTGCACATCGAGGCTGAGATGCCGCTAGGCATCGTGGACGCACAACTGAGCCAGGCCGTAGAGATCATTCACGAACTCATCAAGCCAGTCGTGAGTTTCAGGCTTTTGTTTCAGTATGTTGCGTTGATCCTTGAAGGAAGATTGCCTGCGAACCCATCAAGGGGGTCAATCTGGGACGGCGGATACCTCGCGGCATATCTCAGTATAACTGCTTGGGGTTTCGGTTCGGAGTCAGTCAGCATGTCGCGCCACGTGCGAATCTCTGCTTTCACGTACTCAACAAAGCCAGTGGTAAATGTTCCAGCATTTGAGGGCTGAATAGTTGTTCCTTCTTGAGTGCGGACTGAAGCTCGTTTACGAACTTGTCGAGCCGTCAGTAATGTCTGCATCGTACTGTGTCCTCTCTCAACTGGAAATTTCATGTTGGCTATTACTGCGACGTTCACCGAAGATCGATCAGGCCTGCCCTGGTTTCGATGCTTTTGACAAACCGATAGTGTCTACTTATCATTCCGGAGGTCAAGCAATCATCCTCAAACAACCTCTGCGTTTGTGCAGGACGAGAGCAACGACCAAGTCAAGAAAGCTCAACTGCGCGAGTTGGCCTACTTGAACGGGACGCTGCGTGTGGAGGGCGGGGGGCCCTCGCTGAGCCCTGCGCGGGTCTCCATGGGCATGTTATCCGCCGAAATGAAGCGCTTGCGGAGAGAACCCCTCGGCTGACAAGGCCTCTTCCATTGCTCCGGCGGGCCGGTTGGAAAGGGTCGCGCTCAAACCTCGACTTGCGATGCATTCTTGACTTGCGTAGGGCGCTGAACGTAACAAAGCTCAAGTGCTATGGAGGGTGGGTTACGATTATCGGTCTAGCCGTAGCTAGCATGGCTAATCATTGCATTTGCTCATTTGACGAGAAATTGACTTCAAACATAGGCAATAAAGAGGGGCTAACCATGATGGTACTAAACGTTTTCCACGGCGCCGCCGGCTCTAAGTGGTAAATAGGTCTTGAATCTAGACGAGAACTATAGCCAGCAAATACGGAGGAGTTTTAACCCGGTTTGGAGGTGGCCGGGCTTATGTTGATCCATCGCCACTGCTGATCTAATTGAACGGTTCGCGTTGGATAACCTTGGAGACTGTTGCGCTCGGGACAGTCATTCGTAAGTACCTAGGGATCAGTCGATCTTAGCAGCAACCATTGCCAAACTTCCTTTGTACGGACACTTGATACATTGTAGGCATACTTGAGGGCCAGAAGATTGGACATTTCCCTGTATTGAAGGTGCGCGTTTGACGCGATCGGGACTACAATCCCTTCCAGTCGGACATTGTTGTGTTAGGTTGGTACAAGCATACACGGCCTACGTTGGTACACACGTCTCTTGCTTGTGATCGTTCTAGGTGTTACTATTGGCAGTAAGATGGCTTTCGTTGAGTCGTGGAATAATTCATACATCATGATGCAAGGTCGTGTATTCATACAAGTTGTCAGTTGTTGGTTTCTTTTCCTGTAGGCTAGCTATAGGCTTGTATACAAGCCTTGCGTATATATACGGTCATGGCACATAAGTAATCAGATAAATCCCGTGAAACTTTGGGCCATGGATATAAGAACTGTGCCTTATCAGTCGGTGTATATACCGGCCGCGCTGCAAGTATATCCGCAACTCTAAGTCGATGGTGCAGCCTCTGCATATAGCCCGGGGCTCGACCCCCCGTTAATCTAAAAAGTTGGATCTCAATCCTTGGGCAGTTGGGCGGCGCAACGCAGCTAGACGGGCCCGATCGAATGTCGCAGTAAAGCCGCTATATTCTGGCTTCTCGAGTACGAACAAACTGATGTAATGCAAAACGTCAGACCGTTATAATATTCACCTGCCCAATGCTTCAAAGCTTGGGGAAGAGTTTCGTTTATGTTTGGTCTTTTGGTGAGCCGGAGGAATGAGTGAAGGACCCATTTGACGCAAGCATGATGAACAGCAATTGTAACTCAGGTACATGTTAATTAGCGTTTCTAGCGTTCTGCGACGTGCAGCAATGGACGGCAGACTCGGAAGGTCGCCGGGTCGTGGGGCGTTCTATATCACGATGGTCTCAGGGTCTTTTCGCACGCCATAGCCAGTGCGGCCATAGGGTTCTCCATTGCCATTGGCATGCGATGTTTGTACCTATGTTTATGATACTACCGTACGCCTTCAACCGCGCGGCCGCGCGCGCTAAGCTGCCATACTGCCTGAGCCGTCGATTGTCTGGACTCAGTGGGCCAATTCGGCATCCCATCCTATCCAACGGCACGAAATCTGCCATTTGGACGGGTTTAGTTCATCTTACAATCGCGGCCGTAGATGATCAAAGCAACACATCGAGTCCTCAAAGACAGTTCCCACGCTAGTTCAAGATCGAATCTGCCAGGAGGAAATCGAGGGAGTGACTGACATGACTCATGAGTCAATGAAGAGAACGTGCCATGGGCACCTGGCAGCAAAGCCATCATTGAAGTTAAATCAAAAGGGTGCCAGCAAAAGGACGCCTTTGCAGCTGCTACCTCTTTGTTTGTCAGATTCGGCTAGCTTCTGCGTTTTCTTTTGCAAGCTGCAGTCTGCTCAGAGCTGGCATTGGCAGCTTTTATCCAGAATGGCGCCCTCTGCTATGTCAAGGAATGCACTGCTGCTCGCTGTCGTGAGCCTGGCGGTGCATGCAGCATTCGGGCAGAACATCACCACTAACCTCCCACAGGTGAGAGATGCATCCAATCGGTTTCGTCCAGCTTGAAAGTCTGATTCTGGGAGAAAAGTTTTTCCTTTGTAGTGCAACACTACAATGTTGTGACATATCGATGAGATTGTGTCCTGCCTGCAAAATTCGATGATTCTCGAGCGGTTTGACCTTATCTAGGAGTGTGCACTGATGGCACCACCAAATGGACAGCATTCTTCGTCACACCAAGATCTGGGGACAAGCTTCTGCACAGAGTGTCCATCATAGCTTGTCATATGAAACTTCGATAGGCTTGATGCATCAGAGTACATCCTTCTTCCATTCCCTGGGCGTCCGCTCAGGCATGAAATAACATCTGAGGATTGGACAGTGGCCAGTATCTAACTCTTAATGCCTGAGTGTAGAAACCACTGACATGAAACATTTGCATAATGCTTTTCATACCTCATTCAACCAAGCTGAAGTCTTGAATCCACTCAGGATAGTTAATTTAGAGCACCATAAAGTGGTGACAGTTTTTGGCGAGTTGTAGCGGGACTTGATAGTTATGTGAAAATAGAGGCCCCGATTCTCAAGTTTTACGAAGACATATCACAAGAAGCAAGGCTCGAGATCTGGCTGAGACGAGCCATTCTATTCTTCTATATGAATCCTTCTCATGTTTCCAGCAGGTTGAGTCCAGCTGACATGGAGGATGTTCTTGGTTAAATGACGACCATTCTTTACATCGAGTCCCCCGACTTGGAACAACAGTACTTAACGTCAAACAGAGAACTTTCTTTTCTAACCATGACTTTCTCTCTCTCAAATTGCTTCTCTTGTGGTGCATTGCCCCAACCATATCTGGCCTTTCGACATACTATCATTTGCCGTCTTCAATTGGAAAGTTCCTATCACATTTCATCACTCATTGACACTTCAGAAAGCTTTTGTAAGTCCAAATATGCATCGCTCAGAGACTTGTTCAGCAAGACTGAAGCTTTACTGACTGGCCTTCTAGGTCGAGTACCCCGCATTCAATAGCACAAACAACGACGGCGCAGCCAACATCACGACTTACCTGATTGAGAACAATGGCCCAAACGGGACAGTTCAAACGGGACACTTGAGCATCCTGCACAACCCCATAGGCCAGTTTGTTGTCCTCCCCCCTGCTGCCGGTGAGTCCATGTTTGATGCTCTCGTTGTTCTCGTTTCCAGGGATTCAGCGAATGAGATGGGAAGACTTGGTCATATGCGCCTGTTCAAAGGCTTGTTGAGCTGCTGGTTAGCAGGCAAAGCAGGCTATCAGGTGGAATTGAAGCATTGGAATGGGAGCATTCAGAGTTTTGTCATTCATATTTCAGCATCTATTAAAAGGTGGTGGGACAGATTCCAATAGAAGCTTTCCAGAGTCAGGGCACGTGGGATGCGGCATGTCAGGTATCCTATATTTGTGCACTCGTGATTCATCTCTGTTGTGCCTTTACGCCTCCTGACACAAAACGGATTGTCGGAACTCGAAGAATCTGTCTGTAGCGCAGTTGCGAGATTGTGATTCTGTTTCAGACTTCATTCATGGAAGATGAGTGCGATTTGTATCTTTTAAATAACAGAGCCTCTTATAGCTGGCGTCACGTGAGAGATCCCCCAGGCAAGAGCTTAGGGAGGCTCCGCTCTTGCTGCTCACTCGAAAAGGCCATGCTTGCAATGTAGTAGCGACTTCCAGCCACCTTTCAGTCGCTGGAAAGCCTCTTGAAGGGGACGTCCTCCCTACGTAGATGGGAAAAGAGCTTTCAAGCAGGCCCAGAGGATAATTGATTTCTTTGAGACTGTTTTGACCGTGCAATTTACTATCTCTGTTACGTAACCCATTTTTTATATGGTGCAGGTTGTGTGAGCACCAGCAATGGTGTGACCACCGGCGGACGGAGCCTCACTTCCACGACTGCAGCTGCCGGAAACTGCCACGTGGCAGCAAACGGCGCCCTGTTCAACGTGACCACTGGGGGCTGCCTGGGTAACCTGGTGAGAGGATGGGTTCACAGGGGTATCCTGATCAACCCGATAAAAGAACTGACTTTATAACGAGAGTGCGAGCGCGCCAATCTTGAGTCTATCAGGCGGACAGTCATCGTTTGACAGACCCAGGTCTACTTGCACGCTTCTTTACAGGGTCCGTTTCTCTCTCGTCCCTCTTTGCCCCTTTTGTGCTCCCTGTCGCTCTATTGCTTTCGATAGGTCTCCAAGTTGCCCTGGTCCTTGGGTCTACCGTCCTGGTAGTCAAAGTAGGTGTTAAAACAACCCGCTTCAGCCCCCTTCCAACTTGTTCGTGCATGCATGCAAAGAAGTCTAATGAACCAGGCTTGTGCTTCGTAACTATCTGGCATTCCTCTTCCAACGTGTCCCAAAAGTGGTCAATAGGTTCAAAAAAGCTCTTTTATCTGACTTGTAGGTGAGCAACGGAGTCGTCATCCAGGCTCCAGGTACCCAGAACGTCAACTTCGGTCTCCGGAATGGCAACTTCGTGATAGGTAAGAACCGAATCTTTCCCTTTCCTAGGGTACATTCGCCCGTCTACTTCTTTTCACGTCTCGTCCTCGTTTCCGTGTTCCATCGCTCCGCTTGCTTGGCATGTCAAATTAGTGTAAAAGAAAGGCGTCTCCATTTGATTATTGAAATCGAGTCCATTCATCTGGAGTTCCACTGTCAAAGTCCACCAACAACCTCTTCAAGGTTTCCAATTGAGGAGACGAAAGACGTTTCAGTCCTCTTCAGGTTCTGGCCCTTTGATAATAACAGGGAATTGAGTCCATGTAGGTGCCGTTTTGAACCTGTCCAGCTTTTGGCTGCCTATGTGCACGCCACATCTTTTAAGTCGGTTTGTTGCCCTGATCCCAGGGGTCGGAACTCAAGAGTCGAAACTTTTGTGCATTGAAGGATGGATAGAAGCAAGTCAAACTTAAGGGCAGTGTTTGGGCAAGTCCATAACATGAACCTGCTCACGACGTCTCATGACCTCCGATCCTGTGAACAGCATATGTGTAGCTTCTTTAGTCCTGCGCATATCTTTGAGTAGTTCTGGACAAACTGACTTGTTCTGTTCAAGAGCTTAATCAGGAAGTCTCGAGCACAATTGTCTTCAGCCCTTCTCGTTGCGGGTCCAAGTCAGGGAAATCCTTGACAAAGCCCTCCTGCTCCTTTTAATCCCTTGTACTTCATTGGAACGTCTTGGACCTAGTCATCAGTTTCTGTGACCCTTCATCAACTCATGTCTTTTCTGAAGCCGCATGAGATTTGCATGTCTGTCCTCAGGACACTCAGATCGATTTTGTTGAAAGCTTCGCGCAAGATTGTCCAGATCTGTTTTTTGTTCACAACCTCCATTGACTTCAGGCTTTCGAATTTTTTTGACAGCTTTTGTACTTATGCTTTACCTGTCGGCTTGGAGAGGGCCCGGTTTACGCCTTGGATAAACCGTTTCAGTCTTCCGGAGTCGTTGAAAGGTTGCCACATGCTGCTTACGGGTCGGCTCCAAATGCGCAAGATATCAGACGCTCTTTGAAGAGTCTGCTTTTCATTGCGGGTTACGTTGTGGTTTCAGAAGCGCAAGGTGTCATACTCACATTTACAGTCAGCTAATCAGTGCTGGATACGTGTCGGCTCCAGAAGCGCAAGGTGTCAGACTTCTTTAAATAGTCTGCTTTTCGCTGCAGGCTACGTGTCGGCTCTGGAAGCGCAAGGCAGAGCAGCCGGGAAGGTGCCGTTCGACCAGCTGACGAGCGGAGTGGTGTGGCTCGTGAAGGGCGGGCAGAACAACGTTCAGCAGGATCTGCCTTATGAGGACCCCAGTACCCAGACTACCGGAACGATCCAGGTGGGGACGCGCTCGAGCCTTTCCTATGCAAGTTTGGAAACAATGAAATGAAGTTCTTGTTTGCAATGAAACGAGAATTCTTGTGGGTGAGCACGCGAAGATTCTCAAGATTCAAGCCCCTTTGCGGTAATAGGAATAAGAGAAACATGAAGCTGCTGCTACAAGGTTGTATTCCCCCTTCCTATTCGACGCTCGATGCTCTTTGCTTATCTTAACCCATTACAGCCTCCACCTTCACGAAGTCTTGCCATTCACTCAGCTCCGAAGGATCACCCGCTTGGCCCTCAAGCGTTTCCTAATGGCGTCAGCATAACCATACAGCCTGGCCAAGCTCCAAAGGACCACCCTCTCAGAAATCAAGGTTGCCCAATGCGCGTCAGCTCAAGGATACCAGCCTGGCGACATATCTAGCATCCGCAGAGCCACTTTCCCGGCTTGCCCCTTTACTTTGTATTTGCGGCCAGACCAATTTGCTCGTCCGTGCAGCTCTGCCGTGGAGCTTGACCTCCGGGCACGGCTTTGAAGGGTCTGAAGTCGTCCTCAGTCCTCCGATCGGTTGTGTTTACCCACCGGATGGCTCAACAATTGTACTGAAGCACTGTACATAGCTCGCTCAGCTGACATGCATACGCCAGTCTCCCCATTACCAACGAGCCAGCTTTGACACGGTCCTCTTTCCTAGGTCTTTGCCAGCATGGTGTTCTTGTCTTCGTCCTTTTTTACGGCCACAGGTATCGTAGCGGAGCTCAGCTCAGAGCTCTCACTCGGCTCCAATGTTCACCCTCAGTGTTCACCCTTCCGGTTGGCCAGGTTTGACACCATCCTCCTTTTCCCAGGTCTTTGCCAGCATTGTGTTTCTATCTTCGTCCTTTTTAACCGCCACAGATTGGCACCGGAGCTCAACTCCAACGACTACCCACTGTGCTCACTCCGGTGGGCCAGCTTTGACACCATCCTCCTTTTCCCAGGACTTTGCCAGCATTGTGTCAGCCCGCACGGCTATCGGGCACAACGCCGCGGGCGAGATCCTCCTGCTCCAGCTGGACGGCCAGTCAAACGTGCGCGGCGCGAGCCTATACGACGTCGCGGACCTGCTCATCTCGTATGGCGCCGTGAACGCAATCAACCTGGACGGGGGCGGTAGCAGCGCCTTTGTCACCGACGGAATTTTGTCGAGCTACCCGTCAGACATGTGAGAACCACTTGCGCTTGCCTTTCAAATTGAAGTGCTTTTCCTTCCTTCGCTCCAAACGTGCTTGTTGGCCTAGCCGCTCAAACTTGCTTTCTCTCAGGACGTTGAGAAGAGTTCAAAGTAAGCTTTAGAGCCCTTGATTCCGTTAGCTGCCCAAGCTTCGCCTTTGTAACAGCACGTTAACGGTTGAGTCGTCCTTGCAAAGGAAACGATTGTGATATCGCTTTCGTAATCTGAGCCCCAAAACTTTGTAGAAGCTGGGAGTCAGGACACTTACTATTTGCAGGCGCAATCTTTTATTTGCCGCCCCGGGAATGTTACACCTGAGTTTGGAGTTGCTGTACAAACCCCGAAAAACTTCCTTGGGCTCGGCGTTTTCATTTTTGACAGAAGCACGCCATCAGGTCTTCGTCAAGGAGGGACCTTCAAGGTCTGAGAACCAGAAAGCTTTCAATTTAAACTCCTACTGGAAGTCTGTAGGTCTGGACCCTGTGGGTCGCAATCTCAACGCAACCTTGAATGGCCAAGCGTTCGCTTTCCTTCCGAAGCAGGCCATTAGGGCTTCCGCCATCAGGGCTTCCACTAGAGGTGCCTTCGCTGGAGTAGAATCTCAACAGCCTATTTTAAAGTGCCCAATCCTCAATTCTGCAAGCCTAAGGTTTCGCCACTGCGCTTTTGCAGTCTCACCACGCCGTCAACGGCCAGGCGTTTCAGACTCAACGCAATCCTTGCTCCGCAAGAAGCAGGCCATCAGGTCTTCACAAACTGAGTAGCTTTGAAAGGCGATGGCTTTCTCCCACTGTGGTTTCTAGAAACCTCAGTCCTAAATATCCAAAAGCATAAATCCTGGTCTTTGCGGTTTGCAGTCTTAACGCGACTGTGAACGGCCAGACGTTCAGCTTCCGCCAGGAGCGCGCCGTCACGTCGATCGTCTGCTTCAAGGACCGCTTCAAGATCGCCCCTTCGCAGCCCTGCGACCCGACCTCGCAGAATCCTAACCAGGTCGGTTGACTTCCTCAACCGCGCTCGATAACTCGCGCCAAAACTTGTAACGAAGAGGCTGCCGACCTTTTCTTGGAGCTAGCTAAGTGCATCCCCTTATTGCGTGATCAGAGGTTTGTTGTTGGTCGAGATTTGGGGTCAGCTCCTTTGATTTGGGATTCTACTTAAAGTTGCAGATTATGAAAAGGCAGTCAGTGACCCACCGAACGTTTCGACGGAGGCGCTCAAGATTATTGGGCGGAAAAATGCCGAGACGCTTTCTGTATCGTGTGCATGCTCCACCTCAACCTTCGAGTTGGTCGTGTCTTTCTGGCCCTAGCTCCACACCCCTCGCGGCAAATATCAGCCCTTTCTTATAGCAAGACGTCAGCGCGCTTGTATGCCTTGTGTTCTTCTTTGGGAACCGTAAGCCTCTGCCTACAGTTCATCTCCAACGCTCAACTCACATGGCCGACGCAGAGAGAAAATTTGTGGCTCTTCTGGTTGTTTTTATCGGTTCTCGTACCCCCTTCCTTGATGCCGTCTTTCCTCGTCTCTTACCACTTTCATACCATACCATTCCTCCGCCCGCTTTCTTCTCTCCTTGACTCACGCTTTTATATGCCCTCGCTTCCTTTTCCAGTCTATCACCCAACGCTCTCAACAGGCTCGCCGAGTCTCCCTAACCCGTTTCGCAAACCCTTCCTTTGTCCCGCAGTGCTTCAATGCCGCTGGCACACTGTCCATCTGCTGCCCCGGGGCCTGCCCCTTGAGGCCCGGGCCCCTCGCCGTGTGCGGCCCGGCTGTCCCCCCGACCACTCCAAGCCCCAATACCGTCTCCGCTTCCAGCCCCACTACCGTTACCACTCCCGGCTCTACCACCGGGGCCCCGACCGGCCCAGTGGTCGCCGCCCCGACCGTCGCCCCGACCACCGCTGGTCCGGTGCCTTCGGGAACTACGGCGACCGCTCCTGCGAAGACGTCAGCGCCCGGAGTCGCCGCAGGAACGCCCCCGCCTTGCGACCCCACTTCTGGCAATCCCAACCAGGTGCGTAAGGTTTCCAGGCCGTCGATTATACTGAGAGTATCTCTATCTGGTTGCGAATTCAGTCGCGTTTACCGCACTGACAGCCCAACCGTTTGGAGGACTGTATTTGAAATACGGACGGAAGTTGTGTCAACCGTCTTGAGGACTGTGTTTTAGACGAGGTACGGAAGTTGTGTCAATGAGGCATATCGTTCAAAAACGCAGTCCGTCAAGGAAAAGCAAGCAGATCAAAAGACGAGTGACAGTGTCCTGTCGTCGTGCAGTGCTTTAACGCTGCGGGTACTGCGTCTCTGTGCTGCCCTGGGCTGTGCCCCCAGACCCCGGGGGCCAACCCCCAGTGCTGATCCCCTGGCTGCTGTTGCTCGAGGTCACGATTTTGATAGTTAGCCGGCTTAGGACCCCCACGAAGTCCGTTTGGATCGATTTACAGCCTTTTTAAAGATGTATAGTGTGTATGGGGGTGCGAGCAGGACTGTACAGGACTGGGCAGCACGAAAAGTTAACCGTGGCTTGGAGTTTCAGGTCCGTTTGGATCCAAGAAAGGACCGGCAAAGGCAGTAGTTTGAGTGTGAATAGAACGGTTGATGACCGCGCAATTCGGTAGCTCTTGTTTTGAGATAAGCTAACCTCTCGTGTAAACGGTAGATTAGAGCAGCTTCGGACCGCCCACATTAAGCAGCCTCCCGTTGTCTAAGTTATGCAAGAACCGTGTCTAAGTTATGCATGAACCGTACGGAGCGAAGAAGAGACTGTCACAGCACGCCATAGACCCATGTACGATCCTCGTTTGATAGTCACCGTCACCAAACTGCATGCAACCGGGCCTGCTTCACCCGTAGATTGCCTGCATTTCTTCGAGTCTTCCTATGCATCTGCTTGGAATCTGGGCCTTCCGATGACCAGGTTGTTCAATCGTGGGACAGCTCGATTGCTGAAATTCTGCTCAAGTCAAACCGGCTAAGGCGTCCAACTTTGTCCGATCGCAAAAACCTTCAAACGACGCAAGCTCACTAAGGTGCCTTAGGTCTGCTCACCTGGTCCAGGAAAGTAGACTCAGGAACAAGAACAGGGCTGCGAGTCCCAAATCCAGCACTTGCTGCTCATCCTTTCAAGAACACGGATAACGTTTCAGCGACATCATTTTGGAATATCTTTGGAATGTCAATTCTTCATGCCGGTGATCAGCAGCCCGACGCCTTTCCCGAGCTTTGCAGTGCTTCAACGCGCCCGGGACAGCGTCCCTGTGCTGCCCCGGGCAGTGCCCTCAGAACCCCGGGCCCAACCCGGTGTGCGGCCCCACACTCGCGCCTGCCCCGACGTTCGCGCAGTGCGACCCGACGTCAGCCACGCCTAACCAGGTAAGCACCTTCTTCATGTATCTTTTATGAAAGACGCCGCTGCTTGCACAGAAAGGCACAAACATTCAAAGATGGAAGTTGGCAGTCGACGGATTCTAGTGCAGTGCGTCGGATCAGGCGTCCAGATTCTTTGCCACCTGTGCCAACGTGCGCGCAGTGCGACCTGACGTCAGCCGCGCCCAACCAAGTGAGCACCTTCCGTAACGCATTTTCGAAATAACGTTCCTGCTCGCACACAAACGGCAAAACCCTTCAAAAGTGAGACGTGTGGCTCGGCATTCGACGAGCAGCGAGTCGGATCAGGCAGGCGAATGCTTCGCTTGCCGCCTTGTAAAGGTAAGGATCCGTGGGCTCAGCGTCCGCAGCACGGAGCGCCATGTATTGACCGAATCTGTTGCTGCTAGGTCCATTTGAAACGGTGTGCGCACGTCTTTGATTCGAAGTGCAGTAAGCTCGCCAATGCAAACGAGGAGCGGCTCGACTTTTTGGTCAAGTAAACGTATAGAAACGCGCAGTATCCTTTGCTTTCAGCCGTGGTCCGAAAAAGGGCTCCACCGCACCCTGAGAATGGCCCAAAGTGTCTCTGTTGTTTCATCTCACTATCCCGATGCTTACTTCCAAGTTCCCCCAGTGAAACGTAGCTGATTTGCGCATAAGCATTTACCACATTCGCAACTCATTTTGAGTGCCCGTCATCCATGTTTGCTGACACGCTTGCATAGGGCGCTTGCCAAAAATGAACAGTTCTTGACCCCACGTTCTCTGTTTCCGCAGTGCTTCAATGCGGCCGGTTCACAGTCCATTTGCTGCCCGGGACAGTGCCCCGGAAACCCCGGAGCCACCGCTGTTTGCGGTGGGCTTTCCCCGGCCACCGGATCCCCGGGCAATCCCTCTCCCACCAGTGCCTCTGGTTCCACCACCGGGGGAAGCCCCCCGTGCGACCCGACCTCCAACCTGCCGAACCAGGTAAAAGAATGGGAGCTCACCGCTTGACTGATCAACATAAAAAAAGGGCTTCATTTCACCTTGCCGAAAGTTGTTCTCCGACTAGCCAGAGTTCAATTGCAGATTTGCCCTCGTGTTCCTTTTTAAGCAGAGCTTCGATGGCCGCGGCAAGTTTGCTTCTCTTACAGCGAAGAGACATCGCATGTGTATACTATGGGGTCAACTGTCGACACCTCGCTTCCTCATAACCGGGACGTTTGACACTTATGAGGATCTAAAGCTTGAAGGAAGTATCCGGTGCAACAGCCTAACAAAAATCTAGGCAACATAATGAACCTCTCCGCACCCGAACTCACCTAACCGTACCGAGCCAGCCTCACCCGTCCTCCGGGGATGGCCTTATCCATATCAGGACCTTATAGGTACTATATTTCGCCTATTCGCTCTCACACTTTCGCAGTGCTTCAACGCGACCGGTTCTCAGTCCATCTGCTGCCCGGGACAATGCCCACGGAAATTTCGACTGCCCATTTTCCGTCATCCATGTACGCTGATACGTCTTGCACAGGTTCGGTCACATTTCCCAGCCAGGAACGATTCTTGACCACTCGTTGTCTCCGTTCTCTGCAGTGCTTCAACGCGGCCGGTTCTCAGTCCATTTGCTGCCCGGGGCAATGCCCCGGAAACCCCGGAGCCACCGCTGTCTGCGGTGGTCCTTCCCCGGCCACCGGATCTCCGGGCAATCCCTCTCCCACCAGTGCCTCTGGTTCTACGACCGGGGGAAGCCCTCCGTGCGATCCAATGTCCAACCTGCCGAACCAGGTGCAACGTCGGGAGTCCACCGCTTGACTGATCAACATAAGAGGGCTTAGTCTTCTCCTTGCCGAAAGTCTTTTAACGCTTTGCCATGTTCTGATTGCACATTTGATTGCCGTCTTATTCCTTCCTAAGCACAGCTTTGATGGCCGTTGCACGATTGCTTTTTCTCTTTTACAGTGAAGGACATCGCATGTGTACACTATGTGCTCAAATTTCGACAACTCGCTTCCTCATAACCGTAAAGTTCGAACCTTATGACGATCTAAAACTTGAAGGCAGTACCAAAACAACAACGTAACAAAAACCTCCAATCAACATTATAAACCACTCCGCACCCGAACCCGCCTAACCACCAAGCCGACCTCACCCGTCCTCCGGGCATGGCCTTATAGGCAATAGAACTTTACAGATACTCAACTTCGCCCACTCGCTGTAAACCTTTTGCAGTGCTTTAACGCGTTTGGTTCACAGTCCATCTGCTGCCCGGACAGTGCCCTCGAGATTCAATCCGATTGCCCAGTTTCCGTCATCCATGTACGCTGATACGTCTTGTAGAGATTCCGTCACATATTCGAGCAGAAAACGATTCTTGACCACTTGTTGTCTCCGTTTTCCGCAGTGCTTCAACGCGGCTGGTTCCCAGTCCATTTGCTGCGCGGGACAATGCCCAAGAAACTCGTTCCAAGTATAACTTCCGTCATCCATGTACGCTGATACAAGTTCATTCTCACTCCCCAAAAGCGTAGGATCCTTGACTGCCCACTTTCTGCGTTTCCGCAGTGCTTCAACGCGGCCGGTTCACAGTCCATCTGCTGCCCGGGGCAATGCCCCGGAAACCCCGGAGCCAGCGCCGTCTGCGGTGGACCTTCCCCGGCCACCGGATCTCCGGGCAATCCCTCTCCCACCAGTGCCTCTGGTTCTACGACCGGGGGAAGCCCTCCGTGCAACCCGACCTCGAACCTGCCAAACCAGGTAAGAATGCCCAAGACCGATGTTCTTTGTAACAAACGGAATACTTTTGTGTTCGTTGTTGTGAGCTGGATTCTGAGTTTATAGGCCTCGCTGCAAGTTCGCCCTGCACTTCGGTCTGGCCACCATTGCAATCTTGTTCCTCTTGCATTGCACAAGGGTTTTGCTTGGAAATGGTAGTTCTTTGGGGTTGAAAACGATTGAGGATACAGAAGGAAAGTCACTCAGGTATGCGGGGAGTCCTTACCAATACTTTGATCACCGATCCGTTGTTTGACAGTCGCCGTTGCTCCGTCTGAGGCTTCAGAATGAAAGAATCTGCTACTTTTGCTGCGAGCTCGAGACCAGTCGTACAAGATTCTTTCAGGTGTTTCAGAATCTTGCACGTCTTCTTCTTGTGGGTCACCGAGAGGATCCGTAGGCGTTGTCATCCATTTAAAGAACTGTTGTGACGCTTTTCGACGGCTTTCTCCTGTGCAGTGCTTCAACGCCCCCGGCACTGCGTCCATTTGTTGCCCCGGGCAGTGCCCCAACAACCCGGGGCCGACACCGTTTTGCGCTTAATAATCTCTTTGCCCCGTACACTGGCATACGTTATTTAACAACACAACAAATCAACCCGTGACCGAGCAATGCCCCAACAACCCGGGGCCGACACCGTTCTGTGCATAGGAGTCTTTTGCCTTGTACACTGCCATAACTTATTGACCAACAAAACAAATCAACCCGTGACGGTTCCATTCACCCAGTCTTTTTTACGCAAGCGCGACGCTAATCTTGTTAGACACGGCCTGTTTTGGTGAGCACTGGCAGTGACGAATTGTAGGCGACCCAATCATTAGCTAAGACGTTAACTTGAAAGCGCCCAAAAAGACGTCCGCCCGATGTCTTTCTCCATCAGAGTGTAATTTACCTCGTTGAGCAAGCACCGTTGAGTTGAAAATCAGACATTTGATTTGGTGCATCACGATGTTGTATCTTGGTCAGGGCTCGCGGGCCTAAGATTAGGACTTTGTGATTAGTGCCAAAGCAGACGACAAGTTTATTGCTTTTGACACTTTCGGATTTGAGCTCTTTCTTCAGATTATCCTCGTGTTGTCACTACCAAGCCTATTGAGTCCGATTCCAGCAGCCATGGCGGCATGCATTACCACATTTGTTCGACGTTTGTGCTCGATGCCATAATGAGACACTGCTAACTCCCGCTTATAGTGTTCGCTGTTGCACACCTATTGCACTTCAAGCTTGTAACTATGTACGATTAAGCACATTCTTTCACAGCTTTCCGTTGACTGTCCATCATTGCACAGAATACATATGAGTACTGGTGCATGAGTTTCACCCTGCCCCGAACTTTGTGCATGAGTGTAGTTACTCACTCGAGTTATATGGTTACTGGGAGATGCATCTGTTCATGGATGATTGACTCGTAAATCTAGGTCCAGCTGGTTCGCATACGTGCACAGTGGACACCAATGATTAAAGTGCGCCATAAGGGACGCTGTGCCAGTTAAGCTATAGCTAGGCATGTAGGTCCCACGCTGACAGTGCGGCCATGAGTGAGATATCATGCATGGGAGCGCCTGGAGCACGCGGGCGACGTTGCCAGAGCGCTAGCTAGAATCACAGGCGATCAAGCCATGACCACACATGATATAGCTTAGTAAGTTAGTACATAATTGTTGGCATGTTAGTGACCGTATAATTCTCAGGCTGGACGCGCGCTGCATGTACTTAATGATTGCGCAGAGAATCATTCGGCATGGTCGTCTGCGCATCGACTCAGTAGCTCGTAGAAGATCACGTTACGCTTTTAGTGTATTCTGATAACATTTGAGCACTTGCGCTGCATCATTGATGGGGAAACTCGAAAGTCATGGCACCGCCAAACATGGCACACTGCATGAGCTACTCCTGTGAGCTACGATTGACTGTGAGCCAACTTTGGAGAAAACGATGCGTTCCCGGATTATTAGAGTCTCACAGTCAAAACACGTAAATATACACGTTCAGTGGTCGGCTCAAGCGTGAACGAGTTTACAGTATATGCAGTATCAATCCTACGTAGGCCTATAGAAACGATATGACCTCTTCGGCCAACAAACCACACAACGCTCTAAGCAGTCCGCAGCCCCAGTCCCACTCACATCACTCTCCAGTACCAAAAGCAAAAGCTCGAGTACCAAATCACCAACCTCCAAAATACACTCTCCGAAATCAACGGTACACAAGTAAAGCTTAATCTCCTAGCTGGCATACTGGATAATATAGAACATGACCCCCTGCGGCGACTCGATTCCCCCCATGTGGCCCACCCCCTCGACCTCCATAACAGGCATCATTACTTTTCCCCCCAGCTCCACCGCCTTCTTCTCTGCCGCAAACACGTCCGTCACCGCGAAATACACCGCCCAGTGCGGCTTCACACCCTGCATGTGCTGCAGGATCGGCATGACCCCCGCCACCTGTTCCCCCCCCAACTTACAGATGGTGTACTCGAACCCCCCCGGCATCGACTTCGCCTCCGCGCTCCACCCGAACAGCGCCGTGTAGAAGCCGACCGCCTTGCCGACGTCATCCGTGAGCAGCTCGAACCAGCTCGCGGCGCCGTGCGCCGTGCCGTCGACCTCGTCGAGCGGCTGCTTCTTGGGCTGCCACAGGTCGAACCGCCCCCCGGTCGGGTCGACGCAGCACGACATCCGCCCGTTCTCCATCACGTCGAACGGCGGCTTCGACACCGTCCCGCCGAGCTCGGCGACGCGCTTGCTGACGTCATCGGTGCTCACGGCCCTCACCATGACACCGATCTGCGGCGAGGACCCGGACGGGTTGTTCGGGCCCGGGGCGCTGTCAAAGAGGCCCCCGATCTTCTGCCCCCCCGCTACAATGATGTGCCCCATGCTGTGAGGCAACTCGTCGTAGGTCCACCCGAGCAGGTCGGAGAAGAAGGCGCGCGCTTTGGGGGGGTCGGGGGTCAGCATGTTTACCCAGCAGAACTCCCCGGGTTGGCGCATGCGGCCAGGCATGGTGTCTGATTGGAGAGGAGTCTGGGAAAAGGCACCTGTACAGAGGGGAGGAAACTGTTCAGTTGTAAAGTTGTAGATTTCAGCTGAGAAAGTGAGTGCACAATTTTGCTTTTCGGATTGTGCATTGTGTTGTGGGGACGGACTTGATAAGCTTGAAGTCTGACAGCGGTGGTCAATTGCTGTCAATGATGGTGATTCAATTCCCTGATTTTGACAATGGGACTCACTCGAATTGACTGAGTTCACCACTCAAAAGTATGTGTGGTAAGAAGGGGCTCTGCACGCTTTTTTATGGTTAAGTGGTTGACATAGGAAATATGCCTAAATGTTCACATTGTCGCCAGGAGCCTAGTGGTGAGGTCAATGGCGGAGCTCCAAGGTTGCAATGCTGGCGCCTTCGCTCGAGGATGTCGCAACTGACGCTAAAACATGAGATATAACGCAAAGCCTACTTATGCCATTAAGAAATCCTCCAATGGCATTCCAAGTTGTGGCATTGTTAGGAGGTCTTTGGAGTGGCATAAGGTCCATTCCAATTATACCTCAGGAAGATTAGGTTGTAGGAAAAGGGTTAGTATCAGGACTCAACCAGCAGAACCATCATCAACGCAAGTCCAAATTCGTTTTCAAGCCTGTTATAGCTGAAAGTAAAGGAAAAGTCTCTCTTTTCTGAACTGCTGAAATGGCGTCAAGAGACGTCGTTGCATTGATTGCCTCTGGAATGTCAAGCACAGGTCTTCCCAGATATTTTTGCCCTGTTTAAAGAAAGGGCAGGAATCGAGATGACTCAAACCCCAGTGGCAGCAGGCAACAAGTTCGATTTCGATGGAGTCACAAGCCTGCTCAATCAACAAACAAAACCAGTCTGCAATTTTCTGGTCTACCTTTTGCTAGGAAGGTCAACTACAGCTTCGCAGTGCCGCAGCAATTGGCCCTCACATATTGATAAGCTGGAGTTTTTGGACGCCTCACCTTGAATGCAGGCTGGTCTTCTAAGCGGTACTCCACGCCCGCTCTGCCCTTGACAGCGTGCTGATTTGGAAAGGTGCAGCCTGCCTGAAAGTTTACGGATGATGTGAGCGCATAAAACCTTTGAGGCAAATGACAATGCAGCGCCCCTTTTGAGGACCAACTAGATACCATTGGAATGCGCGTCTGTGCATTGCCATTAATGGCAAGGCTGCAGGCATTGGTTTCTTCCCGTAAAAGGAGCCTCAAACCAATGATTGCGTCCGTCGTGGCGGGAGTTGACGTCAGGAGATTGGAGCAGGAAGTTGCCGGGAAGAAGTGGCGGCCAAATTTGGAGGCCGGGACTTGACGTACCCAGCTTGATTTCTTCTCATGATTGCTCGGGGTTGGTGGCCCCGGGCGCAACCTTGCGAGGGATCCCTTCAAACACAATGGTCAGTAAGAACCAGGCGTGGGAAAGAAACTGCCCAGCTTCACGAGTGCTTTTCTTAGGTTGCTCCCTCCAACTTGAAGTTGAAAGCTGTTCACCAATTGCGCTCGAGTCCTAGCCCTCAGTCCACTTTCCTGGGAGGCTATGAGCCCTCCGCAGATTCGCAGATGTGAGCGCGATTAAGATTCTGCAGCTAGCATATGCGAGCCTGATCCAGAGCAACACAAGAAGATGTCCCGTCTGCCGCTTATGGATGCCGCGCTGTCTGCTGCCCTGCCGAGCGCGGCCCCTTTTCCGATCGGCGCGCTGGAGCCAGACCTGCTGTGTGCCGTCTTCCTCAAAGTGGGGCCCAGCCCAATGCACTTGGCCGCCCTCCCTAGCGTATGCAGAACCTGGCGGAAGCTATTGTACGAGCGCGGGCTCAGGCACTTTTGTGAGGACATGGCGCCCTCACTGTGCAGAGCAATGGGGTTCAGCGCATCGAGCGCTCCCCCAGGGGGTTGGCCCATGTTGTTCAAGCTGCTGAGAATTTGCACCGAGGCGGCGGATGTTAGTTGGATCAGAGTTCCGGGCGCGAAAAACAGCTGGGGCTGGTGAAGCATGCTGGGCCACATACAAACCGAACAGAGCGCGTTTCAGATGGGTCCTGCTGTGAACCAAACCCCAGGCGATGAAAGCTGAGCTTGAGCAGGAGGTCATCTTCGTTGCAGACTTCTGCGACCACAAGACGCTGCACAATCTGCGGGACCCCCAGGCGAGTGCTTTTCACGCGGTCTCGTACGGAACTTTCCCGAGTCGCTAATCGCGGAGCGGTCCGGGGCGGCCGCATTCTTGTGGGCGTCTGCAGAGGAGCAGCAGAGGATAAGGGAAGAGAGCTATGAAAAGCCGTGCAACTACTGTGGCGCTGCGTCGTTCGGTCTCTCGACCAATGTGATCGAACTCGGAGGGATAACGCGCCTGATGGCGACACCGGGTTTAAGACCATAGGAATAGTTTGCGCAAGTGGGCATCTGTATCTCTTGGGGACGTATAAATGCTGGCCGAAAATGCCTGCGCCGCTGAAGCGCGTTCCAGCCTCTGGGGGAGGGGCGCACTTTAAAGACGTGTGGACTTAGCCGCGTGATAGCGATAGCCTTTGCCCCGGAGAGGAAAATTTTGGGAGTTGACTTGGTGAAGAGGTTCGATCCGTGGACTGTGTCCGGAAAGCTCAAGCGCTTGGCGACTAGAGTTGCAGAAATGGGTCTTAGGGCCGAGCATTTCCAAAGCGCAGTAAGAGTGCTCGAGGCAGGGCCGCCGAGCGGCGCGGAAGTTGCGCCCTCATTAGAGGCTCAGGATGTCCGAGCTCTAGCGATGGAATGGAACGAGTCGCAGGACCTTCAGAGCTTTACGGAGGAGTATGAGGAGGAGCCTCGAGCTGATGACTCGTGCGTGGAGCTAGAGGTCCGAGTGGAGTCCTTAGTGCAAGAAGTCGAAACGCACTTAGAAATAGGGACTGCAACAGCGGAAACGTAAAGTCCCATTCTGGGATATCCTTCGGATACTCTGTGGAGACTCGGCGCACTCTTCCAAGCAACTCGGAAGCAACTATGGCACGCTATCTCAACGACGAACAGAATGCACAAGTGACACTGGAGCAGCTTCAGAGGCTAGATGCGCTGAATCTGAGGAGTGACCTTTTACACCATGCTCGGGATGCGATGATCCGACAACGCGGAATCGAGGTCGAGAGCGCTCTGAATGGGGTGGGCATACGGAAGGGGTGTCGCAAAGGTTTTCAGGGTTGGCCGGATGATTTCGCTGTTACGAATTACACTTTCAAATTAGGTATCACACGTTAGATAAGGTAATCGCCTGCCAAAGGAAAAGGCTGATCGACCGATTGTAAGTAGCTACATTGCCTGAGACCCCCAGGAGATCGAAGGGTAAGCTAGGCTAGTAAGCTGAGGACTATGAAACACAAAATCCCGTGCGCTTTTCAAAACAGACTATGTTGTCATGCTGACAGAAGACGGTATATAATCTTATCATAGACGCTTACTTCGATAGTTGAGGGTGTTGTTTGTCGTATATATATACAGCATGCAGGCCCTAGCCGGATGAACATGTACCGGCATGCGAGAGGCTCATGTTTTCTTTGAAAACTATACAAAGTTGAATCATGGTATAAGGCTATGATCATATGGAGATCACCATGTACAACTTGAAGTCAGTCACTGTCGGGCTCGAACCACCAGTGGACATGATTTGTTGCCCCTGCGCCGATGTATACATTCGCAAATCTCTTCGCTCCAATTCATAGGGATATCCTGACTGATATAACCCGAGGGTTAAGGCAGAACTGCCATATGCGCGCTAGCTGCGAAAGCAAGGTAACTCGAGCTATGTTACTAACCGCATATAGCCGGCATAACTTGTTGTACGCGCCTGCCAGGCGTATCCAGTGCTGACCGGAAGGTCAGCGCACGTCCGGCACACCTGCCCGCGCGAGTGCCAGGTCGCGGCGGCGGCCCATGCAGAGTCTACTATGCCAGCCTGCATACCTTTGATCTTGAAACCATTGGATACCCCGACGGCTTTTGTCATGCGGCGGCGTGCCATAACAGGCCCGTGCTAAATGACAGCGTTTGATTACAATCATTTCGGATCGCTGCTTGCCTGCCCGTCTAACATGGCCGCTGGCCGCCACTGACTATCCACTCTACAGTCATAAAGCAGACCGGCTTGTTTCATGATCGTATTGTTTGCAATCGACTTTTACGTCACCCGATCATTGTTTGACATCGCATGCACATGGTCGCTAGTCAGAACTGCTTGAGTGCATCCATGAGTTCGACCGCAGTACGATGTGGACTCTAGCGCACCGCATGCAAATCCAGATCGTGCCATCAGACATATCCATGCGCACATATGCACATTTGCATGGTTGCCGCAAAAACGTTGTAACAACGAACCTCGCAAAATCAACAAGAAAGCATACTGAAGGGGTCCGGATCTACGACGTGGTCAGAGCGCGCTTCTTCTTGTCCGCCCGGGGCTTCTTGCCGTCGGCCTTCTTTACCCGCAGAGCCTTGTGGATGTGGCTAACACGAGACTTGGCCGCCTTCTCGAGATCTGGCCGGAACCCGCTGCCCACGACGGTGGCGTGCACGGCCTTGGCTACCCTCCGGTTGTCCTTCTTGTGGACGTTAGACGAGACATGCTGCACGGATCCGGATGGAAGAACCGTTAGGACCACGAGTAACCGGAAGGAAAATCCGAAGTAGAAGTGAAAATGACAAACGACTGTGACGAACTAAACGAGGCTGGACTCAAGGGCTGCTTAAGAATCGGGATAAAAGTCAGGTTATTGTGCCGAAAGAGACTGTCAACACCACTGCACAGCGGCAAGGCTAGATCATGATATAGCGTTTGGCAAGCGCTGATATGCATGACGTTCCTTCAGAACTCCGTTTGAGCACATCAGCATCTGGGTCAATCCCGTTTGGCTAACACGCCTGCGCTCCTTGATTGAGATCTACCTTCCTGCCAAGCAAAAGGGAATGAAAACGAACCCCAGGCGAAGCTGATGCAGCGGCAGACAACAATAAAGAATCAACTCGTACCACTAAAAAGAGTTCAGTGTGATCGAGACGTACGACGAGCACTCGTATTGCTTCTGAACGAACAAAGCCAACGGGTGCAAAAGCTGTAAAGTTTGAAGTCAAAGGACTGCACCGCCTGCATCAGTCGAAGAATAGACTTTGAAAACGGAGGGGTGCCAGAATTGGCTGTGGGCCTGATTCCATTGATTAGTGTGACAGTTCCATCCGGCAAGGCCCGCACATTAACAGTAAATATCAACATCGAAAGGATGATACTGAGCTTGGCGACTAGGGTGACATACGCTCCCAAGACTTGTTAAGAACAGTGATGCTGTCAAGAGGCCAACAGATCAAGGCTGTTCATGGCTGGTTAAATGAGCACGAAAAAAGGATTGCCATCCGACGACACTTGCGAAAACGAGAGACCCTTCGATGATTTGATAACCATGTTCTGTGAGGACGCTTGCCTGCTGGAGCACTTCTGTAAAAGAGTCTAAACAAGTAGGGCCAGTGGCACTCTACCAAAAATGCCAATAATCACTATAGGCTCTTTGATTTAACAATAAAAAGCTGACAAACAAGGATAAGTACCACCAAACTCGATCATTGACGAAACCTTGAAAGAGGAGCTGACGCAAGAGCAGAGCCTCATGAGTTGCACACAGCTGCTCAACGACGGAGATTCGTTCCCCCTGTCCAATGTAACGGTCAATTTCTAGAGCAGACCCGGTAAGTCGCTGTCCAATCCCTGACGACCAGCAGGGATCAAGAAAAAGCCAAAAGTCCCACAGGTTCACAAGAGGGGCAAAGCCAACACCATGATGCAGATAGAAGTATATCCAAGCACAGTATGCAACGGAGGGTGGCTCCTGATAGCAGAAAGATTGGGTGGGAGGTAAATGTTCAGTGGATCACAAAAGCAAAGAAAGTCTATAGGCTTATGCGGCATGACAAACGGTATCAAAGCTACACGGTCGCTGAAGCTGCAGTATGTTAAAGACCCTCCAGTCACGTCAAACCGGACACTCGAAGCAGGTCGAAACTTGAAAACCTTCAAGAACTTGAGAGCTCAGGAACAAGATACGGAAGGAGCAAGAGCCGCATGTTTTCTCCAATCAACCGGTATGATCTGCAAGTAATCAACCACTTTCCTTCCTTCTTCACATTATCACCAGAAGAAGATTATCACCAGAAGAAGATCAACCAATCTGGCTTGATAAAGCTGACGGCTAATGCACGGGGTAGAATCCAGCAAGAGGACTTCAAAGCCAACAGCTGGATGTAAAACTTTCAACATAATCCTGGAGCGGCCGTAACTGCTCGGGCGTTGACCATGCACCGTGAAATGGAAAAAACTCCAGCAATCGGCCAATTGGCGACGCTTCCTTCAGATTGATAAAGCAGACAGGTGCTTTCTCATGAAGCATCAACACTTGCCAGGTCTGCAACTGTAGGCTGGGATACAAGTGACCTTGTAGTCCAATTCCGCAAATGAGACAGCTCCTGCCAGAGCCAGCTTCAGCCAGAGAGAGTGTTGGAGCTGCACATGGTAATGGTACTTTGCACGGCCATGATGCGGGTTGGCCAGCTTTCGATTATCCGCCCCACCCACTTAAACCATTACCACCAGCACTGTGACCCGATAAGTTGCTCATATCACCGCCTTTGGCTCCCTGAAACCATCTCTTCCACTCTCTGCGCAAATGATTTTAGCCTGAGCATATCGAAGTGACTCAAATTTACTCAAGCAACTCTAAGCTGAGTTTTCCAAAACCTAACCGCGGCGCCTCACCTTGGCAGGCTGCCCAGCCTTCTTGGGGTTCGTCGTACGCACAACCACGTGGTCCCCCTCCTCCTGAATGCCCACCGACTTGGGGTTGGCCAGCCCCGAGTACTTGAATGTGTTCTTGTTCATCAGGTTGTTAGGCTCTGAGGTAAACTGCACCTGGCGGGTGGTGCCCCCCCCTTGCTTGTACAGAAACCTGTTCTGCTTCTTGACCAAGAGCCACAGCAGGTCCTGGGAGACGCCCGACATGGTGCCCGGCTCTGCGCGCCGCCCCTACCTGGCTTATCCTGAGAGCGTGCAGAGGGAAAGAGGACGAGGGGGAAGAAGGCGTTATAGGGATCTATCGGTGGCCGACGGAGGGAAGCTTAGAAGTCCGCGCTGCGCTGCTCGGCGCTGCAAGGACTCGGAACCTTTTAGATGGACCACTGTAACTGCTCGACCCATTATGCAGCTCATGTCTCGGCCTCTAACTTCCAGTTGACGCATTCACTGTCAGATTCAGAAGTCCGAGTCTGAGAAGAAGCACATTCTGAGTAACAAAGGCGTCGCGAGCTTGAGGCCCAATCAAGCAAGCTGGTGCAGTCATTTATCATGGAGGCAGCTACTGTAAGACTTCAATGAGCTGCCCTGTCTTGCATTTCGGCGCCTGGTCCTTCGTTGAGCCACCGAAGGCCGAAAAATGAGCCAATTCTATGAGTGCCCTTCCATCAACCAGCGCATAGGCGTCGCAGAGGGAGCGCTTTGAAGCATGGCACCACTTGCAAGGCCCCTAATCCGGACAATCCTTGTGATGAGCGCGCTTGTAGGCACGGGGTATGTGCTGCGGCCAGTGGCCTGGGAGATCGAGGCAAGGTTACACGATGCAAAGGAACTTCTGTACCATCGAGGTGAGAATTGTTATTGGTCTGTAGGCGCCTGCGTCCTCTTTTCGCAAACACAATGGGAAACTATGCATACACATAGCTTTGTGTACAGCCTTATCTGCTGGTGACAAGCCTTCAAGCAAGAAAGAAGAAGAATGACTTGGTACAGATCTTTTCACTGTGTTCGCACAGCTCACCTCCGAGTGCATCAGTCAGTCAGAGCTCAGAATGGTCGTTGGATAGGCAGGTGTTGATCGATGTGGCACTGCCCCGGCAGCGCACACTTGTGTGCGCTCAACCCAATTGCGAGGAGCCATGACAAATTGCATTCTTCAAGTGCTTCTCTAAAGAAATATTAAGTAGGTCAATGTCATCTAGCACGGGTGGATGTTTGAAAGACGCTCTTCAGACTAGAACAATCAGGCACTTTCTAAGCTTGCAAGGAACCACCGAAGGATTTTGTACTGCTTCAAGAGCTAGACTCACCAGAAAAGCCGAGGGGATCACTCTTGCCGTTCTGTTCCATGATCAATTGGTTCACTTCTTGAATGTTGCCTGCAGGGATCCAATATGCTTAGCTTGACCTGCGTAAGCTCATGCGATGTCGCACCCCCAAAGGAGAAGAATCACATGCCTCAAATGCGTCCCTGGTTATATATGATGCCACTTCTGACGCTGCTTTACTTCTTTGGTGGTGCAGTTGGCGGACATACACTTGAGAGGCAGGGCGTTGAGCTGCCTTTAGCAACAGATGAGAATGGGTTGCGTCTGGACGTTTTAGAGAAGATTGGGAGTGAGGAACTGGCCAAGCAAGAGCAGAGAGCGAAGCAGGAAAGCAAAGCTGCATTTGATGACCAGGGTGCTTTGGGTGCAATTAAGATTGGCCGAGGTCAGACAGGGCAACAACCTAAGAAGGTGAGATGATTCCCTGTGACAGCACAGAGAGGTTTGGCGGTATGTAGTGTCAGGCTCCTGTCATTGCACATGATGGGGGAGTCATTCCGCTTGGGTGTTTGTTCCAAATGTTTGTGACTTGCTGCCCTGTCTCGTCTGTTATCTGATACAGTCTGAGGATGCGCTTCAGAGGTTTAGTAGCCCCAATCTTCCTCTGAATATTGGGGCCTTATTCGAGGCTGCAAAACAGAGTTGTCGGTGCACCATAGGAGCATCTGGTGCGACACAGTGCACGTATGAATACAAGTGTGCAAGAATTACTGCTGGCTGTAGCCTTCTTGGCATATTGTCCTGGATTTTGGTGGCTAAGGCAAGGTCAACAGGTGGTGAGACTGTCAAAAACGGCCCTCTTGTGCTTTTCAAGGATAAGGTCTCTCGTTGTATCATCTCAAAAGCGGTGCCTTATTATCATCATAGTTGTCAACAGGGCTTTCATCAGCTCTTTGACCATTTCAGGTGACCACTCGGGACCCCCTAACACAGTACATAAAAGACAAAGAAGAGGGGGCCGAGGGAGGAGGCGGAAATCTATTTGGCAGGCTGACCCGGCGAGGGGCGTGGCGGGGCATAGTTGGGCCATACCTAGGCAAAAATTCACAGATGCAAACGAAGTACGATGGGAAACGGACAACGATAGCGGATGTTGAGAGCTCGGACGAGGAGACAAAGAAAGGCGCCGAGCAGGTGGATGAGTTGGATGAGGAACGGGGAGAGGAGTTTGAGGAAGTAGACGGGGGGAGGACGGTAGGTGGCGAAGCTGGGAGGGGGAATGTTGAGAAAAGCGGTTTCGAAGGGGGCGGTGAGAGAAGCGGTCTGGGAGGGGGGGATGAGGGGGAAGATTCTTGGCTACAGAACTTGATAGGAAACGAAGAAGAGGACGGAGGAAAAGAAAGGTTGAGCAGCGGGGGAGGCGTCACGCTTGGCGAGAGGAAAACTAGGGACGATCTGGACGGCCAAAGAAGAGTAGAGCTTGACACAGGGCCTGGAGTTGTTGAGGAGTCTAAAGATGGTGAGGCGTCCCTTGAGGAGATTGCTGACGGAGTCACGAAAGAGGGGGTGAAGACGTTCCTGGCAGTAAACGCTGACTTGGCTAGCGGTGGCGCCGACGACGAGGCTGTGAGCGGGGCGGGTGGCATGGGGGGAGCTTTGGCGGGAGCGGGGGAGAAACCGAAACCGAGGGAGGTCGTGGAGGAAGAAAACGAGCTCGTGGGAGGAGAGGGTGCGAGGGTGCGAGATCCGGGGGGCTTATGGGAAGCGGGCACGGACACGAAAGCCGGTTTAGAAGAGAACAGGGAGGGCGAGGCCGTTCAGGCGGACGAGGAGTCTGTGGCTAGTCAGGGGACTCTGCTTCAAAATGGGGCGATGTCTCTTGAGAACAGCGGGTCGACCCTCCTCCAAAATAGCTCCGAGGCTCGTTTCAACCGCTCTGCGGCTCTGTTCAACAGCACCGCAGCTCTTCTTAACAGCACCGCATCTCTTCTCAACGGCTCCGAGTCTCTTGATGATAGCTTCTCGATCCTCCCAAACAGCTCTATTCCCTCTCTAAACGTGTCAGCTGAGCTTTCGAACAGCACTCTCACTCTCACGAACGACTCATTACCATCCGATGCCCAATCGACGGTCAAGAGCTGGCCTCTGGTCGAGGCAATGATGCGAGAGATCTGGGAGGCGCCCCCGGCTGGGGTGGGCATGCCCCCCCGGGAGGAATTTACACTGCGCAAGGAAATGGTGGAGCACCGCGCCGTGGACAACACGATCGTGGTCACGTTCGCCAATTTTGCGTTTCTGGACTTTACCACCAACTGGGTGCGGCACCTGACGGACCTGGGAGTCACCAACATCCTCGTTGGTGAGAATAGCCACTTGTTCAAACCTCTAGGATTGTAGCATTTCATAATCAGGATATAGCATTTTGAACCTTGCGTCTGCTGGCTCTCAAAAGGACGCCCTCTTGAGGAGACTTCTGCTTCCGCTGCTCGAGATGATGCTGAGATTGCATTTATCTTTCTGGTCTGAGTGGCTGGAAACCGGTACCTTGAAGCTCGCAGCACCTGCATTTTCCGTCTTGACTTCGAAGTAAGAATGAACAGAAGTAAGAACCCAGGTGCGATGGACGAGCAAGTTTGGCAGGGCCCTGTTCTTCGTCGGCATCCCGGTGTTCGAAATGAGCTTGTACTTCTGAACCGTCGACCCTTCCGAAACCCTGCTAGTCTGAGGATTTGCAGATCCAAATTCTATACGTGCCGTAAAGACGTAAATGGGGATTCTTTCCTTTCCCAGGTGCAATGGACGAGGAAATTCTGGAGGCCCTGCTCTTTGCAGACGTCACGGTGTCCAACATGCGACGACATGAGCCATATCGCCCACTGTTGACTCTTCCGGGGCCCTGCCATTTCGAAACTTCATGGAATTGGAAGCTTAGATTCTCTTCCCTCTCTTCAGGCGCAATGGACGAGGACAGTCTGGAGGCCCTGTTCTGTGCCGGCTTCCCCGTCTTTCACATGAGGAGCGAGACGAGCAATGGCGGCGCCCGAGTGCTTTTCCTGTTTATCAACAAGCGCCCAAGTCATTTGATGAATTACTAAACGTTAACGAGAGTTGTCTGCGCTCCCAGGTGCGATGGAGATCTTGGAGGCCCTGTTCTTTGCCGGTGTCCCAGTCTTCGATCCGAAGACCGAGACGAAGGGAAAGAGCTCCAGCTTTGCTTCTATCTTCAACCTTTCATACGGAAGACGCAAGACTCTGAATCTTGTCCCGCAGGTGCGATGGACGAGGAGATCTTGGAGGCCCTGTTCTTCGCGGGCGTCCCCGTGTTTCACATGAGGAGCGAGACGGGCAATGGCGGCGCCCGTGTTTGTCCCTCGATTCGAACAAGCGCCCAAATTTCAACAAGACATTGACGAATATTTACTTCGCTGTCAGGTGCCATGGACGAGGAGATTCTGAAGGCCCTGTTCTTCGCGGGCGTCCCCTTCGTAATCGACAAAAAGAGCCTTTTGACTTTGTGATCAGGTAATCCTAATTACTTCGAGCGTCCAAAGACTGAATTTCGAACCGCCTCCAGGTGCGATGGACGAGGAGATTCTTGAGGCCTTGTTCGTCGCGGGCATCCCCGTCTTCGACATGAAGAGCGAGATGAGCCCCGGCGACGCGGGCTGGGGCAGCCCCGTCTTCCACAAGATGGGCCGCGAGCGTCTCTATCTAGTTGACGCGCTCCTAGGGTTTGGAGTAGAGCTCCTCATGTGCGACACCGACATGGTGTTCCTGAGAGATCCCCTGGAGTACGTCAGCAGGTACCCCCAGGCGGACGTGCTGACGTCGAGCGACCACCTGGCGCACACGGTGGACGACGAGTCGCTGGAGAGGTGGCAGGAAGGTGCGCGCGCCTGCGCTGTTGTTATACGCTTTCCGAGGAAAAATTTGCGTTTGCGGGATTGCTTGCGTCAGCCGTGGTCTTCGTCAGTGAGTCAACTGTTGCGTAAGTTCCAGTGTCGACCGTTTGCTATAAGGGGAAGGCTTTCGTAGTTGGGAAAGCTATCAAAGCGAAACCGCTTGGGAGCGAAGCCGCAAAACCGGGCCTTTTCCACCATGACGTAGCAGCACGAAACCTGCATGAACGGTCGCTGCAAAGAGATCCGCTGATACTGCCAACACAGCTGCTGGTTAGTTCAACCTTCTTTTAGTGCCGCAAGGCTCAACCAACCAGTAAATTGTTAACAGTACTTCCGTCTACTTTCTACTGAATCTGAAATCCATTCTATAGCTGGCGGCGCATACAACATCGGTATCATCCATTACCGCCCGACTGCCGCCGCGAGGGCCTTCGCTCGCGAGTGGCTTGACGTGGCGACCAAAGACGACCTCGTCTGGGACCAGAACGCGTTCAATGACATCATGCGACGTCAGTTCGGCCCCGCCACAGAAGACGAGAACGGCCTCGTTTACGCGTACGACGGAACACTGAAGCTGGGCATATTACCGGTCAGCCTGTTTTGCAGTGGGCACACGTATTTCGTGCAGAAGATCTATAAGACGACGAAGCTGGCGCCGTTTGCGATCCATACGACCTTCCAATACGGCGGGACCGACGGGAAGCGGCACCGCCTGCGCGAGGCGAAGGTGTTTCACGACGAGCCGGAGTATTACGACCCGGAAGGTACGTTGAGGAGCGGTGCATTCAGAATTGTTGTCGGGGTTCGGTTGTCCGTATTTTGATGCTACGCACTTGCGCACATCAAGTCACGTAAGCGACAGCCTTCGTAGCGTTTTCCCTGAAGAAGGGGAGGACGTTCAAACTACTAGTGACGAGACGGCCTTCGCACCATCATTGAATCTGGTACGGAGAGTGATCTTCCTCCTTGACATCTCAACGAAGCTGGTGACGTACGCCGTGGACTTCGTAACTAGTTGGGTGTCAAACAGTATTGGCAAGTCAAGAACGTACTTGTTTTGTCATTAGGTTTTTCGTATCAGGTGGTCTCCTTGCATACCGCTTCGACATCCCGACAGAGCCGCCGTCGGGTGGCAAGCACTTCAAGACCTCTTTGTGTAAAATTTTCATGGCAGGTCGATCACCGTCTCCTCTTTGACACTACGTTCTCCCGTTCAGGTGGTCTCCTTGCGTACTGCTTCGATATCCCGACAGAGCTGCTGTCGGGTGGCGAGCACTTCAAAACCTCTTCGGTGTCAACCTTGTTGGCAGGTTTAACACCCTCTTTCTCTTGACACAACTTTTTCAATTCCAGGTGGTCTCCCCGCGTACCGCTTTGACATCCCGACAGAGCTGCTATCGGGGGGCGAGCACTTCAAAACCTCTTCGATATCAACTTTGTTGGCAGGTTTAACACCCTCTTCCTCTTGACACAACTTCTTCAATCCAGGTGGTCTCCTTGCGTACCGCTTTGACATCCCGACAGAGCTGCTCTCGGGCAGCAAGCACTTCGAAACTTCGTCGGTGTCAAGTTTTGTGGCAGGCGAAGCACGTATTTTTCTTGACACTACGTCTCCATTCCAGGTGGTCTCCTCGCGTACCGCTTCGACATCCTGACAGAGCTGCTGTAGTTGGCGAAAGTTATCACGTAGTGGCAATCCCATTTGACAGGTTCAGCACGTACTCCTCTTGACACAAATTTTTATTTCCAGGTGGTCTCCTCGCGTACCGCTTCGACATCCCGACAGAGCTGCTGTCGGGCGGCGAGCACACCGTCGAGACGCACTTCGCCCTCGTCAACTACCAGCTGCTGCAGCTGCGAAACGCATTCGCACTCGCCCAGACCCTTAATCGCACGCTGGTTAGTAAACCGCATTCCTAGACCACGTCCAGTTACTCGCCTGTGCTTTGCAGTATTCCAACTTTGTTCCTCTTCCATTCTCGTTTGCGAGGCACTGGATACTGGTCGCTTGCGTTGACGGGTTCTCCAATCAGTAAGCGCATTCTTGTTGCTGAAAGTTAAGCCAATATTCAGAGCCCATCTCAGAGGATTCCCTTTCTCTTTTTCCATTCCGTGCTCTCTCGGAGTTACCGGTTCTTGCTGAGATTGAAAGACCTCAAGCTCGCACTTCGACGGCACGCTTTCGCTTCCCTTGTGCATCGCCATCAGAAGAGAGCAGTTTCCAATCTCGCTCACACGGGGACCCGTCAAGAGAGGCAATTTGACATTCAAGGGAGGCAATCTGACGTTTGTATGACGCGCAGTTGGGTTGGGCCCGTCTGTCTTCTTATCCTAGCCCTCCTTGGACAAGAGAGCGAAGCCCTTGGGGTCCTTACCAAGATGCTAAACGGATTCCGCTTCCGTTCTTATTCCGCCCAGGTACTGCCGGAGCTGTGGTGCCGCTTCGACCGCCTGTGGTACCCCCACAACGGAATCCTGGACGGAACCGCGACGCCGCAGCCGTTCCTGTGCCCAGCAGACCATGTGTTAGAAGTGAGTTCACTTTCACGAGAGAAAAAGTTCAGCGTGGCTCGATCATCACCAGAGATCGTATTGGCTGGGGATAAAAAGCTACATAGTATTCGACGGTTTGGGAGAGGTTGCGAATTGCGTTTTCTGCGTTTCAGCGGTTTGTGCGGGCTCAGAGTCGCCAGTACTGCCGCTCCGTTCCGGCCTGTGCACGATGTCTTGTAGCTTTTCTTAGATTCACGCCAAGTTCGAAACGGGAAAGAAAAGACAAAAAGGCGCAAGTGTTGCAAGTCGTGATGGCCGATGTGCGTTTAGCAACTTGCAATGCTCTAAAATACCCGTGCCTACCCTCACTTGTTGCCAAGCATCGAGGTCCTCTTTTCATAATCCGTGCAAGTTCACAAGATCGATACTTCTATTCCAATTTCTCAATTTATCCAACGGTATTCAGTTGTAAAACAAGGTAAATGAACAAGTTCATGTTCTCTTTACCCGTTCTTACTCAAGCTGGTTCCGAGCCTTAACCAGTTGCCAAGATCGAGTATTCTTAAAACCCGTGCAGATTAACAAGATGGTCGACGGCCTGCCCCGGGAGCAATTTGGCGAAGACATACCGTTCCGAGAGTACTCTCTCCTTGACAACCCGCGGCTTCCGGCAGAGGTATATTTACAATGCTTCAATCCTTTCCTCTTCCGAAGCAAGTTTGAATCACCATGAGGCTCATCAGAGCATGGGTATCGCTCAGAGAGGAAGGCATTGAAGCGTGAGACTGTATCTTCGAGAAGATCTAGGCCCCGCACAAGAGGACCAAGGTTCGGAGTGTGGCAATTTGCTCTGGCTTGCGCGTCGCAATACTGGCCGCACAAATGTCTCGGGATCATGGATAGGCAGTTGTCACGATTTCAATGTGGAATCGGAGCGCGCGCCACAACCGGCTCGGCTTTGTGGCGACCTTCGGCCCAGTGCATCAATGGAGCTGTCGCCTGTTACAGGGTATTTGGGCTTCGCTTTGTGGCAAGCATTTCTGATTTCTTTTGCGGCACCGTGGCGTATGCACTCGGTAGAAGGCTGCTCCAACTAGCTTCTTTGTCGGTGCCGTGGTGCTTTTGATATGTTGCTGCAAGGAAACGTTTACTACGTGCAGACACGTGCCAAGTTGCAATGCTCACGGCCTCACCTTTCAAGAGCTAGCGAATCTGACGCGCCTCCTTTTAACGCCACAGATTTTGGAGTCCAAGGTCGACGTCTTTGTCTGCAAAGACGGGGACGCCGCGTGCACGACAACGGAGGTCAAGCAGGGCCTGGAGAAGCCCACGTGGGTCGTCCTGGAGAGGGATCCTTCCGACAGTCAGGTACGGAAACCAACGAGGCCGATGCTCCATGTTATTCTTTTTAAACGTTTTTCTGCTTTCTTGATGACCGGAGGACACGCTTCGCTCGGACCTATGTCCCCGCTAATCTCGTCGAGTGGACCGTTGTCATGCTAAGAGACTATCTCCATAAGACAGATTTAGATCATCTATATATCTCTTTTTACCCGCTTCTCAAGCTGATCTCCCAAAATGCATGGTACGGAGTCGCGCACATTATGCGGACACTTGTGATACCACCCAGGTCGAGCTTGCCGGACGTCTCCACCTCCAGGCCCGTGTCTCTGAGAGGATTTATGCTGACGGTTTGCACATTCTTTCTCGTTCGTCGTGACGTCGTCATACCTGCTTTTGGCAGAAAGTGCTGTGTGCTCATCTTACACGCAATTGGCCAAAAATGGCCAACCGTTTGAGCCGGGCTCAGGAGCCGGAACTGCTATTGGAATGGGCAAAAAACCCTCAAAGAGTTGGCCGTGCTGCATCCGTGAGCTATTGGATCCACGAGAGTTGAACCCCACGAGATGTGAACCCACGAGAAAACGAACCCGTGAAAGTGAACCTACGAGAGTGCGAATTGTCACACGCCAGCCAAGGCAGCCGCTATGCCCACTTATCTTATTCCTGATGGAGTTCTGACACGCACTCAACCCTTTGCAGGTAAAGGCTCTTCTCGAGCCGTATAGCGACACGAAGCTGTTGAGCTTCAGCACTATGGATGGGGCCTTTGGAGGCTTCGAGGATAAGGTGAGGTTGACTCCGTTGAACGACTGCAAACCTTGACTGAGATTGAACGAGAGTTCTATTCATCATTCTTGGCTTGAAGAAATACAGTCCTGGTTGATCCCGGCAGAACTGTGATCCTTCAGTGTTCAAGTGGCTTTGAGATTTGCGCACGCTTTCGTCGCCATTTCCCCTGGATATACCGAAAGGCTTGAAACCAACGAACGTGCTGCCGCAATTGAGTCTGCAATTGCAGTGCCTTCGTGATTGTGTCCCTACGGCGCCGCCGAGTTTCTGAAGTGCTTCTCAACTTGAGATTGAGTCATTACTGCTATCGTGCATGTCGCAGATGCAAGGTCGCAAATGTTGGAGCTAAAGTATCATTACGAATTGGGTGCTTCTATTCCTGCAATTCCCGTTCCAAAGGCGCCAAACAGAGCTTGACCCGTCGTCTCCACGTGTCGCACAGGTATTGGGCGACAGGTTCAGAGCCCGGGTCAAGCAATACGTTGGCATCTGGTGCTGTATACACGCGCACCCGGGTCATATTTATTACGACATGTACTGGGACGAGAAGCCCGGTTGGATGCCGAAGCCTCCGAAGGATCCGACGGAAGACCACCCCCCGTTGAGACTTCACTGAGTGTACTCTACTTGGATTGTTCTGGTGACTTGTTTTTGCTAGCCTTGCACAACAAAGATACTCTTTGTTGAGAACTTGGAATATGTTTGTGGCTCACGTTGGTCAAATTAAATCTGCTACCTAGGACCTTATCTTTGTCAAATCTGAAACTGGCTCGGAGTTGAGGTAAGCAAAGGGTTCCAGACTTGAAGCAATATACCGTACTTGGCAGGGGAATTAGAGGCATCCTGCTCGTCTTTTCCGACGCGGACCTTATGGCCTGACGGCCCGCAATTTGAACGGGCCTGCGCCACAAGGAGACTGAGCTTTTCGTTTTCATGTATTCCGGGCAGGTAATTGCTGGTTGGCAACAGCCAAAACCCGAGAACCTTGGGCGGTATAGTCACAAATGTCTGAAAGCCATCCGAGTCTCTTTCAGTGTGCACGATTGGAGTTCTGGCTTGCAATTGAGCAGCTGCACTAACTTTGGATCCTTGTATGTGTACTTATTGTAAAATTATATCATTCATGAGGTCCATATTATCCAATCTGCAGCTACGGCGCGGCCCGAGCCTTTACATCGAGTCGGGCTCTCATTGAATCATCTGCACTTCAGGTCGACATGCATGGTACATGTGCACTATGCTCGATCGATCGATCATATGAGTCGTGACATTGGTTGGATACTAGCGCTTAGTGTATCTTTGACGTGCATGTATTGAGTATAGGCCAAGCAATTAAGGAGGGGGGGCCAGGGCCTTGTAGCCTCCTAAGAGCTGGCCGTAAATCTTCATCCGACCCCCATGCCAGAGGATCGCCATATAAGGCGGCGTTTGTTGTTGCAACCATCATTGGGGCGGGCATGCAAACGGTACCCACGTTCAATCTCAGGCCCGGACCAAAGCGGCATGAAATAAAATTCAAGGGTTGCGAACCCCCGCTTCTGCGCGCGGCCGCCAGCCCTGCCTAGTGGCCCCAGCTGCAGTGGTGAACTTAAAACGTAGCTTTGAAATGCAGTGGCATTGGACGACATGTGTAAGATCAAACTGTATTAAAGAGCGACTCCATGCAGAGCCCGGGCGAATCATGCAGTTTGAGGAGCTAGCTGGTTAGTAAAGTGGGTCGTTAGCTAAGAGGTTAGAGCGAAATGCCAATTGCCGAAACGTTCTCCTTTGATATGCTTAAGATCAGCGTGCCAGTATCCGACGTCAAAACGTAGTGGCGCACGTACATGGCATGGCTTTCAGAACCATTTGACTCTCAACCAGGCAATGCAGTAATACGGCTGTCGCGTCAAGCTCTTGCATGTGCGCATGCCGCGCCCTGTCCGATGTCGTTTGTTGCACCGAAGCCAGTTGAGAAGAGCCTTGGACAGACGTCCGGGTTCTTGTTATCCTTGAAAAGCTTGCCACACAGTGGTTTCTGAGTCGTAATGCTAGGTGCATCTGGCTTTCAACAAATTAAAATTTCAAATCAAACGCCTACAAATCAACTAGCCCACAAATGATGCTCTGGAAAACCTAGTGAGATCCAAGATCTCCAATTCAACGTCTAACTTAACGTCCTGATCATCAGAATCGATAAAGCTTCAGTACAGTGGAATGATTTTAATATACACTATATAGCCTTGTTTGCGACGGTACTTTAATGATTGGATCGCCCCTCCGCAAGCATTAAATGCGACCCCGTTCCTGACCTTTCGATGCAATCAATCTATCCTGTCAGCAAGAATGCGCGAATGCGCGCCATATATCTGGTTTCTCCAGTAAAGGTTTATGCGGGCGGCCGTCGTTGTGCTTATTGTACGTCTCAATCTGCAAAGTGACCTTTCAATCACACACCAAACCTCCTGCACAAGAAGGGCCGACTCAGATTCAGAACTGCTCACTCAGAACACGTTTATCCGTCACTGTGCGAATGTCTTGCAAAACAGACAAGTTCGTGCTTAGTGGGCTTTAATACTTGATTGATGTTATACTGCACAATCTCGACAGGCCTGCCAGTCGATTCAGCACACACACAAGACATCATCCGAAAGACGACCAATTGGATTCGATGCCGCAACGGACGTCACCAACATCAAGTCGGGTTTTCAATCAGCATCAGATTTTGCACATGGTTTGGCTTTCAAAGATCTTACTGTTCGTTCACACCTAAAACTCAGGCCACCGAGTCATCTTTCAAATCCCGCAGTCGATTTAAACAGATCATACAGATCACACGCGTTCCGTCTCGCAAGCCCACAGAGCTGTCGAAATACCTCAACGGAAAAAACGAGACTGCATCCACCACCTCCAAAGCAGAAGCATGCAACATGTCAAAGTAGCCTTGGCAGATTAGTCTGCTTTCATTGAAAGGTTATGCTTTGAATTAGAAGCACTCAATCTTAACAGGCCCTGCAACAAACGTTACTAGCAGGGAAGTGATGTGTCTCTCCCTTCCCATCAATTCAAAACTTTTTCACCGCACGACTGTATAGCAGCGTCAACACCTGTGCCTGATTATTCGCGAACAGTCAGTGATCAAGCATTAAACCCTTCTTTTTGAAAACGTCGAGAAGTCGACGTCAGCTTTTCGAGTTTCATATTCCCGCACCTTTACGAAGGCTTTCGCTCACCTTCAGGCTCTCTCCAGCGGCGCATCTTACAAGATGGGTTCGTCGTGCTTCTCTCCAGTTGCGACAAGTGTCAGCTGATGCTTCTTCGGGCGGACCACCCGCCTGCGGAGTCCGCTACAGCAAGACACGCACTGTTGCAGCGTTTCCTTTACGGGGCCCCACACTTCCCGAGCGAACCACTCCCGGTTGACCCAGGTGAGACTGGGAGCCCCTGACTGCGGAATTGCGGACACGAAAAGGAGGCCAAAAGCGAGGGTGACTAGATTCCAAGCGCCGCCAATGCTGGAAGGAAGCGCCAGCCAGGGGTTAACTTGCTCTATGATCTCAACCCCATAGCCGTCGGGGAGAATCTCCAGGGCCACGTATTGGATCTTAGGGTCCGTGTACGTCACAGTCGCGTTGTCGTCTTCGACCGCGATCTCCCGAACGGCGGGCTCCCGAAACTGGGAGCTGCGCCTACTGCCGAGCGCTGTGTATTGGAACGTGACCCGGTTCTTGAGGACGACCCGGTAGCTGGTTTTCAGCGCGGCCGCAATGCTGGTCGTCCGGCTGATGACCTCATCGAAGCGGTTGCTCCGCGCCAGCGGAACGTCTTCCGGCTCGATGAGGTACACCCCAACCGGAAAGCTGCACGGGTCTCTGTCATTAGGGCCCTTCTCACAGGTCGCCACGAGCTTGAGGTAGATAGACGCGCTCCCATTGGGCTCGATCTGGTAGTCGGAGAGCGGGAAGCCAAAGCAGTCCGCGCACGATCCCCCCCGGTTTGTGAACTGAAAGGTCTCAATCTCGCAGGAGGGTTTCTCCGCATAGGTGATGTTTATTGGGTTCCTCCTTTCGAGCCCAATGCCCCCCGGCGGCTGACACGAGGTGCTGGTGTCTAGCTGCTGCTTGATGCGACTTTGCCTCGGCAGTTTCCGCGTCCCGTTGAGCGCCTCAAAGCGCGCCGGGTCAACCGGGCTCCCCCCAGTAACAATGCACCGCACCGGGCTGTCCTCATATTTCTGGTCCGGACTTGAAGGATTCACGTTTGGCTTTGGGTTTGGGGAGGTGACTGTGAATCCCACCTGGGAGTTGTCCAGGTCATTGAAGCACATCGCGACGTAAGGAAGCTGCAGCGGGGAAACGCGGTCGTAGCGAATGGCCACGACCGGCGTTTGGCTGAGAGCGTAAGCCTTGTAGGAAAGGAAGCTGCTGTAGACAAGGAAGCCCACAAACAGGAGCGTGAAGTAAGCCCAGGCTACCCTTTGGGGCTTCACGGGAACAACGTTCCAAGGGAATGCCATTGTTAAAGTGACGTTCTAGTTTGATGGGCTCTCAGCGTGCGGAGCAGCTCAACCAAGAAAGACGGGAATGTTGGCGAGTATAAATAGACAGGCTGAGTATTGTCTGAGACATCCCTTCTCTTTCACAATTGAGCTAGTCGAGGGATCAACAGAGATTGGCGGTCCGTTTTCCGCACTGGCAGCTTGCCTCCGGAGCTTGCCGGCAACCTGCATGTCAGAGACTGCGTGTGGCATAAACCCTGTACTGGACATCCCTTCGCTTCAGCAACTGAGCTAGTCGAGGGATCAACAGATCATGTTGGCTTCGGTTCTCGCGGGCAACTTGCCGGCAACTTACAAGTCAGACTGCGTGCATAAACTGCCAGCAGCTAGCGACACTAGCAAGCACAATGTGTCTGACAGTGGGGGGAGTACCGGCGATGCAGAGGGACAGTCTGGTCTCGACATGGGTATTCAATCATGTGTCTCAGGCTCTTCCAATCACAGAATGCAGCTGCGCAGACTAGAGCTACTGATTGGTCAGAACCATGAGGCGCGTGCCACCTGGCACCACGCCGGTTTCGCAGGAGCCGGTCGACATTAAATGGAGTCCAGCGCACCACGGTACTTACTGCAGTACCGATATCGGCGAACCTGAGTTGACTTTTGAGCTCGTCGCAGAGGTTTCGAACGGGGGCCCGGGGGTCGTGCTTTTGGACGCCACGGTCCACCTCGGCCCATTTGGCTCGCGATTACCGGCCGGTGACGCCTTCCGACTCCCAAGACCCTCTGGAGGGGACACCTGTCACGCTGTCACCAGGGCCAGGCTTAACAGTTGACTTGGAATCTGGGTTTCCGACAGGGACCGGCACTGCCAGGTTTGACTGAAGGTGCGGTACGGACGATGCTCGCTTCGTTGCCGGGTGACGCGTCAGTCCGTCAGGTCATCACGCTCGTTTACTCGTTGATACTATGAGAGGCTGAGCCTGAGATACATTAGGCCGTCAAGACCAACACAAATCTAAGATAGCCATCCCGAATTGGCAGCCCGGGTGTGCTCGTCACACCTCTGAGCATCATGTGTAAAGTAGATCAAACTATAAACAGTAATTAGTAGAATATCGACTGGTTGCATGATCGATATCACGAATATGAAGGAGCAAGCAAGCTCGAAGTGTCAAACTCTCTCATATCGAAATGCTGCTTGAAGTGTCCACAGTGGATGGGATTCCCGTAAGACATGCGGCTCATACGCGGTGAGGGAAATTGCTGATAATTGTACTTTGCTGTACTTTCCGACGCGTCCGTCGATGCAAGCGCCAAAGTACGATTAAGCAGCTGTGCCCACTGCTCAGCGCGCTGCTGTAGTCAGTGTCACGGATCGGACGCCTGACATATAATTGTATATTGACGGCCCCAGTGCAGCTAGGATCCCACATAACAGACTGTCACCTGTCATGCCAAGTCTCGCCGCACTGACGAAAGAACCAATCTTGCCAGCTTCGAGGGTACCGTGACACAAAAAAACGCGAAGCTGACTTAGTGAAGGGAAGGACATTAAAGCTAGAGAAGAAAAGCGTACACTAAAGCGTACACTAAACGTGGAGAAGAAGTACAGAGATTAGGGAATATGTTGCCACGGTACGTGTTCAAAGCGGTATTGAACTATTACTGCCAGACTGTAAAAACATATATCGGTACAACATTAACATACATGCTGGTTGCATGATGCACATATTCTCAAAGGACGATAATAATGCAGGCCTATACATTAATGTGGTGGTATTGAAGAGCACAACTTGAATGCATGTGCGGTTTCTAGTGCACTCTAGTCCAGATTGCACGTGGGCTTTCAACGCAGCTTCTGGAAGTTTTTGATCCTGTACCTCCATAACGACAGCGAGTGATTCTAACTGGGATCCTCTAAGCTATCAGTGATCGTGCCTGCAGCTGGACAATCTAATCAGGCATGGGATTTGATCGTCAACAATTGATGGAGGGAAAGTGAGGGGCGTTTATTTAGTCCGGTCCAACTGGAAGCTCATTGGATAAACTGCATACTCTGTGTCGACAATCAGATGTTCTATAGCTGAGACGTAGCGTTTCCTGACTCTTAATCTCTTGATCATCAACGTGCCCGCGTAGTCGACAACTCGTGGACCGCTCGGCCTCCCTTTCTCAGGGCTCTCACGATACTGACTCAAAGAACGACACCCGTTTCGGCTGCTCTTGTTTCAACCCTCAATTTAGGCACTGCTGACATAAATACGACAACACAAGGCTCCCGCCAAAAAGCCCTCGACCGCGGCTGTCCCTACTGGTGTCCTCACTAATTACTCTCGACAGTGATGCTCAACACGCTCTGGGACTCGTTATCCCACTCAAGAAAATGCCTTCGCTGAAAGCTCTCGTTCAGTGGTGCTCGGAGTGCCACAACGCGCGATGCATGGATCCGTTGTTGCCAATTCAATAATGCCTACGGGAAGAAGCTCCCCCGCGGTCCGTCCCAAAAACGCGGCCTCGAATGGCCTTTTTAGCGCAAGAAACTCAATGATGCCTACTAGAGGGATGCCCCCGCGGTCCGTTCCAAAAATTGCGGCCCCGCATGGTCTTCTAAGCGCAGAAAGGCAGGGCAGCAGGGGGAGTGCCGCACGCGCCAGGGCAGCAAGTGTACTTGGATCCGTCAGCGTTGAAGCACTGAGGAAAAGAAAGGGTAAACTCAGACTAAAAGACTTGTTTAAGAGGCTTGGAATAAAAGGATCATATTAGAAGATTTTCAACGATACAACTAGCTTCTAGAATAGGAGGAGACGAGTGCACGTTTGGAGGGGAAACGACGTCCGGTGCTGTTCACGAGCTAAACATCCAAAAGGTCGTCTCATCACCAGTGGCAATTCTTCGGGGCACAACCAGTCATTAATGACAACTTCAACTAGCAGCTGTAAGGGGTAAGGAGGCGCACTCCTTCCTTCCCGCAGAGCAGGCGGAACGGAATTGAAGAACAGATCGCCCAATCGTTCTCTTTGTTGACCCATTGGTCAACAAGGGTGCTCAACCAACGACTCGGATAACCCACCTGGTTAGGCAGGCTGCTACCAAGAGCCCGATCGACTCATTTTCCAGGGGCTCGTGATGCGGCACGTGGGTCGAGAGCATTTTTGAGCATCAAAAGGAAAAAGACGACCGCTCGAGCCCGGGGTGTTGACCAGCTTCAGCGATTTGAACCAGCTGCCACGTGGCAGATTCGAGCCTCAGTCACGTTACACGTACCTTGGTTCGGCAGGCTGCTGCCGGCGTTGCACGTGCCGCCAACCGGGAAGGCAGTCGGGCCCGGGGCACCGGTGATCGCGGCAGGGGTACTGGCGGGGGTACCGGCAGGGGTACCGGCGGGGGAACCTGCAGGGGTACCGGCGGGGGTAGCGGCGGGGGTACCGGCAGGGGTACCGGCAGGGGTCGGGGCGGGGGTGGAGCCGCAGACGGGGGTAGTCCCGGGGACTTGCCCCGAGCAGTAGGCCACGGCGCCCGGGGGGGAGCCGGCCCCACCGCAGGCGCCGGCGCAGCAGGTGTAGGAGGAACCGTTGCCGTTGAAGCACTGGGAAGGGGGAGAAAAGCGACAGAGAAAGAGTCGAAGGCCTTTTCAATGACTTCGCAGCAACGGTGACCAATTCTAAAATACTTTTGAAGACCCGAACAACAACGAGCAAGCAATCCATGAGGCTTAGTCGCGCAGAATCAGATCGGTAGTCTTGTTGCGATCTCGTGTGCTGTTCTAAATCATGAGGCGAGCGCATTTGGGCAGGATGGCGGAAGCAGCGCAGCGGTCGATTTGGGAGGGAGGGATGCGGCCACTCGAAGCATCGAGTTGCCACGGGTCACTGTTTATGAATCAACTGCTTCGTGCAATCACAACGCAGGCAGGAAGGACTCTCAGGAAGTCTCCGGCAGTCCAGGACACGTTCTGGAATGCCGTTACTGTAAAGGGGGACAAAAGTCACCTGATTGGGGGTAGCAGAGGTGTAGTCACAGGTCCCCCCCGCCGGGAAGCTCTGGATGCAGTTCAGCGAAGTCGAAGTCGGGGTCGGTGTCGCGGTCGAGTTAGCCGGGGCGGGAGCAGGTGGCGTGGCAGCCAATCCAAAGACCGCTGTCGGATCGACCGCGATTTCGGTGAAGAAAGTCGTCGCACCAGAGATGCCGAAATCGTTATCATTGTCGAGGATGATTCGCGCTGGGTTGGCGGTGCTGGAGGGATCCCCGTAAATGGCAAGCGACTCGACCTTGGACGGGAGCTGGGGCCCCCCCGCGGGGAGGTCGGTGAGGGAGTCGAAGGCCAGGGTCTTCTTCACGGGGGTGATGCCTGGGGAAGAATCAACCGGTAAGTGTGTACCCTTGTTGACTGGCCCCAAATCTATCTTTTCCCTCTTCACGCAGAGTGTCCTTGACAAAGAGAGTCTCGAAGACCCTGGGTGGTTTGTAACAGGGTCGGACTACCGATCGCAAAGTTGTTTGTTCCTTTCCTTCTTTCAAGTCTTCTCCCACGTTTATATTGTCCCTGGTCGGTACAGTAGACAGGATTGGTGACGGCTGCAAAACCCGAGTCTAACACACGGTCGGTCGCATCCTTCTTCATTGTCTACTCGTTACTTTCGGCTTGCCCGGTCTCAAGCTTCTCTACGGTTTTGCAATACAGAAGGGCCGGTCTGCAGAAGCTCTTCCTCTTCTTGACGGGGGCCATGTGTGGGCGAAGAAGCGGCTGCCGTAATTAAATTCGCCACTCTTGTCTATGAGTCAACGATGCTTTTCTACTAATACTTAGATCTTTTGTGCGCACCTTTTACAAAATCCCAGAACGATGCTACGGTCTTCGATGACGTCGCCGAGTCGGACATACGATCAGGCGTAATGGCATTTCTTTGTCAATCAAAAGTTTCAACGTGTCGGAGACCTTCAATAAAACGATTGTAATTGTCTCCGTTTTGACGAAATAATGTCGAACTGGGTACCCAACCCCTGAAGCAGATTCGTGGAGATTTGGCAAAAGGCAGCTCGGGAAGTTGCGGAAGGAACGAGAATACGAACTGGTCAGAAAATCTGGCGCACAAACAACTCGTTCCGGGCTTCCATAATCGACAAGGAAACTGCAATTGGTCAGAACGCCTCAACGGGTTTTCTACGTGCTCAGTGTCAAACAAAGACGAACGCTACGAAGGAGCGAGGACCGACCTTGGGATGCGAGGGTCTCGCTGCTGCCAGCAGAACCGGCCACGTTGAGCTGCTCGAGGGGTGGGGGACTGCAGAACGTCGTCCCACTTGGAGCCCAGAATGTTGGTCGCACCAGCCAGCTCAATCTGCACGAAGGGTTTATTTACACACAATCTAGGGTTTTGAATATGGGGGGTAAAGACTTTCTGAGTTTGACGACTCGGTTCCTTGAGGGTGGGGGACTGCAAAACGTCGTCCCACTTGGATCCCAAGAAGTTGGTCACCAGCCAGCTCAATCTAAACAAAATTGTAAACATGGTCAGCGGATAAATTTCTTTAGGCGGGCTGAAGATTCCTGAAGAATCAAGAGCCCTACGGTTTACCCCACAGGTGCACTTTTGGTATCAGGAGTTCCTGATAAGAGAGCACTACGGCTCAGCACCTGCGCAAGAAAGTATGCGGAACGAGTCCCCGTAATCGTCACAATGGATACTTACTCGAATAAATAAATTCGATCCGCAAGCGTTGCATCAACTACCCTGACCACCAAGCACATACATCTAGATCAGAGACGCGTGTCTATCGAACGGCTCACCCTGAAGAGCTTGATCTGGAGGGTGACGTGTTCGTCCACGAGGATGACGTCCTCCGCGATCGCGACCGCGTCCCCCAGCTTGATGTTGGACTGGTCCGCCTTGGGCTGGTCTTGGGGGAACGTCAAGAAGTCCTCTGCGAAATACACGTATTCCCCCACCACCTGGGCACCGCCTGCGGGAAAGAGCACACAACATCTCAACTTTTCCTTTCTTTTTCGTTTTCGTTTGGGCCGTCTCTACACTGACTTAACTCAAGAAAGATAATGTAAGCAAAGAGACTAACAAGGTATCCTCGCACTAGGAGGGGTGGGGTTGCATTTGGGAGTTAGGGTACGCGGCAGGTAGTTTTCAAGGTTGAGTTTCTGATGTCAGGTGGAGCTTACTGATAGCTTCACTTCTTGAGCTCTCCTCGCGCGTCACAGTCAGGACCCCAACACACAGTGTTCTGTCCAAAGTTTCATGAGTATGTGAGATTTACCAAGCGTCCAGGAAAGCAAGCTCTCTGAACGTGCATCTTATCATCCGGAGCTGATGATTCTTTAGGCACAAATTTACGATGCACTCGAAAATCGCTGCGCAGATACCATACCGAAAGCATTACTGGGCAGGGTCAATATACAAACACTTTTATTGCGAAGAGGGCGATGACGTCCACAACGGTGACGTCATGAGTGACACGTGTCACTTACCTGGGAAGGCGTCATTGAGTTCCAGCTTGAAGAGGCGGATGACTCTCGAGATCGCCTGGATGGTCTCGCCGGGGTTGGCCATGGGGCTCTGTATGAAAAGAGGATTAAAAAAGCTGTGTCCACTTGTCTTTTCGAATGACCCTTCTACGCAAGTAAAAGCTGAAGAGCAGTAGTAAAAGTGAAAGTAAAAGTAAACCCGGGGGGTAAAGTCAGGAAAAAAGACTCCTAAAGAGAATAAATTTAACAGTAATACGGACTGACCAGCATACGGAAGGCTAAGCCCGGCCAGCAAAAGCGGATGGGTTATAAAAGAAGGCGTGCAATCCAGCTTTCAGAAGATGCTCCATAAGGGTGGAAAGAATCAAGGTAAAGCACTAGGTGCAATAGCCCGAATGTGGATGTTAAAAGTTAGGGGCCGGGAGCCCAGCTGGACAAATCAGAAACGGCTCAGCATCCAACGACTGTACAGCATCTAAGATACTGTGACGACCACCGTTCACTTGAACTGAGTTCAAATCCCCTGTTAATTTGAATAGTAAAAGAAAGGCTCATGGCCTTCAAAAGCGCTTTTGATATTCGAAGAGAGCGCTTAAGAAGACGAAAGGAAAACGGAAGCCTAAAATGGAACGGGAGTGTCTAGCCGATTCTCAGTTCGCAGCTTCTCTTTTAAAGAGCACGTCTGTACTGAAGCAGAACCGCACAGCTTTGAGCTCAAGGACCCAAATCAGGAAATTGTCAAAAAGCCTTCGCAGAATCTTTAGCTGCAGAAGCGGGGCAAATCTGGATACGAATAAGGTGAAAACTCGAAGCTGCAAAGGGACAGAAGGAGAGAAAAGGAGAGCGCTTTCGCTCCTCCACTGCAAAGAAGCACGAAAGCCGTACAAGCTGAGCAACGCGATAAAGTGTCTGACCTGCAGAATGGCGTACAAGTACTTTCCGAAGTAGGCCAGGTTCTCAAACCCACGGTTCAGCTCGCGCTTGACCAGGATAGACGGGAAAGTGGGATAGATTGGGTACCTGTACGAAGAGAGTCCGTAAAATTCCTTGAGACGAACGTAACACGTCGCTCAAGCAAGGTTCCTTTTCCGATCGCTTGTCTAAGAGAGCAGTTCATCGATGGCAGGGAGCTTCGCGAAAGAGCAGGTAACCCACTCTCAGCAACTCCGCAACGATCGGCAATCAAGTCCAAAAAGCCCGATGCTAACATAAGTAACTTTCTTGATCAGCTTCTCTTCACCGAGCTGGATATTTGCCAAAATAAGTCGCGTGCGATCTAACGAGGTCTACCTTGTGGTCACCACAGGACGTCAGCAAGAACGACACCAGCCACCCGACTTAAACGGGTTAGCGAAACCGAACCAGAACTTACCCGTTGGTGGGATCGACCGCCAGAATCGACTTAGCGCGGGCAACGAAAGTTTCATTCACTTTGCAGCGTCCTTTGCTAGCCGTGAGCAAGACCATTAGCAACCACCCAATCTAGACCACCTGAGAGCCGGTCACAGAAACCAAAACAAAACTTACCCGTTGGTTGGGTCGACCGCCAGAATCGGGTTAGCCCGGGCGACGAAGGTTTCGTACACGACACCCGCTGGCACGTGGCGCGCGAGCACGGTGCCATCAGAGCCGACCTTGGAGACGCTAGGGCCGTACTCTTCCGAAATCCAGAAGGTTGCGCCGGTGCCGTCAGCATTGGCTGACGTCTGCGAAACAAAGAGATGAGTGCTTTGTGAGGAGATCACTTCCTGGCAGCACCAGCGGAATTTGGGCTGGCCAACGTTTGGCAAAGTAAGATGAGCACTGGTGAGAGCAGCCTTCTCAAACGCAGCAATCGGTCGGGGGAGCGTTTACCGCATCAGCTAGCAGCAGTCTCAAAATTCTCTCCACCATAGGTCGTTTCTATCTGCGTCAAAAGTTATAACCAGAGTCCGGAGAGAAGGTTCGGAAAGGCGGACACATTGAAGAAGGGTCTCGAGAGAGGAGTAGGAGTCAGCAGAAAAGGTTTACAAGGAGAATCATTGTCATCGTACAGGAATCATTCCTTCACTTGTGACCGACCATTGGTAAGAATCTTACTATGGACTCGATGCCGACATAAACAAGATCAGAATCCCAGGCAGATTATCAGCGGAAACAAGCCGGAAAAGCTGAGATTTTAACAGATTTTGACGCAGAGAAGGGAGAGAAGCGTGGGTTGCGATTCTCACCACAACGATCCCCTCTGTGTCCTGCCCAAAGGGGTTAGGGGCCAGCAGCGCAAAGTCGGGGCCGTAGCCGTCTTCTCCCGTGAGAAGGCTCGAGTAGATGCTCCCCGAACTATTGTCGGCCTGGCGGAAGTTGGGTAGACCCGAGATTCCCTGCCCGTTGCCCTTCTTCATGATGATGGTCTCGACTGGAGTCGGGGTTCCGGTGAAGACCTGGAGGAAAAAGGGAGAGGGGTATAAGCGGGAGATCATCGAGGATCTCTTCGGTTGTTTGTAGGGGTCCGGGGAAGACGAGCGTTGCAATGACCTCAGTGCCCAGCTTGGTCTGACGTCTCTCGTTGTTTGGATCCTTGATAAGTGATGGGGTCCGGTGAAGACCTAAGGGGACAAGGAAGAAGGGAATAAGCAGGACTTCACCCTATGACCTCTACATTTCTTTCTAGGAGAAGGGGAAAGAGGAGCGGTGTTCAACCTCTTTCGCAGCAAAAAGTCAGTCTGTTTGCTGCTTAGGTCGTCGTCGAATGATGGGGTTCCCTGGAAGACCGGGGCAAAGAAAAGAGACGTGAAGAAGGTAAGCGAGCAGAATCAGATCCCTTCAATGGGATGAACGTGGTTCGATTCTGTCTTTGCACCATCAATCTTTGCTCGTGGGGTTGGCACTTAAAGGATTTCGAATCCAGGAAACGAAGCTAAGGTAAGTTTATAGACACGACCAAAACCCCAGCCAATATCAGTTCAAGGTCGGTAGTCGCTGATTGCAACAAAAACAATGCCGGCTAATTGATCTGACCACCCCTTCGGCCTCTCTTCTCCAGGGCTTTTGGATGACCTTATAGGACCCCAAACTTACATCTGGCAGCTTCTTGCGCTGGATCGTGGGTGAGAAGTCGGGGATGGGGTAGACTTTGGTTCCCCCTTTGGGGCATCCTGTGGCCTGGCAAGCTTTGGATAGTGTGGTCCCGGCCGCACCTCCTGGGGCATTGCCACCCTGGCAATCCACGTTGGCACCGCGGTCGGTGATTGTCCACAGGTTATCTCCTGCAACAGGGATACTAAGATTTTAGCTGGCCACCTTGACAGGTGTTGAAAACTAAACCGTGGTCGTTCACAAGTTCCTCAACTCGAACGTGGATACAAGAGGACTAAGCAGGGATACTCTGAGCGATGAGCATTTGTTGCGAAAGCAAGCCTATCTCGGCCAAGCGAGTGTTCTGCTAATATCTGGCCCCAGGAAGGGTCAAAACATGTGGTTGGTCCTCATACGGTGGCAATTCTCATTCTTCTGAATAGAATGCTATCTCATATGTTGAGAGTAGGCCCAACGACCCCGCTGTTTTCCAAACCGTTTTAACACATTTTCAGAAGACCCTTGCACTTCGAGACCGGCCAGCTTCGAAATACCAACAACGATGCTTGGAACGTTCCTCCCTTTGAAAAGTAACAGTGAGGATGGAGACCAAACGCTTCTCAAGAGACAGGACTGAATCTTACAAAAAGCTTTTGCTTGTTCATGGAGAGTAGACACACCCAATATTGCCTGCCATCTCAAAAGTTATCGGCGCTCACCGATGACAAATGCCCCGCTGCCAGGGCCAAGGTCAATGTCAAGGTAGTTGGAGCCGTTCACTGAGCAAGGGCCGGATGTCGTGTTTCCAAAGAACACCCTCTTGATAAGCTGGAAATAGGTCTTCTGAGAGATGACTGAGGCGGGAGCGGCGGCGGCAAGGGCGCAACTGGCCAGGAGAAGAACGGACACGAGGGCCCTAGAGACCGCCATTGAAAATCCTGCAGGACAGAGAAGAGCTGCTGCTGAGCTTTTTGACTTCTCCCTGAGCTAGGGGCTTGAGCAATGGTGGGCAATGGTGGGAGAATGTGAGAACCTAAGGGAACCAGGCTTAGTAAATCTGCAGGGCAAAGGCGACGCAAGGCGATTCAGCTTGGCTGTCTGAGTTGAGAGTGGTGGCATTCAGTTTCTGTTGAGAAGGCAGAGTCTCAAAGGGCGGCTTAGCGCAGCCTGACTGCCACTGACCGAGACCGGACTCTTATATCTTCGGACTGTTGGCGTTGCCGACCCATTTATACCGGGCTCGTGTGTGTGTGCACAATGTCCTTCAGGCACAAGAAGACTCCCGATTTGACTCATCGCACAATGTTGAGGGCATGCAGATGGGACAGTCCTGTGACTGGTCGGCCTGTCAGTGGTATAGTCTTGTGATAAACAAAGTTGGGGCCTTGCGGCGCCAGGTCTGTCTTACTGAACCACAAGATGAAAGCTAGAATTTGTGTTGTTTCTGAATTCCAGTCAAAAGTTGCTGAAAGGACCCCAGTCATGAAGGTACTGAGAAGAAAGTCTGGAGGTATGCAGAATTGTCCACTTGAGATGCTGTTATATGCTGACAGTATGTGGCGCCTCCTGCATCTTTCATACAGCATGCGGTTTTCAGACTTGATATCCCAAAATGCTGCAAGAAGTTCAAATAAGGATAACAAGTTGTCTTTCCCTCCCCTCCAAGGACCTGACAGTCTTTGCAATGAGGTGCCAGCAACCTACTATTGAAAGCTCACAAAGGCCAACCGGAGACAGCATTGCTCTTACTTCATGTCGAGTGTTGGTGTGCATTGCATCGCCGCAGACAAGAGTAACGTGGTGCTAGTAAGCATGCCTTGAAAGATCTTACTGAAGACAAGATCATAGAACATGAAGCAGAAAACAGCAGAGTACTCTGAGCTCGTATTATTGAGCTCTGGGAGCTTTCTGAGGATACTGCTTTTACTATTACAAGTCAAAGGTTTTGGATCATAGAGCTAGACAAAGTGCACAGCATAGAAAGTCAAATGTAGAGTGCAGTCAGTGAGTGCCTCCAGACCCGTGGAAGCCACTTATATGCTCCATCTTCGGATTTTCATCAAGGGTGGATGGCCAGGCAGGATTGAAAGCCAGAGCCAGGACAACTTTCTAGTTCTCCAACATAGCAGGAAAACAAAGCAAAGCTGCCACAACTCGAGAGAAGGAGAGCGTGCGCTCACCTTTCAACACTGACGCCTTGTAGAGCAGAAAACAAGAGGCCGTGCGGTTATTGCCCTCTTCGCGTTTTGTGAGCGGACACGCGGAACAACTGTGCTGCATGGGAACTTGATTCGACATGGGTACATCAGAGCTCCTTCACAGCACTGGGCTCCAGGGCCCGATACAAACCTACCTACCTTGTCCTGCCTACCAACTGGTCCCCAACTGGATAGACTGGTCAGAAGGTCACTTAAATGGTATTGCCATTGGATCTCACCCAAGACTGAGACTGTATACCAAGATTCAAGAAGCCGGGGCGGAATTCTAGGAGGAATTTACAGCTGATGCACACAAACACAGGCGGACTTGCACATATGCAGGCTGCAGCTAGGCTCTTCGGTAAAGGATTCCAAAAAGATTCCGTCTCAATCATTTGTATTAATATTGGGGATTCGCGGCTCGGGCATACTATGTAGGCTGTCGATCTGATTCCGCTTGCATGATCATTCCGTCGGTTTCCGGCCGCGCGGTCCAGGCGGCCGCCCCCCGCCCCCGCGCGGCCGCGCCTCATGGCCGGCCGGGGTCGTCGGATCGAAACTCGACTAAGGATCGAGCTAATTTGTCAACGGCCGGCGTGCATCATGATCAGCTAGTGGCCAGCTAGTGCTGCACGTTTTCCAACAGTTGCAACCGTCATGGCTTGCAAAGGCATCAGTTACCTGAGCTCATCCCCTAAGTGCACCACCCGGGCGCAAGTGACGTATACATCAATAGATTGATCAGGATGATCGCGGCTTTATCATGCTCCGGCAGCCACTTAATCGGCACTCAGAGTAACAAACGGAAACGGCCTGTCATTTTGTTCTTTGCTCTGCTCTGTTCAAATATAGGAATGATTCATGAACCTTCGTAGCTAGTCCTCTACCGAGCTCTTCATTTGAGACCAGAACCATGCCTCATCTTTTATTCCTGAATCAGCCTTCTAGTTTCCAGGGGGCTCGGCCTCTGGAACTACCCAGATCTGTGGATTGTAGTCGTACTTTGCTTGCCGTACTGCTAATTTACTTCGATCACCAATTACAAGCATCATTGGCATACAGCAATTGCAGCCCGGCGGCCCTTTTTTCCATTCTGGATTGACTGTCGGGTCTATATAGTCAAGGTAAACTCTTCTGCAGCAGGCCGATCACAACATAGTAACTATCTGCGGGGCCATACTTGTACAATACCCGGGTTTGCACGAGCTTCCGAAAATGCTCTATTTTAGTCACTGGAAAGTACGAAGGTGAAAGCTTTAAGATCTGAATATCGCAAGTAGTACACACAAGCATGGGTTCAATTCAATAAGACTGCGCGCCACAATCGGGTTTGAGCAAGAAGCATTCTGTGGAACTTGTCGAAGAAAAGAAGCGACCGCGTTATTGAACACGGTCCGTTCCAATCCTGAATGGATATAAGTATGAATGTTTTGTGTAAAATTGAATAATATAACTCAAACGTAGCGTTCATTGACTCCATAATCAGGTGTTCAGTCATCAACGTACCCACGCATTTAAAGAGCTCATTGACAACTCAAGATCCCTGACACTACTCTCAAAATTGACTCAAGGAACAAAACCGTTTGGCTGCTCTCTCCTCAACTTTCATCGGAGGCAACGCTGACATAAATACGACAACTCGAGAAACTCGCCACGAAGCCCTTCTACGGTCACAGCAACTCCGATTACTATTCTCTTCGCTAAGGACTCCTGACAGGGGAGCTCGAAATGCCACCGCGCGGTTCGCGCACTCATTATTGCCAGCTCATCTGAATGTCCTCGCTTAGACGACTCTTGACAGTGGGATCGTGGGACTCGGAGTGTGACCACGCGAACTAAAATATCACCAACTCGAATATTACCTACTATAGGAAGTCTCGGCGCGATTGGCCCAAAACCCTCGGCCCGAACACCTAAGCGCAGAAAGGCAGGGCGGCAGGGGGGCTTCCGCACGCGGCAGGGCAGCAAAGGTACTTGGATCCGTCGGCGTTGAAGCACTGCGGAAAGTAAAGCACAGACTCGGTTTAAATGGAAGGGCCTCCAGCGGCAAAAAGGAGGAGACGGCTGCACTCAACCTAAGGGAACACGACTTCTGGTGCTCACCAGCTAAACATCGAAGGAGTCGTTTCATCAGTACCGGTAACTCTATGATCGGGGCAGAACAACCCACTCAAACTCAACCAGCGAGCTTGAGAGGCAAGGAGGCGCACTTCGCTCGCTAAGCAGAGGCAAACGGAACGAAAGAACAGACTGCGGAACCGTTCTTTATCAACCAACGCACACCCGAGCAAACGATCGCCCACCTGGTTAGGCAGGCTGCTGCCGGCGTCGCACGTGCCGCCAACCGGAAAAGCGGTCGGGCCCGGGGCGCCGGTGGTCGCGGCAGGGGTACCGGCAGGCGTACCAGCAGGGGTACCGGCGGGTGTACCGGCAGGGGTACCAGCAGGGGTACCAGCAGGGGTACCGGCAGGGGTACCAGCAGGGGTACCGGCGGGTGTACCGGCGGGGGTACCGGCAGGGGTCGGAGCAGGGGTGGAGCCGCAGACGGGGGTGGTCCCGGGGACTTGCCCCGTGCAGTAGGCCACGGCGCCGGGGGGGGAACCGCAGCTGCCGGCGCAGCAGGTGTAGGAGGAACCGGCGTTGTTGAAGCACTGGCGGAAGGAGAGATGAGAGGAAGGATTAGAGGAGGACGATCGGATGAGGGATTAGAGTAGGAAGAGCCGGCTTTGAAAAGAAAAGAGAGAGAAGGGAATAGTGTAGAAACCAATGTTAAAGCAGCGTTGTGAAGGCGGCAGCGATAGGGGATGAGTCGAGGGTGACGGTCAGGTCGATGTCTAGGAGACCGATTGACTGCTAGTGCAAACTTGTGCGTGGCAGACCTGTGCGATGTACGGAAAAAAACAGAGAGGGTGAAGCACTAGCAGGTTGGTGCCTCTCGACAGTGGCAGGACCGATCGTTTAGTGACCGTGCAGAAGGTTCGCTTCGGAGAGACGACGACCGAAGAAAAGACGAAAACTCGAAAGCGTTCGCTCGAGAGGAACGACGTCGACGGAAAAGACAGACACGCAGAACAAATCGGCCCGATCACTGCACAGGTGTTCAAGTCTCCGAGTCACACTTACGTCGCGTTTCTTGTTCTGACGTCCCCTTTCGTCAGAGCGAACGCGTCAGCGTCACACTCACCTGGTTAGGGGTGGCCCCAAAGGGGTCGCAAGTGCTCCCCGCGGCGAAGCTCGAGATGCAGTTAAGCGGGGTCGCAGTCGGTGTGGGGGTCGGGGTAGCGGTAGCATTCGTCGAAGCCGGGGCGGGCGCGGGAGCGTCGGAAACCGTCTGGTAAGTCGACGCGGCGACGTTGAAAAGAGTAAACCGGGTCAAGTCCCCGGCGATGCCGAAATCGTTGTCGTTGATGAGGATGAGCTGGGCGGGGTTAGCGGCGTCGAACGGGTTACCGACGATTCCGGTCGCCTCGATCTTAACCGGGAGTTGGGGCTGGCCGGACGACGGCGGGTCGTCGGTGAAGGAGTCGAACGCCAGGACCTTCTTCACGGGGACGATGCCTGCACGGGGCGCCACGTCTCAGTCAAATTGAGTGCCACGTGTACAAGAAGATTAAATTCTGATGAGGGCGGGTCGTCGGTGAGTGAGTCGAAGGCCAGGACCTTCTTCACGGGGACGATGCCTGCACGGGGCGCCACGTGTCAGTCAGATTGAGTGCCACGTGCACAGTGGAATTTTGATCCTGACGAGGGCGGGTCGTCCGCGAAGGAGTCGAAGGCCAGGACCTTCTGCACGGGGACGATGCCTGCACGGGGCGCCACGTGTCAGCTAAATGAGTGCTTCGCGCACACATAGGGATTGGGTAATAGTAGTTCCTTGTAACCAGACTTGAGTCTGGCTCTTCGACCAATACCCGGGCTGTAATCATGTTACGCGCTTGCGCTCTGCTTAGTTTTGGCCGTTGGACATATCATCAACTTCTAACGAGCCCGCAAACCGACCATGAAAAAGCGCCCAGCGCTCCGTGACGTATGACCTCCAGAAGGAACCGCAAGCGTCGACGTGGGAACCGGTCTCCATGGGTACCCACAAAAAGCGGCAGCGCACAGAGACTCATCGTTTTTGCATGGGCCGAGCAGCACGTCTGACCGCAAGAACTGTCGAGGGGGAGCCTTAGAGGGTTGAGAAAGACAGAGCTGACCAGAACGGATGGAAGAAGAACGTACTTGCAAAAGTCGGATGGAAGGAGGATCCGGATTCCGGGCCAGCTTTTAAGGGACCCTCTGAAATATAACCCTTCGAATCGACGGTTCCAAATTGTCTGTTTTTTTCATCGGACCGTCGATCCCCCGTGGTTTTAGCCCAAGGGGCTCGCGAAGTTTGGCCGGGAGTCTAGGTCCTCCTTAGATTCGTTCTGGCAGTCTTTGGCTGTAGTACAGGTCTTCCCGATCACTACCAGAGGAGGAAAAAGTTTGGTTGATCGCATGAGCTTATCGGTCACTACCCAAGCAGGAAAGCGGGATGTACCGTTGGCCGTAGGACCTGCAAGATCATTACCCAAGAAGGCAAGAGGTACGTACCGTTGGCCGCAAGATTGGAGCCGGGGGTGGCAGAGCTGGCGGGCTCCAGCTGCTCGAGGGTGGGGGACTGCAGAACGTCGTCCCACTTGGAGCCCAGAATGTTGGTCGCGCCAGTGAGGTCAATCTGCCGACGAATATGTTTGGTTACGATTTGACTTTACTTCATTACGACCTAGAGTTTAATTCATTACGAAGGGTTCTAAATCGGGGGGGTAAGGGTTTCTGGATTTAGAGACTTGTCGAGGGTGGGGGACTGCAGTACGTCGTCCCACTTGGAGCCCAGAATGTTGGTGGCGCCAGTAACGTCAATCTGCACGACGAGTACATTTGGTTACTGTTCAGGGTTTTGAATCGGGGGTTTAAGGGCATCTGGCTTTGAAGACTCATCGAGGGTGGGGGACTGCAAAATATGGTCCCACTTGGAGCCCAGACTGTTGGTTGCGCCAGTGAGGTCGATCTGCAACACAACACGTTCTATTCAGACAACAATTCGCAAAGCTTCGAGTCCCGATGCGTTTCTCTGGGGAAGAAAAGCGGGTGACCTCCTGTGCTACGACTGAAACATCTTCGCTTTTGACGCGTGTGCCCACGGCCCTGCGAGAGCGCTTGACGTCGAAACCGCGTAGGAAGCAAGAAGCCAAGCGTTCGTGGACAAGGACAAACTCGTCTTTGCCCTCTGGCCCGCGAAGTCATTGAATTGAATGCTAGAATGGTAAATGGTTGACTGTAACTGCATTCAGATCCGTTTTTTGGACTGAAACGATCCCCCACTCGACCACGTGTATGATTTGCCACCTTCCTGCAATCTACACGAACTCAAGGACCAAACGAGGGCGCTCTGGCTAAGCAAGTCACGACCGAAGCAGAAGAGTGTTAAGAGGGGTCCGGCAAACGGAGCGACAGCCGCAATTTTTAAACCTCCTCTCATTGCTAAATTTTACCGATGAGCAGATTAGAAGTCCAGATCGCAATTTCCTGTGAACGATGCAGAGAATTCTGTCGCTTCTTTGGAGGCGCGTCGACCCACCCTGAAAAGCTCTGGTCTGCGCACTCGGTTCAGCCCAATTTTCTTACTCCGATATTCTTTGTCGAAAAAATGGGAGAAGACCTACCCTGAAGAGCTTGGACTGCAGGGTGACGTGCTCGTCGACCAGCATGACGTCCTCCGCGATCGCGGTCGCCTCGCCCAGCTTGATGGCGCTCTGGCTGGCGCCCGCGTCCTGCGGGAACGTGCCGACCTTCTCCAGGAAGTAGATGTACTCGCCGATGAGCTTCACGCCGCCTGCGCGAGCGGAATCCGGCGGAAGTCAGCGTGCGAGCGGAATCCGGCCGGAGTCAGTGTGCGAGCGGAATCTGGCGGGAATTCGAGCGGAATCTGGCGGGCACTCGCGCGGAATGCGGAGGAAGGCAGCGTGTGAGCGGAATCTGTCGGAAGTCGGTGTGCGAGCGGATCGCCAGAAGTCAGTGTGCAAGCGCAATTCGGCTAAAGTCAGTGTGAGAGCAGAATCCGGGGGAAACAAGTGTCCGTCGTCCGAGCGGAACCCGCCGGAAGGCAGCGGAAATTACGGACCAGGAGAGTCGGCAGGCGGGATATCGAATCGGCAAACGACCTTGATTGGCACTGACGATGTACTACTCAGATCAGAAGCCTGCCGTGCACCTTCGTACACTGAGAGAGTCGCCAAAAATTCCTTGAAAGGGTAAATCCCAAGCGTCGCTTTGCGGGCAGGCTAGCCAGGCCAGCTTAGCCACATTTTTAAGACGAAAAGTTCGTCGACGACTCAGTCGAAAAGGATCCTCTCCGTAATGGCAAGCCCTTCGCGATTGAGGAGGTTCATAACGTTCTTGGGGACTCGGTGCCACTTCAAATCAGTTTTTCCTACTTTTGCCCTTCCTCCGATACTTGAGCTATTAGGTGAAGTCCTTCGACTGAGGTGCCTGCTCGCACTGGATGCTCTGCAAACGCAGCCTTCTAGGAAGACACGAGGCCACAGAAAGAAAAGAAATTATCACAGTCACTTTGTCACAAAATGAAACTTATAGGCACAACCTGGGCCTCACCGGGTGCAGACGCGTCAAGCTCCAGCTTGAACAGGCGTGCAATCAGTGACTGCCTGCCAATCGCGACCGTGGGGTTGGCCATGGGACTCTGTCGAATGAGAGGAAAGATTCAGAGTCAAGTTCGGACCGAGAAAGAGACTCAGATGAGACGCAGAATTGGAATCAGCTTGATTCGTTACTTCTGTTCAGCTGGTAAATCGGCTCTTCCATTTCCAAACTAAGGGAGAGGTTACAGAGGAGGAGACAGCATGTGGCGATTTTACTGAATTGCAATGATAGGCTCTGCTTGGTTCTTAACTATCCTTTCGAGCCTGCAACTCGGCTCTCCCTTTTTCGAATCAGGGAAAGATACAAAGAAGAATACAGCATCGTGTTGCAATTCCCACTCTTTGCCATCTCCACTTGATTGCAACCGGAACAGATGGCCAAGCTAGACCAGAAAGCACTGGCAAAAAGTACGCTAATCTGCACGTGCTTCTTTGTGACGGGAAACAACCAATTCTCTCAGAATTGCAGAACAGCTTGAGAGGGTCGCAGATAAAGGGCTCACATGCTGTGGCTCGAGTGTACGAGAAAAGAAAACAACCAGAACCAATCATGCGAAACGGACTGATTGGGTTTGCTGCCAACCTGCAGAATCGCGTACAGGTACTTGCCGAAGTAGGCCAGGTTCTCGAACCCGCGGTTAAGCTCGCGCTTAACCAGGATCGAAGGGAAGGTGGGGTAGATGGGGTATCTGCAAAGCAGGTTCGACGTCGGTTAGTCACTACTTCAGGGGAAGAGGTGGTTTTCAGTTCGTGCTGAAACTCCTCTGTCAGACTCGAAAGACAGGCTCTGATCAGACACCAGAGACTGAATAGAGTGTTGCATCCGTCTTTGCTTTGTGACGATATCAGAGAGGATGAGCCTTCGTGTCTGGAAGTACGACGACAAACAACAACGAATCAAGGTCGTCGGCGCTTCTGTTCGATGTGTCCATGCTCAGTGCATCCCCTGCCAACCACACCCCAGTTGGCAGTCCTTTTTCGAAGGCTGAATCTTGTGCAATATGCTGACGACTTTCCTGTAGGACTCACGGGCTCCCAAAGGCTAACCACGAGAATGCAGGAAGTAGCCGACTTCTCAGCGCCAAGCTCGCAACTGAGCAAGTAAAGCTTGTCCCCTGAAAACAACATAATGCAGACAAGAAGAATGAGCAAGAAGAAAAGGCGTGTCTGGTACGTACCCATTGGTAGGGTTGGCAGCGAGGATCGGCGCAGCGCGTGCGTTGTAGGCGTCGAACACAACGCCAGCTGGCACGTGGCGGCCCAGGATCCTGCCGTCGGACGCCACCTGGGCGATGCTGGGACCGTACTCCTCGGACACCCAGAACGTGGCGCCGGTGCCGTCCGCATTGGCGGACGTCTGTAATCGGACGATGAAGCAGTGAGGAGCGGGGTTGCTAGTGCTGGGCGCGTCTGGTGCCAGACGCATGAGAAGATATGGTGCAGGGAAAAGATTCAAAATAAACTCGACCTAGCTTTTCTACTCCAAGCTTGCAATTCTGCACCACGCAAACAGCAGATCTCGAAGTTTGCTAGCCCCATTTTGACAGGTGTCAAGCCAAGCTCAGCTCGAGTTGACAGCTGTCAAGCCGGGCTAGTGAAGACAGCAGTGAACACCGGTCAGGTTCTCCTGAATATACACCAGACCTAGTTCATATGAGCGCAAACTATGATACGACATCCTGTGATGGGCGGGGTTGGTATGGGGACTGTGGGTGCGCTTGGGCTTAAAGCGGGCAACTTTTCCAGGTTGAAGATTCTAGTGTTAAGTTCGTTCCTATCTAAACTTGCGCTCCTCACAAGTGTTCTCGAAAAATACACTTACCACAACGATGGACTCGGTGTCCAGTCCAAACGGATCGGGGCCGACCTTCTGGAAGTCGGGGCCGTACCCACCCTCTCCAGTGAGGAGGACGCGGTTCGGGTTGCTGGTGATGTTGTCCTGGTTGTCGAAATTGGGGAACCCGTTGATTGTCTGACCGTTGAGCTTCTTCAGAGTGATGGTCTCGACGGGGACAGGGGAGGCGGCAGTGAACACCTGCGCAGGAAGCACACGTGCTTCTCCGTATTTTTTCTTTCTTCCATTTTTGCTCGTCTTCCTTTTCTTTTCTTTTCTAATGATTTCTTCTTGTGTGCCTAGGGCGCAGATCTGCTGAGGAGGAAGTATGTGAGTCGAACTCAACGGAAGATAACATCGAGCAAAGATCACAACGAGATGAGTACTGGTGCGGGGGGTTGGAGGGTGCCGGTTGGGGGGGTAAGGGGTGCGGAACAGGTACTGTTTGGAGTGGTGTTTCTTGAATCAGTAAGATCTTGATATTATGCTTATCTTTCTTGAGTTTCTCAATTGTTGGAATGGGTCGAAAGAAAATTCCAAAAAGGAAAGACAAGCTGTCCAGGGACTTCAGCCATGCTTGGAAAAGCAATCTGGGGACCATGCTTTTTCCTTTTCTAGAGGAAGGAAATGGCAACCACTGAAAACATAGCTCAGCTAGGGCTTATATCTGACTGCATAACTATTGAGCGCATGCAACCGGCAATAATGTAGTCCCATCAAGAGGCTGCCTTCTGTTCTGCTAAGGAGCTGCTAATCAGCCCGCATCCAGTGCCTGCGCGTTTTCAATCCTTCTAGCAGCAAGAGGTCGCAGCAAACATTCTCTCGCTGCAATCCACTCTCATGGAAACACTAAACGTGACCCCATGTTCTTCGCGTTTCTCCCCTGTTCCCCACAAGACCTGGTTATCAAAATACTTTCAGTTGAAGAGCAAATATGTCCCAAAGACCAGACACGTACAGAAGAGTGAAATGTGTGCAATGCCGTGGCTTGAGAGCCAAGAAGGAACAGGTTTTACGCGACCGCGGCACACTTACATCGGGCAGCTTCCACCGCTGAATGGTGGGCGCAAAGCCGGGCAGCGGGAACACCTTGCCAGGCCCCGTGCACGCCGTGTTGGTGGCTTGGCACGCGGCGGACAGGGTGGTGCCAGCAGCACCTGTGAAAACAAGGGAGATTAGTCTCAACTAGGTATAGCAACAAAAGTTGGTGGACTCCGTTGGGGCAGCTTTCTACGCCCGCCAGCAAAGATGCTCCTCAAAGCAGGGCATGCCAGGTGACTGGCTTTTGGATCAGATCCAGGTAAACTCTGAAAGGAGGCAAGCCAGCACTTCCATCTAGAAAGTCACGCCTACATTTACCTTGAGTTAGGCCTATGTTGAGTTAGAAACATATCCCTGCGCTCAAACATACGAAAACCTTCAAACCCAAGGTTAAATGCTCCATGCCCTAAACCCCCAAACCAACCTAACCCGCCCCTGAGCCATGACCTGACTCAACATAGGAAACTACTTCAAAGGAACAGGTGCGTGCGCCAAGGCAGCAGATCAGAAGCAGCCGACTCAGACTCCACCAGATGTACAATTTGACGACAGCAGAAACGCTGTTCTGGTTGGCTCAAAGACGGTCGGCACTGTGGTGCCCAAAAGCGCCAGACGCATGAAGTGCAAACTGCTCAGAGCATGGTTACTTCAGAGTTGGGCGATTGAGCTGTGGCTTGCCACAGGGCCCTCTTCTCAGGCAGAACACAAGAACAGGTTTGAGCTCAGACACAAGAAAAAGGCCCTCTCCAGCGTTAAGATGACCCACCTCCAGGGGCGTTGCCACCCTGGCAGTCCAAGTTGGCGCCTCTATCAGTGATGGTCCACAGGTTGTCACCTGAAGAGAAGACCAGGCAATGTTGCAACAGCTGACGTGCAAAAGAATGTGGCTGACTCCGGGAAGTAGTGACCCTACACTGTTAGATTATCAGCGGATATCCTGACTGCCCTTGAGACGGTTGGAGTTCCATTCATCGAGGAGTTGCAGTGCAAAATACTGCGGTGATGCAAGAGTTGATTCTGGGAGGCAGTGACCCTACATTGTTGCATTCTTGGCGGCAACCCTGACTGCCCTGGGCCTTAGCACGATCAAGACTCATTTTCTAGGTCTGTAAGAAGATTGCAGTACATGCACGACTTAGCATGTCCTATCAGGTCAAACAACAGTCTTCCGGCCGGTGTGGCCTTCAGCATTATTTCTTGAGCTGCTTGGAATGGCATGGGGCTCTCTTAGGTTCTGGCGCAGCGAAGACCGAGGAGAACATTGGGCTCACGCAACTTGCAGCATGCTGGCATGTTCAAGTAAGCCGTCATTACCGCTGAATTGTACATCTACTGTTCTGCTTAAGAAGATCTTCTCTTTAACGTGCCACACTATTATTATCATCACAAATTTGAAGATTGTCTTCCTCAAACTAGGGAGGTGTTGCAGGGCTTCAGGCAACCCAGCAAGGGACGTGCTTTTACGCAGTTTGAGGTTCAGTCTTCCTCGGGCTGAAGAGGCGCCTCTCAGGTTTTAGCTTAAGCCAGCAAAGAGTGTGCTTATTGTTGTGCTTTAGGAGCAGAAGACCGAATCTACCACCAACAAGAGCACCACTGCCCTCAGAGCAGAAGACAAACCTGCCAATAACAAAGACATTGCTGCCCTTTCAGCGGAAGACAAACTTACCAATGACAAAGGCACCGCTTCCAGGGGCAAGGTCAATGTCCAGGTAGTTCTGGCCAGTGGCGTTAGAACAGGGGCCGGGCGCCGACGGGTCTCCGAAGATGGCCCTCCCCAGGGGCTGGAAGTAAGTCTTCTGGCTGACCACAGTGGCAGGGGCGGCCGCTGCCAAGGCGCAGCTGGCAACTAGGACGAGGGAGACGAGGGCGCGAGAGGCCGCCATTGCTCTGTACAAGACAGACGGGCGAAAGATGAGTCCTGGGAAGAACGGAGGGAAGAACGGAGGCTGGCTGCATGTGGGGACTAGTGCTGAGTGCTGGTGTGAAGGGGAGGGAGCGCTGTGCGATTTCGAAGTCTTCTGCAACGCCCTCCACCGATGGGGGCACTTTCTCCTTTTGATTCGAGGCAGTCTGCCTTGGTCAAGAAGATCTTTGCATTGCATGGTAAGAGGCAGCATTGCAGTCGGACACTTTGTTTCATGAGCGAGCCGGTCCCCGTGTCCCACCAGCATTGTCAAGCACAAGAATAAGAAAGGGTAGCTTCCGATAGGACTATACCTGACTATGAGCGAATGTGACTGTCTTATGAGCTTGCAAATTGGACACATTGTAGATATGCCGCACGAAAAGCAGAGGAAGCCAGAGACGCGCAGCGGAAGAAGATTTAAGTTCTTACTCACGAAGACAGCTCAGAAGCAAAGGACACAGCAGAAATGACCCCGTCAGTCAAATGACTTGCAAATGCAAGAAAAGGTTTGATGCTACACCCCACCGCCATAACTTCCGCATTGAATGCAGCACAGTGAAAGAGAGGACAGATCATACACCATCACCTTCCAAGCACCTAGCTGGACAGGACGAAAGGTGCGCTCACCTGATCACTGAAATGGAGCTAGCTCCTTTTGCCCTGAGGTCAGCTGAAAAGATCCTTTGCAAATGCCAATTGAAACCAGGCAGCCGGTATGAGCAAATCTGTTGAGCTGCACAGCCCAGGGTCGTAGCCTGATAGTGTCATCCTTCTTGATAAATACCTATTGAATCAAGCCCGTGTCTTGTCTTGACGTCTTGACGAGCCGACGTCACTTCACTCCAACTCAGGGCCCTCCTAGTAGTCTAAAGCTCGAGCGGCCTACCGTGCTTAATTCACGTACCGGGTCAGATCCGGTACTTATGTCGACATAGTCGACAGCTTATCATTGGTTTTAATGATGGCAGATTTCATCGGAGAGGGCTGGAGAAGAAAGAGTTTTGGTCGCCTACGCGAAACCCCCGCTGTGATTTAGATTTTCTGCATGCTTGAATCTGTGGCGAACAACGAAACTTGTAATTCAAACCTCATCTAAGCCGTCTATTATCCAGGAGCCTTTAAAGGTGGGCTATGAGCTGGCGATTGAAAGCTTGCACTCTTCTTTTGTAACCTCTGACACTCATCGCAAGATTCCGGAATCTAAAAAGAATCTTTTTCGTTCAAGGTCGCTACTACGTCATGAAGAACCGTACCTGGTACCGTACCGCGACTCGCCTGGTTGCGCAGACCGGACTGGGTAGCTCTCGAGTCGAGAGTTTGCTCATGGATCCAAAACGGTCATCCGACGGCTATTAAAACGGCAGGCCGGTGAAGTAATAGAGACCATTCAAGCCGTCCGATGACATACAAACTCAGGATTCACGGCCGATGGTAGACCCAATCCAGGCGGCCCTTCCCTCGACGTACGACGTCAACATCCGGTGCCAATTCACCTTGCCCCCATGCTTGTACATTCAATGGAATCTGGTTCGAGTGCACCCTACCTCTTGGCGGAGGCCCCCTGAAACTGGTTAGGTACCGTGCTCATGCAAGGGTCGAGCCCTCAATCCGAACACGGCAACATTTAACTAGGGGTTCAAAAACCAACTGCAAACAACATAGTCATGCAACGTGCTAGAGAACCGCCTTGTTCTGTGGACATGCGCGCGGCCCACCATCTGATAAGAATCCGTACCTATCAATAGCTTGCCAATGCCAAAAACCATCCTCTAATCATTCATGTGTTGTCCAAAACGTATGCATACCGTGATCCATCACTGCATGGCTCCTGCCAACCTAGTCATTGGATTGAATGCTAGACTGGTAGATGTATGGCATTCATTGAATTGGGATTCCTCCTTACACAAAGATGAACATGTCCACCCGACCACGTCCATGACTTCCTACATTCTTGCACACTGTGCGAACTTGGTGTGCCAAACGAGGGCGCACTGTTTCAGCAGGTCACAACTAAAGCCCTTAGAAAGCTACATCGACATCGGTGGCTGTGCAAATGTTCCTAGCAATTTGAGCGTAATCAATCGTCGACACTAAGTCATGTGCAGAGTTCAGGCAACGGCTGCCAATTCGTCCCCCTCAATGTCCGCTTTCTTCGACTCCTCAATCAGTGCATAGAGGATTCGAAGGACGTCCTTCCGATTTTCTTCCCGATGAGAGTACCTGCGGGGGCGAAGATGGCATCCTACGATGTGACGGACTGATCTGTTGCTAGGATTTGAGAATGGGGTCTTCAGTCATTGATGTTTTATCATCGCAAATAATTCCTCCCACCCTTGCAAGCAGTCTCAGAAGAGGGTTTTGCAACAGGTCAGAGGGCGTCGAGTCACCTGAAGGACTTGTCCAGATAACATGCAGACGTCTGCTTTTGGAGGGTAGCGAACGAGAGGAGTGGAAGTGTATCTGCTTTGAGCTTGTGAAGAAGAACACAGAATACCGGTTGCAGACGTGCATCCAACAGAAAGTAGTAAGGGCCGCCCCACTTGGGCCTATGAGAAGACATGACATGGAATGAAGAATTACCCAAGAACACGTCACATACCTGGAGTGCAAGGATTACGAAGGTCGAGAATACAGCCAGAACCCGATGCCAATGAGACGAGGGCACTTTTGTCCAATTTGTTGTATTGGGTCAAAATATGGACCAACCGATGCGACTGAAAGCTCAAGCAGCGGCACAAGTGAGAAGAATCGGTCAACCACACTCGAGGACCAGAGTCACCGATACGAAAACGGAAACGCCGACTCGTTTCTAAATTTGGACGCCACTAGAGTGATCTCGGCCTGTTTTCTGAGTGGATAGCAACAAGTTCGAAACGGACTGCCAATACTTTACATGGCTGTAAGCTTACATTCTGAACTCAGTCGGAAACTAGCAAAGCCTTCTTAACGCAGCCCAACTCACTCTTAGCCGCATGCTGACCTCACCCGTCCTCATCGCGTCCCTTCACTTCTAGGTTATTTTCCCATTTAAGTGCAAGTCTATCGAGTTTCTAGTACGAATAGTTGGCGAACATTCGAAGCAGACCATTGGAAAGGGCCAACAGGCAGGCCCACGTCGTTGCCCTTGGCTGACGGAGCAACCGCGGAAAGTGACGGCGTATTCCGTCCCTTTCGATTTCTGGAAGTGACAAGGGAGCTTCTCCGCTAGTGTCGGCCGGGGGAGCGATACCAGCAAACCTCTGGGATGAATATTGACATTTGTAGAATGAGAAAAGATGCCATAGTAAGACTCCAAGGAACGGAACAAACCGGGAAACGGAAGGCGACCTTTGGTACGCTAAACGGGGATCGACGGAAATATGGGCCACCCACAACAGACAAGGCGTGAGTAAGTACGTCCACGACCAAACGGAAAGAATCTAACATAGAGCAATTGTTCAACCGGGACCGGCGAAGAATTCAAGAAGAGCCAAGAGTTGCTTACGATCATCAGTTACAGAAACCGGAAAACGAACCAAAGATCGAAATACGATGACCCAAAGATTGAAACAGGACGAACCAGAACTATAAGAAACGAAATCAACGAACCAAGAGCCGCATTAGAGTCGACGGCCTCAGAGAATCGTCCGGAAGCAGCGCACTTCGCGGCTGACCAAAGATCAACAAACGCGGAAAAGGAACGAACGCCAACGGAAGAGCGGAGCACCAGCGAACTTTGCGTCTGGCTGACCAACACCAGCCCGCTTTAAGTAGCAATCAGCATGGCAAGATCAGATTGTAGGATTTGGAAAAGGCAAACACTAATCTCAGATCACAGCCCCGACCGAACCGCACTCCATCCGGCGGCTGTGCACCCAGCTTCGACTGGAAACCTCTTGGCTATATTAGACAAGGGACCCGGATCGCCTCTCGCTGCCTAAGCCCGAACCGCCTCTCGCTGCCTAAGTGCCAGCTCAGTGTTGCGTTGTTTAACCCAGAGGTTCCAACAAACCAGAAACCCCCCCCATGACAGGCCGAGCTCACGGAAAGTGCAGAGTTTCACTTGGCAGAGTTCAAGCACATGAAAGACGACCAAAGATCTGCAGAGCGATCAGAATACAGGGAGCTGCTCGACAGCGTGGAGACGAAGATACGAAGAAGCGGAGGCCGGGGCCGGTTCTGGAAACGGAACGACGAGCGTTGGCAAGCGGAAAGCGGAATTTCCTGCTCACTTTTGCACGACAAGTGTCAGCTCGTGTTGCACCGGTCGAAGCCGTTGAGCAAAAAGACGAAAACCAGAGCGTACGGTCAGATTGCAGCCCAAAAAGGATCGACGGCTACTGGCATCAGAAAGAAAACAAACGAAGCCTGCAGTCCACCTTCCGACCAGAGTAACCGATGAGCCCAAAGATTGTTAGTCGCAAAACTCGCTTGTCCTCACGTCTATAACGCTCTAAGATGCCTTTAAGTCTTAATAAGCTTGAAATCATAAAAGAATTGACGCTGGTACAAGAAAACGGACCCACAACGTCATCCGCTCAGCACTTCTGCCCCACCCTAAACCCCCATACCAGCCTGACGATCTCGTCTGGTAAGCGTGCAAATTATTGTGATATGGAGACTACTCTCACCTCTGGCTGACGAGTGTCAGCTCGTCGCTCCGCCGATTGAAACGCGGCCCGACTAGCGCGATCATCCGCTCGCGCGCCTTCTCGCTTAGCTCCAAATCCCGCAGGTAGGTTTGCAGCTTGACCTTGCGGTTGAGCGGGTGGTGCGCGCTCGGCCCGGGCGCGAGCACGAAGCGCGTCTCCCAGCGGAGCACGAGCGGGAGGCCCGCGTATGCGTCGGGGATCTCGGACACGAGGCCCAGGTCGTCCGCTTCTGCAGATTTGAGGAGCAACAAGAGCTTGGACTGACATACTTGAAACTTTGATAACTGCAGTGGCCCAGGACTGGTTGCAATTTAGAAATTTAGGGGGAAAAGGGTTCGAGTCGACAAAACTTTCCGATTTTGCAGGCACGGGACAACTTGCGAAATCAAGGCCGGGGGGGACCTCGGACACGAGGCCCAGGTCGTCCGCTTCTGCAGTTTGAGGAGGAAGAACGGCCCGAGTCAACAATGGACTTCCAATTCTGCAATAGCACGGGAAGAGTTGCGGACTCTAAAGACAGGGGGAGCGTACGCATCAGGAAATTGAGATGTGAGGCCCAGAACGTCCGCTTCTGCAGGTTTGAGGAGGAAGAACAGCTCAAAATCAACAGAGCACTCCACTTTTGCAGGGACAGAGAACAAGTTGCGCATGGCGAGAGATGATATAAGCGAACAGCTGTCCGGGGTTTGTTGAGAAGAACGGTGCGCTACAGTGATGAGGGAATGATCAAAGAACACAAGTGACAAATAGCAGCAGAGAGGCTCGTCCAAATATGCAAACATCAGACAGAGATGGAGGTCCACACCAATTCACGAATGCAACCAAGGATTGAGATTGCTCATCTAAAACAAGGCTGGGGTAAAAGTTTAAAACAAGGCTGGGGTAAAAGTTTGTACCTGATCCCAAAGCTAGGTAGATGCGATGGTATCTAAGCAAGGTGGTATGCCTTATTATGCCCAGTACCAATCAGCGACTCCCTCAGCCTAGTAGACTTAAGGAATGAGTACCAGTAAAGGAAGCAACAACAGAACTGCGCCTGATATGCAGCGATCGGAGAGAGGAGGGTGTCAATTGGGTTCTCCTAACTGCTCAACCCAATCAACAAGTGGCTGGGTTAAGTAAACGGGGCCTAACCTGCGACTAACTCCTCGATGTCGAGGGGCGCGTTTGCGCCGAGCTCGTCCATCATGAACCTGTCGACGCGGGGCCGGATGTTGTACATCTCATCTTGCCACGGGGATGGCTCCGCCAAGTCGAGCTCATCCTCAAATTCCTGCAAACCAGGGTTAAGGGCTTGGTTTGAATCAGATCGAGCATTTTTTTGAACTCGACACGACCTTTGCATTGCTTGCTGGTGCGCATCAGGTCGAGAAAACGGAGCTTAGCGTTTTGCCGAATCAGCACTGTCTGGGAAAATCACGGTCAATACTGGAGAAATAATGACCTGACTTCCCATGCTCTGACTGCAAAGGTTTGGCTGCAGTAAAAGGAGGTCGGACCAATCCCATCCCATACCTTCATTGCTGAAAGAAGAAGACTGGCCGGAAAGGCCTCAAGAGACAGAGTAAGGAAAGGAAGTTAGGTTGGCTCCTCTGACAAGCACACAATGATCAGAACGATGTCCTTCGGTTCTCCTTCTTCTCTCCCCCTTCTCCTTTCCCTATGAGTTTTGAGTGGATCGATGCTTAGTGGATAGTGGATAGTGGAATGGTTCTTTTGAAAGATTCAAGAGGTCTGCAGGCGTTGGACTCACCAAGATGGAGCTCACCAACACAGAGCGAGCTTTGAAGATCACTGGCAAGGGCCAGAGAAGCAACCGGGAACAGACGCAAAGTAGATCTAAAAACCCAGTGGCAGCTTTCGTACAATCCAGAGACTTGTTGATCCTCCTTTGCATGTGCGTTAACGTAGGCAGCTGACTAGTCGTCTGGCCGAATCCAATCTTTGGACTTCAAAGAGGATAGGCAGCATCAGGATCGCACAAGTGAAACATGGCTGCAGTTTCGAAGCCTGCCGACAAAGATCTTAGTGTGAACCCCAGCAATTTTGGTTGGATAGCAGAAGCAGAAACTTCTTTCTTCTGGCCTCTTTCCAAATGACTTTTCCCAAAAAAATACTTGAATCACTCATAGAAGAGCACAATGTAAAGTCATAGGCGATGAAAAATGTACCTCATCGTAGCTGCCGACGATGCTCCGCGGGATGCGCGTGCTCTTCCTTGGGCCGTACTTTCTCTTGCCCTCCGGCGCCACCTCCGAGGCCCCATTGCTAACCGCCACCTCCGAGCTGTTGCTTCCATCTACAGCCACCTCCGAACCATCACTTTCCTCTGCCAGCAAAACGCTGCCCCCGGCCCCTGACCTGAAACCCCTAGTTCCAGTCGAGTGCACCATTTGACTCATTGAGACGCCAAACATCTGCAAACCATCGGCGGAGGAATAACCTGCTTGCATCCCTGATGCTTCGACGACACCACCAAAGACGCTCTTCCTAGTCCAGACCCTGCCGACATTTGCAAGGGAGTTCACGCCAGTTGCGGGAAGAGCGACGTCACGAACGGGGGCGCCATGTTGCCGTAGATCGAGCTCAGGTTTGCCGCGAGATTTGGCAGCAGGTTGTGCATCAGGTCTGGGAAGAGCGTGGGGAAGAGGGCTGGAAAAAGGACCAGAACAACCACGATGGAGATGCTCATGAAGAGCTTTGGGCAAAGCTCTGCCTGCGAGATTGGCAGCACCTGTTGTGAATCCAAACTGCGGAGGAGATTCGTCACGCCCTGCCGGTGCTCTTGAAAGTATGGCAGCAGCGTTTCCATGGCTGTGGTTCTGCGCCGAGGCTTGCAATCGCAACGTGCTACAATGATGCTCGATTGAGGAGAGCGCTGCCTTTATCGCGTCTTTAGCATTGTCTTTATCGTCCTTATGGTGCTGGACTAAGAAGAGCTTTGTCTTAATCTGCGACACAAAGTTATTGTCATAAGAGCATCCTAGGTGAGTGTTGGACTCCAGAGGAGTTTGCAAACAGATTTTAGGGAGACTCGAGGACTGAAAGCTGTTTTGGTGGTACCCGCTGCTGCCACTGAACGCCCCACCGAATGCGCCTTGCCAACCGCAGTGTTGGAATCCCAAGGGTTTCTGAGTCAGCTGGCGTGCCGCCCTGCTGATCAGGTTCCGCATTGTTGGCTCATCCCAGGAGGCAATCAGGATTGCAAATGGCTGAGCGCCTGCAAGACGTCTACCTTGGGAGCAGCTTTCAGAATCATATGGCAAATGGCAAAACAGCTCAGCCTCAGCCTGCTCAGGCGGTACTATTACTACCGTACGTACCGGCAAAGGAATTCACCTTTAAATAATTATTTTGAGGAAAAACGAAAAGTTGGAAACTAAATTGGGCCCCCAGGGCGAAAAGGAGAAACCAGTAAAATAATAGAAAATAGCTCGAATCTGCTAAAATAAAGGGTAAAAATTCAAAAATTTGCTTGCCGCGAAATGTAAAATAACTTCTCAGACCCCTTGGCGAAACCTTAAAACTTCCATAATTATTCTCGGCCGATGGGGGTGAATTCCTTTGCCAGTACGGTACTATCCATGCAATCTGGCACGTGCCGCAGCTCTCATCAAGCGGCCGCGCGGCCGGCTCCGCGAGGGCGGCCGCGTAATGCACAAGCTTGCGCGCCGCGGCTAGCGCGCGTTTGCAGAATAAGTTATGGAGCCTCAGGCTAGCTGCAATGATGCAGTGTTGAAGACTTAGATCATACGGCATATATGGGAACGTATAAGTGCATGGGCTAGCGCGCGTTTGCAGAATAAGTTATCGAGCCTCAGGCTAGCTGCATGCAGTGTTGAAGACTCAGATCATACGGCATATATGGGAACGTCAGGAGCGCATAAGTGCCATTGGTTTGAAACGGCAGAATATCATGCATTTCGCCTCATTATTGTTGGAGTTTGACGGAGTCCATCATTGCCGGAGTGCATGAGCTGGATTTGCTCAATACTCAGTGGGCATGCATGGTCAATCCAACTTCAACTTGAGGTAATGAGCACACAATGCGAAAACCGTGCATGCAGATTCAATGACCATTCGATTGAAATTGCAGGAATTAACATACGTTCGATCATGCACCAGCCATCACAGGCCATGTGTCCGGGGTTCAAACGTACGCGTTTCTCAACGAAACAATGATGCATGCTGAACATCGAAACCGATACTACATTTCCCGCGTGATTGTGCGATGGATGTTGGGTACGTTGGAAGCGCAGGCTATCAACTTGAAGAGGCCATATGCGTGCCACGTACTTATCTAGCTTGTATTGGCTCGAAGTCGCCTTGGCCTGCTGACGACGTATTACCAGTTCAATTACCTTGGTCAGTACAGACTTTCACCGCTTCATTTGACATTATAAGGTGCATCACAGATTAGCGAACTGAGAAACACTGCGGCGGGATGCCAAGAATATGGTATCACCTGTACTTCAGTTTCGACAGATAAGTCGCCCAATCCTGTCACATTATATACGTAGCTCTTGTAAAATCTCATCATACATGTGGCGCATCCGAAAGCCTGTTGCTTTCCCCCACTTCGGCCTCCATTCGAGCATACCAAGGCCCGATCTTGCTATTTGCCATCAAGTCCCGGCCTGTTTGCATGTTCCGAATGGGCCGTAACACCCCAAACACCGCAAGGTCTGCAAGGTTCGGCTTTTCGCCACCTGAAATACATTATTGAACTTTGTCAGTGATTGCAACGTTATTGCGGCTGTTTTGAGCGGGCGACTCTGGTGCTCCAGATCGGCATCAAGTGGGCAAGGATATACAAAACTGAAAATGGATTGAAAATTTCCGGTTTCGTGAAAGCGGGTGACGGAGACAATACAGACAAGTGCACGATTCAGAAAATAACCAGGAAAAACAATATGAAAACAGAGAAGGAAGAAAAGAAGAGAAACAGGAATATTCGACATCAAGACAATCGAAGATCAAGACAGAGGCTTACCCATGAATTGTCGCCCCCCTACGGCGTCGACCCACTTGTCCGCGGCTTGAAAGAGGTCCCGCCTCTCGTCCTCGATGTTGTGCTTCTTCTTGAGCCGCTTCCCCACGAAGTACATCGCGATTGCTCCGCTGTACTTTGCATATGCGCGCTCCCAGGCCGTAAAATTTCCTGCAAGAGAAAAGACATCACAGCTCTCAACAGTCATCTAGACAGGGTCGCTCACGTAGAATCGTTGACCTTCAGAAACCCACCTTCTTCAAGTCCGACGCTTCGACGACGAAGACTCGGCCGACTCGTGACGACTATGTCGATGCAAACCCGAAGAAGGGCCGCTTCCGTTAGGAAAGAAGGAAAAAGGAGTCTCCTTCATCCCAAGGCTTGCGAAGGAAAGCCAAGCTGGGAGCTTGGCGGGAAACAATTGGCAGATCTCTGCCACCACGCTTCAAAGCTCCGGTCATTTTCCGAAGTGAGTCGAAGCTCAATGCTCAGTTGGATTGAATTCTCGGCAAGTAGAGACTAATTATTACCAAAATGATCCGGGGGCTATTGCCGCCAAGTCGATGCCGTGCAGTATTGATCCATTTGAGGGATGCTGGATAGGACCACAACCCAGAAACGATGCAACAACCCCCATCAAAGCTCAAGTTTTGAAGAAGCTGTTTAGCTATGTCTAGCACCATCTGACAGTCAACCTCCTTTTGAAAGAAGGCGAAGGGCTCTACTCCTCGACTCTGCGCACTCCTCTCGCGTTCCAGGTTCGTACGACCCTGCAAACACCAGCACCCAGATCTAGCAATGCAGAGCCAAAGGTGTGACAGCTCACCGTTTGTCGTGATGTAGTCGAAGGCCTCAAGGGCTTCAGACGGCGTGCGGTAGATGTTGGGCGAGAGCAGGTGCACGAAGTAGTCGTCGACCCAACTGCTCGGAAGAGATCGTGACGACGTCAGCGAGTGACGTGGTATGACGTCAGCGATCGACATGGTATGCCCACAGTGAGGAAATTGCCACAGGCCCCTCTCCTTAGGAAGCCATCGTGTTTTCTGCCGTCAGTTCAGTAAGGTTAGCAGTAAAGTGTTCGAAAAAAGCTGTCAGGACCTTCTCAGAACTGTCTGATGCTCGTGAATGGTATCTACAATCCAGTGTCACCGCAGGTGCGCCTCGTCACAGGTTTGCTCGTGCATCATTCAGTAGATGTGAGCACAATATATGACAACAGACTTCAGCTACAGCTTCTTTCAATCAGGAAGCTGTCTTTAAAAATGTGGCAACTTTTTTCTTAAATCTCTCAAAGCCAGGCGGTACATGAGGTGGCCAACAGAAAATTGATCGCAGTAACTGCGGGTGGTGTGAGCCGGAGCCGGGTCGAAAAACTTTTTGACAGGGGGCCCTTCAACTTTCTTGAAACTTTCCGCCCAGGGATCTGGATTCACATTTTCGTGAGGAGGACTTTTCTTGGTACCAACTGTGAGCAGGACAGCTTTGTGGCAACAGCGACCGTCAGCAGATCAAGGGAACGTGCTTCGTGTTGCAGAAGCTTACAGCTCACCTTCGCCACTTCTCCTCTTCCGTGTTCGATGCGACAGGCTTCTTGTCCTTCCCATAGATCCGCTCGTCCAACAAGGAAATAATGTCTGGACAGAGACGAAAACAAGTTATTCTGACCGAAACGGTCAAAATACAATCTTACTGAGAAAACGACCCTGTTCGATTTGCGCGCTACTGGCGTAAAAATCAGCAGATTGAGACAGATCCCAAGACGGAAAACCGCAGAGGGGGCTTGCTTAAAGTGGTAGTGTGCATTTGACTCGGGGCCAGGCATTGACGACGCATCCGTCGAAATCGATACCCAGTCCTCCAAAAATGAGACAGAATCGCCGCGGCATGCAAGGAGGCCGCAAATGTGTATACGTTGAGGTTCGTGCCTGCTGCGGAATCAGATCAAACCCGGCGGACCTTGCAAATCCGAATTTTGAAACAACTCTGTATCATTAGGCTTTTGAAAACAGCACCCATGCATTCTGGACTGTTAACTAGATCGGACCCCTGCTGCTTCACACCTTTCAAGCACAAAGACCGTTTGGAAGAAAGGAGAGAAGAGAGGAAACGAGAGCTCACTTGTGGAGTCGTTCAGCGGCTCCCCATCTACAACCAACACCGGCACCTTCTTGTACTCTGACCATTTGAGCTCCTTCTTGCCAATGGGGTTCACCTCAACCACCTTGTAGCTGATGTCATGGTAATCCAGGAATGCTGCACAATAAGAGCGCGAGCCAAATCCTCAGATGATAAGTGAGCGGGTGTCCTAACATCTTCCAGGAAAGAGTTTCCGTTTTCTTAACCGGTCGGTGATAGCAGGTGAAAAGCCAACTGATGACGTCCACAACTACAATCTGGAACAAACCAGACTGTCAACAAGTTGTTAACCTCCTTTGGAAATTTAAGGAAAGTTGTGACTTCAAAACTTATGTTGGAGAGGGCGGTGTGAATTCTAACAAATCCGGGCAGCGATCTTGCGAATAAGCAGGGTCTCGGACAATATGCACCTGATCGGAGCGGCGTTGCGAGACATAATCAGGGCTCTAACTCATGACCTGCTAAACACCGTTGCAATTCAAAATTGAGGTGGACTCTCCTTGCACCACCACTTGCGGGAAAGTCAGAAACCAGGAGCACCAAACCTTTGTCAATTAGCACGTGAAAAGCTCATCGTATCCATTGTCAACGACAAGATATCTGGTCCACTCTCCACACAAGCATCAACCGCACACCTCTCACCTTTCACTTTGTTGCAGAACGGGCATGCTTCATACTGGTACAGCACGACTTCCCCTGGCAGCGCCAGTGGCGCCTTTTCTTTTGCCAGAGCGACACCACTGTATGCCGCAACCGCAACAGGGAAAGCTCCTGCCGCCAACCAGTTCTGGTAAGATCCATTCCTGCCGCCAGAACCTGTTGCTTGAGACATCGTCTGCTGGCCTCCATGAGCTATCAGATCAAACACTGTTCTCCCAGCGCTTTTACCATTTGACAGAGTAGTGTGTCCTGCTAGAGGGACCACAATCTGATCTTTTGGTGGTGGTAAGCTCTGAGCCGAGGCGATTGCAGTGCTGCCAGAAAGAAGGTTTTCCTCGCAGTAGAACGGACTTGCTATCACAGCTGCATGCGGTCGACACTTTGCCGCAGTCCTCTGTGCAGCAGAATGAGTTGTGACAGATCTAGAGCCCTGCAGCGCTCTTCTAAGGCAATTTTGCACCAGGGCCTCCATGGCTGCAAGAAACAGAACCAGAGCTTCACCAAGCACAAAGCTAGATGCTGAATCTAATTGAATCTACAAATCTGCTCTGGCCGCAACAACGTGGATCAGGCGGTACCCAGGAACCAAGATGGATCGCAGAGAGAGTGCTCAGGCTAGGTTTTACGATAGACAGGGCATCTGGAGAGCGCTTCAGCCTTTGGTCCAGGGCTTCGATCGACAATTCCACCACCACCATCCGGAGGAGGCTGGATCTGCTCGGCAAAGGTGCAGTTGCTGCACCAGTAGGTGGACGAGGTGTGACCAGCCCCTGCGGGCAGCAGGGCAGTAAAAGTGACCGTCGATGAGCCGCCAGCTGTGGCCTTGACCGCGCGGATTATGCTGAGCCGTCGATGGACTGCGGTGTCGAACTGGGGGCTCCCTCTGCAAGTGACTTGCGCTAAAAGGCCACACCGTGGCCTGTGCCGTACCTATTTTGGGCGTCTGCCCTACAGTCCCTGGGCCTGAACAGCCGTTGCACTCCTTCACTCCGAGGCTCGAGTCCCACATGACTTTGAGTTGGCTTGGCCAACGCATTTTGTTACTACATGTTCGTTTCTTCGTTGTATAATATTGTGATATTGATATTGGCAGTGTGTGCCTGTCCTATAGTTTCACTTTCAGCCAGAGCTAGCCAGCTGAATTTGTGTTCCAAGTCACAAAAATACTCAGGCCGCGGGCTGAAAATTTCTGGTGGAAGCTTGATTGAACGCGGGATGCACTTATAAGCAAGGCCCGTGCGACTTGCTGCATAGCTATCTAGCTAGGCATACCTATAATTCCATAACTGTTCTTTGAACCGAGGCGGGCTCAACTTCGTATATACAAAAATCGCGGACGATGGCTTTCGAGTCCATGATGATCGATGAATGAGACCTAGAGGCGAGCACGTGCTAAGCTATGTCAAGCCACTGATGCGCGCTAGCTTCAACATTATGCAATCTTCGTGCATCTCGACTTTGATTGCAACATGGGGAACGAAACAATCTGCAGATGTGCGACGACGGCCATAATACATACTATTGCATGAGCTGATCGAGTGAATGCACAAGTACACCAGGCGCCACGTGCTACAATTCACAATGCACAAATCCAGGTTAACAAGTCCTTCTAAGCAATTTCAGTATGTTAGAACAGTCAGTGTGAGAACAGTATACGACAAGCTAAGATAGCTTTGCAGCCCGCGTTACTGAGCTCCGCAAGCTTCTGCAACCGGTCCAGCTGAGCGGTGCCACTACCTTTCATCAACACATTTATAGGCATCCGATTTGCACGTTCGACTATTGAACGGCAGCGGACCCCCCTCCGGTTGGCACATGCAGTTGGGAACCGGATTCCCGTATATTGGAACCGCAAAAGGCTCTGCTGTTCGATTCCGCGGAGCCCCGTAAAAGTCCCACTTCCGCAACTCGCTCTGGTACGATTCCCAGCCCTCGTCATCCAGCCCGGGCAGCCGCCAAAGCGGGATGGTAACCCGCTTCTTGTGCCCTAACCACGCCCGGTGACCCACCACGTACCATGTCATCTGCGAGAAGAAAACGCCGAGCTTAGGAGTCCAATCCCGATACAAGCTGACTCAGATCCCGTCACAAATTGAACCAGATCTTTCACATAGAACGCCAATAACGTCTTGTTAACCTTGAGTCCGTAGGTTGTGGCAGCGTGCAGCGAGATAAGAGGGTCTACCTGGTACTGGGGTCGTTTCAGCCAGCAACTGGATACAAGTTAGTTCCCTTCTCTCTCGAGAACGCTCTCTTAATGTCCGATTGCGCATTCCGCCCCCAGCGTGTTTTCAAATGAGACTCAAGAAACATATTAGTAAGCCAAGATAGTATAAATCTCCGATTAACACAAAAAATCCTAACCCCACACGAAGTACCTGCTTCGCAACCCTACCCACACTAACCACCAAACTAACCCTACCCGCCGCAGTGCGGATACCTTATTATTATCTCAACTTATAATCTCTTCTCTTGAGCTCAATTCTTTCCAGCCCTCACCTGTCCCCACAGAGTGATCGCCGCCACTGGCGCGTTCACCATAACGTGTGCATCCACTGCTGCGAGCAAGTTGCTCTTGCCCTTGAGCCACGTGGCGTCTTCCGGCGTGAAGAGCGCCTCCTTCGTGAAGACACGTGGGAACAGCGCCTTGAACGACGCCATGTGCACGTGGCTCTTCCACACTTCGCCGGCGGCAATGTAAACCGCCGTCTCAGGTCCGTACCTGAGACAAAATTTCGAGTTTGGTCAAATGCTGCTGGGGAGTCCACGGTTGAAACAACGAGGTGAGCAGATGATAGGGACGACGAGGCCAAACAGAGAGCGAAGTAATGAGGGATCGTTTCACCGGGTCTCAAGATGCAGACCCTCGCAACCGGGTTGGTAATCGACAAGTACCAAAGTGTTGGTGGGAGAATATCCTCTCCTCAACCGTTGCCGAAACATGATAATGCACGTGAAAGAAAAAAGAACGCCCCCGACAAGTAACGATTAACATGCTCATTACTCGAGCGCAAATCTTCGCTAGTCGCAAGTTCACTAGCTGAGAGCGTGATCTTCTGCATTTCTCGACCAAAACTTCTTTCTCGGGTGTTGCCGCGTTCGTCCGCGGGTCACAGAGCGCCGCGTAAAACAACCACTCTGAACCTATGATAGTACATGCTCCGTGAATACCGATATGCGTGAAAGAGATTTCCGTGGCCTTCCATCAATGTCGACGACATCTTTCAAAAAGATCCGCCCAGAAGAGCTTTACTGAGACAACTTCGCGTCGTCTCTGCTGAAAGCGACACCCCGTGATCCCCCTTCTATGCCAGAACGAGAGCCCCAGAACTCCGTGGATACGAACCCGAGCCCGATCATCCGCAGCCAGATGTTGATCAGCTTTGAGGACATCGTCCCAGCAACGAAAAAGCTACATACTTTTAAGCGTACGGAAAATGGAAACAATCAAGTGACTTAAGGGGCATGACAGACTCAACGGGCAGTATAGTCGGTAGTCCGGGGTGAGACCCACCCGAGCGCTCTCACATCCAATCTGCTGGAACCGACACCCCGAGCGCCCTTCCGATTCACAACGAGAGACCCTTCCTTTTCGCTAGGATCAAAGCCCAGCCAATTTGAATTGGGTCTAAGGACCATCCTAGAGGTAAACACGTCTTGATTTAAGGGGGTAGAATCAATTGAAAACCATGGAGTAACTTGAGGGGCATGCCAAACTCAACGTGCGGCACTATTGGCGTCCAAATGGATTGAAAGAGTGCCCGGTAGAGGCTCACCCGAGCGCTCTCAGCCACTTGGCCACCATCCCCGGGGACGCCGGGCACCAGCCCCCCGCCCACTTTTGCTCCTCCGTCGTTACATTGGCGATGCCCTGCCAGGCGGGGCGCCAGTCGCGCTCTCCGCGGATCCGCTCCAGCCGGGCTTCCTCCTCCGGGGTCTGGCCGTAGTCGCACCAAGATGCCGCAACTCGATCCTGCGAGGAAACGGTATGATGGCGACTCAAAGGAAATTCGAACGCGCGGTTACGCATATGGCAGTCCCAAGCTTCCAGCTGATATACTCGGTAAGCTCAGGTTGTAGCAGGCACTTTATATAGGATGAAAAAGCATACGAAAGAGGTATAATGTTGACTTTTATCTGTTGATTCAATAACACCCTGCGTACAGCCTTTCTTATCCTCTCCGTGTGCATAAAAGCTTGCAAGTTTTGCCAGAGAACAAGAGGTGTGATCGAGGTTTCAATGGGAGAGCAGAATCACCCGTTTGTGAAGTGCAGGGCAACGCAATTCCTTATTGTTCAAACTTCCAAAGCGCAAAGAATTGAGACGATTCCGCTAGCAAGATCGTCCACCCCACGCTTTTGAAGTCCGTCGCCTGAAGTTCTGAGCTTCCGTTGTCAGGTAGATTCGCAGATGAATCTCTAAGCGAAAGAGATTGCTGCTTGTACACCAGATACTTAAGCACTTCAAAATCCAAATGGATGCAGAATAGACGCAGACGCACCTTCGAAGCAGAACTGGAGATTGCTTCCCTGATAAGCGGATTTTGAACAAAAGAGTGCTTGAGAAAAAGAAACTCGAGCATCTCAAGGAAACAGATCAGTCCAGCAGACGCATCTTCTCGAAGCGCAAATGCAGATTGATTCCCTGATAACTGGTTTCTAAAAGAAAAAGTGCTGGTACAATGGAAGTTTCAGCATTCCAAAAACGAATCAGTGCACAGTAGAAGCAGACGCACCTCCGCGAAGCACAGGCACGACGCAGTTCTTCTTGTTCAAATCCTCGAAATGGACTAGGAGGTCAGCATCCAAGATTATCCTACACGATTACGAGGTCGGGCACCTGGATAGTTGGTACCGTAGTGGAAAGGTATGAACCCGAATGGTCGAAAATGGTAATTGTTCAATTGAATACGACCTCTTTTGCCGGTTTTGTTAAAATGAATGCGCCCCTGAATCCGGATGTGCTCGGAACTGCTCCCCGAGCACATTCTTCCCCCATATCTGGCCTGCCCGGCTAAGACTTTGAGAATCCGACGGCACTTGAGCAATTACACAATGAATCCGAAAAATCATTTTCCAAACGAAAAACAGGTAATGTAGCAGTCCGAATGGTACATAATCATTCATTTTTTTTTTCGGATTCATACCTTTCCATTACGGTAATCTCGTCGTTAGCTCACCTCCTCAAAGCGCAAATGCAGCGCAAGGAAGCGCCCGTCCCCCTCGGCCCTCATGCGGCTCATGACCCGGTCCCCCACCGCCAGCACGTCTGGCGCAAAGCGCAGCGCGCGGTACTTGGTGCGGCACCGCAGCTTGTCGAGGCGGGGCGTCAGCTGGTGCGCGAGGGGCTCGAAGAACGGGTAGCGGAAGAAGAGCACGTTGGCGGGCGAGAGGAGCGGCGCAAAGCTGCGGTACTCCTGGTAACAAAATAATAAATTGATTTTCAACAGGTTCGTTACTTCCTTGATTGTGAAGAAATAATCTGAGAGATTAGAAAGGATTGAAGGACTTCAACGGACCAAGAGCACGCGCACGGGCGAGAGGAGCGGCGCCAAGTCGCGGTACTCCTGGAGACACCATAAATGGGATGTCAATGTCAAGTGAAGGACCGACTTAAGAACTGTCGATACAGATTCTCTACAACTATGTTTTTACTGGGGTCAAAGAAGCCCGTCGGCAGAGGAGCACACGAACGGGCAAGAGGAGAGGCGCGAAGGAGCGGTACCCTAGATGCAAAGAAGATTCGATTCCGTTTCGTTGTTGTGGAGGCTCGTTCCGAAGCACGTCTGGACAATCCGGGGTTCTTCATCCAACACGGTTGTGACGGTTATTTTGAAGGATCCATAAAGCTATTTAAGTTTTCGGTCTACTTCTGCGGAAAAGATAGCCCGTAGGCACGAAGTAGGGCGGCCCTCGGATCGTACACGAGATAATAACGATATCAATAGCACTAACAACGACCGATACTTTCGGCATCAGCTGACCCGGTTCAAGCTTGTCCAGGCGCTCTTGTGCAAAGATCCGCTCACCTCCGGCGTGCCAAGATATGTTTTCTTGGCCACTTGCCACGTGTCCTTCTCCTGCAACCCCGCGGGTAGCTCCTCCCGGGTGACGATCCTGACGTCAGCCTCCAGCGTCTTCCGGAAATAGTCGACGTCGATTACCTCGGACATGCGCCTGACAGGCAAAGAGGCGAAGGCGTGGCGTGAACGCAAAGGATGTTTTGTTCGAGAGGTTTTGCTCAAAGCGATGCACAGGTCGTATTGATAACGTCAGAGGGGAGGGAGTCTGAAGGTTTGGAGACAGAGATCCCATCACGTCGCGTCTCGATCGGATTTTGCGTCAGGGAAAAGCGACTGGACTCAATGGATGAGCTCGATAGAGTCCACCAATACCAAACGCGACCCAAGATTGCAAGCTCGACGGAACAGGTCTGATCACATCTCGTTTGTTTCTCGCGGAAGAAGTAGTAGCCGAACTAATTGAAGACAAGGGCAGCCGTTGACATGGATCGGATGCACGCCGGGGAAGCGCGGCTCACGTGCTGTCCTTCCAGAACAGGTCGTACTTGAGGTCGGGAAGCACCAGCGTGGCGTTCAAGATCCGCGCCAGAGCCACGGCGTCGCACATCTGCAAAACTTGAGCGACGATGTACGAATCTCAGTCTGGTCCTGGACCGAGACACCGAAACAGACATACTGGACACCGGACGTCTGATGGGACTGACGACAATGGAACAAAAGGAGGACTGCATGACTTTCCGTCCAATCTGGTCACCGGGTTGTCTGAACAACTCGAGGATCGCAAGCACTTTCTCGTCTGAAGATTCGCCTAGTTTCTGGAATGACATTCCATCGTCGCATGTCTGGCGCTAGCCGGGTATTGTTGAGCGGCTATGTTTTGCGAAAGGAGCGGCAAAGCGGAGGACTCTCTTACGGCCAAAGCACGGAGCGTGCAAATTTGGAACCCAGGCGATATTCGTCTAGTATCCGCCAAATAAAGCGACGAGCCGATGCAAGAGCGGTCTAAAAGAAATCGTACATCTGGTTTCCCCCTCACCTCCAGAATCTGCTGGCACAGCCCCCCGTCGAGCTCTGCGCTGATGTAACCCTGCGACCCCCCCTCAGGCAAACCGATGTGGTCCCCAGGCCGTTCATCGCACGCTCGCCAGCCCTCGTCTGGAGGGATGTCCCACAGATCCGGGGGAGAATTGACGGGCTGCGTTTCAAGAGGAGCCGGTCACTCGTTCAGTCGTTACAATGGTCGGTCGATTTGTCAATCTTCTGGTTGATCGGTCTGTCAGTCACTCATTCGTTCTGGTCAATCAGCTTTTTCATCCGATATATCAAGCCGTAATCTCCCGTTCGTACTTTCTCATTTGGTCGTTTACATTGATGAATTGCCGGAAAAGGGGTGAATCTTGACCCCCGTCCCATAAGTGCTTGAACAGATGTATATAGGACATGGTAAACTGGTGCAAGGACAGAGTCTGAAAGCAGAGATCGAGGAAGATATTGGGATGACGTATATCAACGACAGTGGATAGGCGCAAAAGCTTCGTCCTGGATGAATGTTCAATGATTTGCGATAATTTTCAACAATTGCACCTTTGGGCTGAGGCTTACCAGTTCTGCGTCAGGGTTGTGAAATCCCTGCAAGGCAACGCAACGAGTGTCAAGACAGCGGGACCTTTTGTTGATTCTTTCTGCTTGTCATGCTTCGCACTGGACGAAAATGGTCAATCGTCGAAAGTACGGAAAGACCATTGCACAGCAGCTTTCTGCTTCTGCTCAGTAAACAAGGAAACGCGAAGCTGAGACGATTCATCAGGGTCCACCATGCCTAAGTATTTAATCATACCATCGACGCTTGCAAACCCGACCCAACGACATTCAGAGACCTATCTAGGAAGTTTCAGGAAACATTACTTTTCGAATGTATGCAGCTACAGGTCGAATCAGACTAAAGATTGACAAGTGCCACCGTGCGTCTTCTAATCTCTGGAGAGCGTCCCTCCGTACTTACCTTTGGTCTGATCTGTCTGCAACAGAACATTGCATCGTTCTGACTACGCCGCGTGGTTCTTACAGGTGAGCTAGAAGAGAATCGTGTTACAAGTGGATGTCAACTCGCTGTCGTGCAGATGTGTTCACCATTGATTTGAATTTTAAGGACCTCAAAACACTGTCACTAGCTCGACTTGACTCAATTCAAAACCGGACGGCTGCACTAAGGCGCGTGCTACTGGAGGTCCTTGTTTTATTGCACGGTCAGGAGGCATTGTTTCTCGGGTTGAATCTCGATGTCATTGCCAGCCAATCCATACCACCCGTCAGAAAACAGGACCTCAGACTCGGAAATCAAGAGGAATGCTCGCCTTGCTCTGCAGAAAGCCCTGCATCCTCTATTCACTGTAGGTGGCACTGCAATGTCGCTGGTGCCTTTCAACCTGAACAATTCCCCAAAAGGAGGTTCTGAGGGACTTCAAGTAACTCACCTCTGGCACTGGCATCGTTTCCCACTTCCACTCTGCCGTTGGGAAGCCGTCCGCCCCCAATACCATCCCTCTTCCTTGAATCCAGCTGTTCTCTGTTTCTGCACCAATTGAGATCCCATTTCCTTCCCTCAAGCTCTCCGTTTCCCTCGCACTTCCACCTTCGAGTTCCCGGTTTGCCAGATACTTAACCGTCTCGCTTTTTTCTACCCATCCCTTTCCTCCAGACTCCTCCTGAGACGTTTTCCTATCAGAGGGCCACAAAATGTCCTCTCTTTCGCCCTGCTCTGCAACAATCTTATCTCTATCAAACACCCCTTCACTCCCACCAACTGTGCTGGCTGCCCTTCCTACTGCACTTTCCTGAGTCGAGCTTCCAAGTGATCCCCGCTTGAAGTGAAAATCATCCTCTGGTAAGACGCCTGTTTGGTGGATCACTCTGGAATACACACAAAGGTACAATCAAGATCGTGGCAGTCTTTGCTGGTCAGTTCAGTGTTCGTCGCCGTTGATGTACCAGACTATTCTTCTCAGGCATGGCCACTTATGCTAGGAATTTCATGCAGGAGTTAGACTGATTGGAAAGCTGCCAGCAGTTGCTATGTTGCTTGAAGCCAACCGGTGGGATACCCTCCCATGTGCATACTTCGAAATCTTTTATCCATTCAAAAGAGACAGCTGTTGTTGGAGTTTAATCGGGGGCTATCTCCTTGAAAAATCTTCTTCGAAACGGGCACTTCGAGACACCTTCCTCTGAAGAGAAACGGCATGACAGCATGAATAGTGGGAAAGACTACAAGCGGCGCTCGCAATGCTGCGACTTTGTGAACGTCTATTATAATGGAAGAAGGACATGATGTGGGTCTGCCCATGTTTGTTGAGCTCATGAAGCAAGCACTTTGTCGTTTCCTAAAGGGCAAATCTTTTCCATTCTTTAGTGTTTCTCTAGAGGTTCACCTTCTTGCAAAGTTTCCTGGGTGTAAGGCCAGAATTTATCCATCTTTTAACTCTATGGGGGTGACGCCTTTCCCGCAAGGAGATAGTAGTGGTAGTAGTGCAGTATGCGTTGAAAAAAAGTTCCCACATTATCGAGTTCAAAGGCCTGAATAACAATAGGAGTAACAGATGCCAGCAAACAAGCAGTATAAGAGTTGGACCACCAGGGGACGAACAGCAGATGTTGGAACAAAGGAGTCGCCAGAGGAATGAACAAATTCACAAACACGTACGAAGAATCAGCTGGGCTGCCTGTCCGTCAGAAAAAAGAGTGACCAGTTTCATAACCATGCAAATGCTGAGAGTTTCTTATTGGAAAAATACTGAGACATAGTCTGAGCAAGGAGTGGTTCGACATACCTGACTTGAGTCTGGATGAGCTGCAACGTGCTTACTCCAGAGATTCTGCCCCAAATGAAGCCCCCTGTCAGCAGCAGAAATGAGGCCGTCGCTGCCAGCATCAAGTACCACGCACGGGTGTACCTCCGCTCGCCATCCCATGCTGCTGTCATAGCTGCTCTTGCAACTTTCTTCCGGGACATGTTCAGAAGACATGTCAAGTGACCTCAGAGCAGAAGTTCATGCTGCAATCTGGTACCCTCTTAGTGCAAAGCCTATAGGGTGGAGGAAGTGCTTTGAACAGGGCTGCACATAGGAGAATTATCAAGAGCTGCTGCCAACGTAGTCAACAATGTAGTAATCCGTCAGCTCAGCTTTGGAGGGGACTTGCTGTCAAAGGCATGTGCGGCGCCCTCTTTGCACTGCGGTCAGGTTTCCGTAAGACGTGCCGCGCAAGAAGAACAAGAGCAAAAAGTAATTTAGGAAAGTGGTTTCGTTCTTGAGAGGAATTGAAGAGTGACCTTGACATTGACAAGACAGATCCAGATCTCAATGCAGTGACTCGTGAGCTTGTTTTGAGCAAGGGCGTGGGAGCACTGGCCAATCAGAGTCGACGTTCGAAAGCACGTGAACTGTCGACGAATCAGACGTCGCCACATGTTGTGACGGTCCACTTCTTCAAAACGTTCACTTGCTTTTCCGCGAGGACAAGCACGGGTGCGGTCATATAATCTCATATTCATCGTACAATGGAACTGTATTGGACGACTTTACTACATACGTAGCCGACATTGATAAAGTTTGAATGTTGGCCACTTCTAGTTTTCAAAGCTTTAACCAATATATTGCAAAGATTGCTTGTATATTACATAAAACCAATCAGGCATACGTCGCGGTAGCTTTCGACGATTTGTCCCCTTGACCCAGTGTTCGTGGCGAAACCTTATTATTGCGCCAATTGGGTATTGGCGCAATATTTGCGCACATTTGCGCAAATCACCCAATTTCGCCAGGGGTGGCGAAATTAAGCGCGGCCGCGCGGCCGCGCATAGGCGCGCATGCTCAGGACGCTGGTGTCAGAGTCGCCTTGGGTTGAAATTGGGGTCATGTGCGCCCTGACCTTGGGAAGCCAGTCGGGAAAGTTGTTAACGGCTGTCGACGTCAAACTTTGACCAAGTTTGACACCAGTATATAGCGTCAGAGGCATAATGCTGCATAAGCATACGGACAATTTCGCCAATTTCGCCAATTAGGGGGAGTTTGCGCCTCAGGAATTAGTTTTTGCGCATTTCGAAAAACAATTTCGCCACGAACACTGCCTTGACAAGACGTCGTCCTGTCGGCATTTCTGGGAAAGGAGTTTGCTCAAGTTTGCTCTGTTTAGTCTTTAGAGAAGCCTCAGAAGGACACTTTCCCGACCCCCAACCAGCGTCATGGCAGCTCGGAGGTTCGCTTCCATTCGTGCCTGACCATCCGATCAGCATTCTGCAATCACCCGAATTTATTGATCCTGAGGAGCGGGTCCATGGATCAAAGAACTTTCCGATTTGTCTTTCGCAGCGCTATCATTGTAGCCCTGCTCTTGGTGCTGTTCTACCTTGGGCGGCCTGTTTGGTGGGGGATCTCTGCACGGTTACAGGAGGCAAGGCAGAAGAAGGTGGACGTGTCAGCAACAGAGCTTGCAAGTCATGGTAAATCGCAACCCTTAAGGTCACTCCCCTCCATCATTGAATTGGTTGCATTGGAGTGGTACATTCCTCCCTCTCACAATGAGGCCAGTATTGAAGCAGGTGTTCTTTTCAGTGAGCTTGTTTTTCCAAGCTGCAGAGGTGAATGCATTGGATATCAGGATTTGTAATTGGAAAGGAGTTTCACCGCTTCGCAATTCGTAGCTGTAGCTGCCTAAAAAGATACCAATTGAAGTTTATTGGATATCGGGAGTTGTGTCAACCGTTGTAGCAATCCAATTATTGTAGGAATGGATTCTGCCCTGGTCATTTATTGTACAACGATGAAACTATGATTGTCTCCATTGCCTCCACAGCCGTCAGAAATCTCCTCATTGTCATACATAGCTGGCACAGAGTGGCTGAGGTTTTACCTTCCTCGGGATCCAGGACTTCTGGTGTTTGCAGCTTTGTATTCGGGTCATGCAATTTGCCCCCCCAGTCAGTGAATTTTCTTCTATTAACCGCTAATTCCTGGTATATTATTGACCCAGCTACAGTAATCACCATGTGTGCACAGAGAACATTCATTCAATCTGAGAAAAAGCTACCTCCGCTGCCCTTTGAATGCAGGATCAAGTGTTCGCTGCCCCATCAGGGGTGGTTTTTCATTGTCTTCCGACCATGTTGGAACCCCAAGCGGATTAAAATCTGCTTGTGCTGGCCCAAATTTCTGACCGTCAACTCCCATCGCATCCCACGTAGAGCTGGCCACATCATACAAGGCGTCCGTATGCTTTCGCAAGCACATTCAAATGTCATTCAGGAGCAGCTTCAAGCACACTCAAGTGCGGGCTCTTTGCAGACGGTCTTGAATTTCGGGACTCTTGTTTTCAAATAGATTTGCCAGACTCGCTCTTAACTTGACCAACTCATTTCTTGTCCTTGATTTAAGGGCACTTTCATGAATTGAGGGTCCTCGTTTCTGCTACTGCAGGCATGCAGGAGCTGAAGAACTACGTTGCCAAGAAGACCGGGTTCGCGGAGAATGCGGCAGATGCAGGCGGTCGACGGACTCTGAAAGCGATGCATCACATACCACGTGATGTCAAGATACGGTTGCGGAGACTTATGCAGCTGTAGGCTGACATGTACATACACTGCAAGGTCCTTGCTTACGGTCCCACCTCCGTGAAGATGTCTCAGACAGTAAGTGTCGGATCTAGCATTATCAAAGCTTACAAGTTGTCTCACAAAATTATCCACGAGAAGAATGCTCGTGCACCTATCTGACTCCTGCAAAATCTTCGGAATCATCACAAGCAGGCAGACGCGTAAAATATTTGGCAAGCTCTCGCCCTTAGGGGAGTGCACCTCTACACAAGGAGTCACATGATACACCCGACCTGGCTCCAAGGTGGCACCCCGGCACCTTTGAGTCGGAGGCCATTCTACTGGATCTGGCTTTGACTATGATACGCGCTTGGCACTGACATGACAGTACCGTGCAAGACGCTGGCTGGCCCATAGCATGCCAAAGGGGCGGCCCGGCTGGCCATGCAGCTATATGAATTGCACAAATGTGACCAAAGTCGACGCGCTAGGGATACAGCAAGAGGCCTGAGCTCCAAGAATTTGACGCATATGTGAAAGAACATGATATAGCAGCCCTGTGCAGACTTATGCAGCGTACATACAACCGAGGCGTTTTATATTGCGGTCACGCGTCAACCATACTGTGCGCATTTGGCAAACGCACTCCGACCCTTAGGCCAGCATCTGCAAACGAAGTTTGCGTTGAGTTACGTGTCATGAATGATCATGCATACTGACATGCACCGCGAGTCAGATGCATATGGTCACATGTTCTTGTAAACCCTGGGCCACGCTGAGCCATCGGGCAATGCTCCGCGGTGAGACCATATCAATGTATCATAGTATCGACGAGTCCTTGATTTATATCATTACGGTTTGGTCGATCATGCATGCGATGTGGCCGGCGAGAATGCATGATGGCACTAGAGCCGCATGAGCCGCCAGAATTATAGTATGCAGATCATGAAACCCGAGAATAGTAGATGTCGTCAGTCCGCAGCAGGGTTGACTTGATGAATGATGTTCTCTTTTCGAACTTGATGATCAGGCCGCCTGATGATCAGACCATGCCGGGCATGCACTGGTCTGCTGGCATATGCTCACTGCTCTGTGCAGTCCACACGTCACAATGGTTGCATGAGTGGCCCTTTTGAGTTTGATTAACAAACCACGCCAGGAGACTCTAGCCAGTATGAACGGACCATATGTTAAAAGCATGTACATCTCACTTTCATTCCCGACTGTATTCGGCAAGCCAGGGGAATCCCCTTTTGCAGTGACTGTAACGGTACCCGACTCAGTGATTGGAGTCTCGTCTTCTTTTTTCACATCCCTTTCGTCTGTAGCAATAGCAAGGCAACGGTGAATTTGATCATGTTCGTACACTGGCCTTGCAAATTGGACAGAGTGGCTGCCGCTGGAGCCAGTCGTCTATGCACTGCAGACGAAAGAGAGGTTTATTCAGCGCGTTTGCAACTTCGCACTCGCTCAGTATGCAAGTACAGCGCAGCAATAGGTGTTCAACACTGCTTAAGCGTACGTAAGCTGAGTGGATTACGAGACAAGGGTCTACGGTCTTTGTTGCCAGAGCACTTTCTCTCCTTAACCAATCTATTGCTACTCGCACAATCCACCTCCGTGGCCCCAAGGAAACAAGGATGAAATGAGCAACGCACCTTCTGGTGGAAGATGTGCATACACGGGAGCCGCTTGATGACGTCACCCTCCTCGGGCGTGTCCAAACAGATGGTGCATGGCCCCGCTGCGATGTCCGCTGCCTGCAGCCAATCACGAAACTCCACGTGTCAGCAGGGCGCTCGTCGTGCCATTTTCTATCGACGAAGTTGGCTGAACACGGAGTCGAAGTAATGGTTGACTTTGCAGGGAAGGAGAGGGCGCCCAAATCTGAAAAGCGTCAATCAGCACCCTTTCCGAAAGGAGCCAATCCAGCTGATTTGTAGCACCAGAGCACTCGGAAACATTCAACGACATGTTACAGCGCTTTGATCGACACATTCTTGGTCTTCCTCGATACGAGCAGGCATCTCGTCCAGAAAATAACCGGCCCGCGTTTCATGGGTGAACGATTTCGCTCCAGGATCAAAGGGCAAACCGTCACGCTGCAAAGTTCACAACGGTCCGCTCACCGATGTTTTGCGAATAAGAACGCTAACGATTCTCGCCGCGATGCTCCGCGTCGCGTTTTTTACTTCAACCATTCCTGGCCCAATCAGAAGAATAAGGGTGCTCAATCAGAAGACAAGACGGGCCGTTCACCGAGGCTTTATTAATGGGCAGGCTCCTGATCTCCCCGCCGACGCGCCCCGCGGCCGCGAGATTCTCGCAATCAAATCTTGAAACGCCACGTTGCAGAATTCAAAAACAATCAGTCACCGAAGCTTTGAAAAACGCCACGTGGGCGAACTGCAAAAACAGATCACTCACCGAAGCTTTGTTGGTGGGCAGGCTTCTGATCTCCCCCGCCGTCGCGCCCCGATGAACTCGCGGAGAAGCATTCCGCTGCCCAATCGAAAAACGAAACGCCAAACTGCACATGTCGAAACAAGTCGCTCACCGAAGCTTTGTTGGTGGGAAGGCTGCGGATCTCCCCCGCCGTCGCCCCCCGCGGCCGTGAGGGGCTCGGCCCCCCCTCGTCCAACCGCAGCAGCATCTCGTAGTCGCGCTCGTCGAAGTCGCGCGACCCCGCGATCAGCCCAAGCGCGCCTAAACCCCCAAACCCTGCGCCCCGCCCGCGGCCCCCCCCGAAGCCCATCCCCCCCCCATAATGTGCCGCCTCCTCCATCGCCATGAGAAGTTCCATCCGGTCTTCCATTGACAACCCGGGGCCGAAGCTGACTTCCGGAGTGGGGGGGTCGTCCAGCCGGTGGCCTGGGCCGGCGTTCCAGTTGTGGGCCCCCCTGAAAAGAAGCAGAATCTTGTCTTGTTAGCTTCCTGTAAACCATTCTTCGGATTACATTTTCTAGTATGCTGCATTCTGAATCCGTACATAGCGATATTAATGAGCAGCAGCAGCTTTTTAGAGTTCTGAGCAAACTTGGAGATACGCCCTTGCAAGAAAGTGTACTCCTCGACTGATTTTTTGGTTTCGCACCTGTCCCTGCAAACGGAGCACTGCAAACGGAGCGGCGAGTCATTCGCGAAGAAACCCGCCTTGAAATAGGTGAGGTGCGCGTCTGCATAGAACAGTTTTTCGTTTTCCCAACACAAGCCCTCCGGATCGTCGTCTGCCTCTCATGTGCAAGACCTCCAGTCGAACTGCATGCAAAGTCGTCCCTTTCCGGGCACACAATATTTTCTGCCGCAGACCTCAGCAGAACATCAAGCACAACCAGTCTTTTCCCCTCCAACTTTCTGACGTTCAAAACTTGCCACGTCCTCACCTTCCATAGCGCGCTCGCACTCCTCCCCCCCGCGCAGCCGCATATCCGCCCCCTCTCCCTCTCCCGCCCCCTCCTCCCCTGACCGCCCGCGCCCCCCCTCTCGGAACAACCGCCCCCCCCCGGCCTCTCGCTTCAGAACCGCGCCCCCCCGCTACGGCCGTCCGTACAGACCGCCGCGCCGCTTCGGCTTCCCCGGGGGGCGCCTCCAGAGCCGCCGCTGCCCCCCCCAAAAGATCGCTCGCACGGCGGAAAGTTGCGTCCTCGGGGGGTGGCATGTTTCGCGGGTTTGATCGTTGCAGGAGAGGAGGGCCCCTGGTTCCGCCGGTGTTTGGCACCCCCATTCTCGGAAAGCTCGTTCCGGGAATATTGGCAGGGGTGAAACGCACCCCCCCAGAGCGACTCGGAGGGTTTCGTTCGCTGGGAAAGTCGAGTCCGCCCTCGGGTTCGTCCCAGGGGATGGGTGCACCTCCGAAATGGCCGAAATGGGGGTCGGTTTGCGTGGGCAAAGCGCGCATGCTGGCCTCCTCCTCCATTTCCATTTGGAGTCGGCGGGCGAACTCGGCATCAGCCTGCAGGTAAGAATGAGGGCAGCATTTGTACAGATTAGACGGAAATGCAACGTGATTGCAGGCCCACATGAACGGGTCAGCCGGAACGTTATGACGTCATTTGAGGTGTTGGGAAGGTCCTCTCTGGGTACGTGTTTCGACGAGGGAGCATGTCGGTGCAAGAGCGATCCACCTCGAAGTCATCCAACTGAAGCCCACAACTCCAGTAGTCAAATACGATACATGATCCGGATGCTTTCACCCCGCTGTTGAGATAATCTTTTCTCCTGTCTGCTGAATTGTGTATCTCGTGTTGGTCTAAAATTTCCTTGCAACGGAACTCCACATGGGGCTCATACGCTTCGAACAGAAGTGTGTGTAACATGTTCCCGCCCCCTGTCGCCAGCAGGCCCTGTGCCGCTGATGGTCACTTCTCGACACTCTTTTGTCAGAAAAGAAGGAAAGGAACGTAGCGTCAAACCAAATCAAACAAAGACAGGGAAAGAGATATCACGAAAGAGCACGCCTCCCTCACCCGGGTCAGCGTGTCTGACGCTTCCATCTCCTCCCTTCTCTGCAGCTCCCTTGCGAGCCTCTCATCCTCCTCTAGTTGCGTTCTTCGCTGCGCTTCCTCGTCCCGCACCTCCGGAACCTCTAGGCTTCCCACTGGCTCTCCTCCTCGTCTTTCAGGCCCTCTAGCTAGCGATCGAACGCCTCGACCTTCCCGCGGTACCTCTAGCCGTCCCCCAAGGACGCCCAGGCGGCTCACCGCATCCTCTAGACTTCCGCCTAGGCCTCTCATGACTCCTCCCCGACTTCTCGAACCTCTCCCGCGAACCCCTAGACCTTCGTCCGGGACCTCTAGAGCCTCCCCTGCCCTGGCACGGCCTAACCCTGCCCCCGAAACCTCTAGGTTGCCCCCCGCAGGCCCACGCCGCCTGACTCTCGTCCGGTGCGCCAAAACCTCCTCTTCGTCGCTCCCGTCCAGATCGACGATCACGGACGGCGCCGGGCGCATTTCGGACCGCCGCCGCTTTGCGCGCCGACTCCGCTGCGCAGCTGCGATCGGCACATCCTCGTCCTCGTCTCCTTCCGAACTTATCCCCCCACCTCTAGTTTGCGATGCAAGCCCGCTTTGCCGCTCCCCAACGCCAGCCTCCAAGCTTTCCCCCGCTGCAACACGCACACGGTTCTCAGTGCCTCCAAAGCGTTCGGCTCCTGACCGGCCCGCAAGACTGTAATCCTGTCTTTGCCCTGTGATTTCGGGAACGTTCAACCTGCCGACACCGGCTGAACCCGCGAAGTCTCTGTCCGATGCATTTTCCGACCCTCCTCTTCCGTTTAGTGCGGGAACCCTCCGCCCAGCCGCAAACCCTCCACGCTCCAAACCCTCGAGGCCCAGTGGCCCTGCGTCCGCCCCTGCTTCGCTTCTTCCCTCGCTCTCGCCAACCAACGTGCTCCTAAGTCCCGGCAGCAGACCCCCAGTCTGCTCCCGCCGAGCTCGTGCCAAACTCAATCCTCTCGAAGCTGGAAACCCGACGTCCCTTCGAGCACCCACCACTCCGCGCCTCTCAACAGATCCTTCGTTCTCCGTTTCGGCAATCTCTCGCCCTTTTCCTCGGCCCTCTTCTTCACTTTCCAAACTTCCAGAGCCCCAAGCCCCCTCGCTCGCCCTCTCCCGTGGCTGTACAAACGCTGCCCTTAACCCCCTGGATCGCTGTGCAGCGTCCGTCCCTGCTGTCCGTCTGGTCCAAAAGCTCGGACGGCTGAACCGGTCCCCTTCTTCTATGACGTCAGCAGATTCCGTTCCCAACTGATTTGCTGCCGTCAAACCTGACGCACCACTGTCCCCGCCTGGCAGCGCATGATTCGCAGTTTCAGAATCTGACGGCCCCCCACTCCGCTCACTAGCAGCTGCGCCGAGCTCCTCCAGACGCCCCAGCAGAAAGCGTCTTCTCTGCGGTCTCCCTAAAACGCCAGCTTCCCTTTTCTCAACTGGTGCTTTCGAACCGGACCAAATCTCGGCACCCCTTCCCGCCGTTTCCTGACCGTCCTCCTCCTGCAACTGTGCACTATCAGCCAGACCGTTAGAAACCCCCCCCCTCCGTTCCCCACCCCCGAGACCTGTCACCTCTTCAGGCTCCAAGATTTGCAAGGAACGTGGGCCTTCGCCAAGATCCCCCCTGCGGTGGCGAGCCGACCGCCTACGCTGGGGCGGTGACAAGGGCCCGTTCTCACCCTCGGGGCTCTCGGGTATTTGCACCAGCTCGGGCCCTGCTGGAGCCTGGTGTGAACGGCCCCCTCCCAACCCAACCGCCCCATCTGTTTGCAAGCCCCCGCCGTTGTTCTGAGAGACGGACCCCGTTTGAGGCGCACGTCTGGACCATTGCGACCGTCTGACCAGTGGCATAGGCTCCTCCTCGTCTGACAAGGACGATTCCGATAAAAAGGTCGGCCTCGGCCTCTGCCGAAGAGAAGGTTTCCCTATGCCAAGCGCCGCAGAACCTCTCCAATCCGCAGCAGCATGAAGCCCGTTCAAGTTCTCCAACTGTTCAGCACTCGTTCCAGCCGTTCCTGGAGAATCGTCCAGACTGATGAACGGCCTTCTTCTCCGGCCGTTTGACTCCTCGTGCGTTCTGCCCGCCCCTTCTCGCTCTCCAAACGACTCCCCAACAGGGCCCCCCGTTGCCAGGTCCAAACCCCCTGCCGCTTCCAAACGAGGCACAGTTTCAGTTCCCTCCTCAAGCGGCTCAAGTCCTGGGCTGCCGCCGTCTCCAGACTCCACATGCACACTAGGGGCCCGTGCATCCCTCCAGGAGTCTTCTGGAAGGGCGGTGGAAGGCTCTCCCGAGAGACTCGGCCGCAGCAAACGCAACGACAGCTGGCGAGACCACGCATTCGAGGACTCCGGCACACTGCTTGCCCTGCCGAGGAATGGTGCATCCTCCCCAGTACTTTTCTCCGGTCGCATTCTGTCCCCGGTCCCCTTGTTCTGTTCTTCACTAGGGCTTTCCCCTGGGTTCAAATTGGAGGGGCCTGGCTCGTCGTCCCCTGTACTCACAGCTTCAGGCCCTTCTGTCTGAACAGCGCTGGTGTCAACAGCCAAAGCCGGGTCTTTGGAGTGCCTGCCATTGACACCGCCCTCGGTTTGCACACTGTCTTGGCTCAGGGACACCTTTCGGCTGCGCCAACCCCCGCTTTCTGGTTGAGAATCTGCCCTATGTCTAGTTCCCTCCTCTGCAATCGCTTCGCATAACGCCGCACCTGCCACTGTCTCCTCTGGGACGGACCCTCGACTGCGGGACTTTTCCCCGTGCACGTAACCTCCGCTTCTCTCCCCGCTTCTTGTCAGTAGCACCTCTGGGTCGCTGAGCTTCTCCTCCACCCCTCCAGCCTGCATCCGCGCCTCTCCCTCGTCTTTCCTGACTTCGTTTCCGCCGCTCCCTTCTTCCCCCGCCACCTCTCCAGCCGCTTCCTGACCACCCAGGCTCTGGCTCTTACCTTCTCCCCCGTTCTCGCTTGCACTCCTCGTTCCCTCCTTGAAATCAGTCCACCCGCCAACAGCTGTCCTCTCTTCCTTCACCCCTTCCTCTCGGTCCTCTTCTTCTGCCAACTTTCCCCAGGCCTCGTGCGTCTGCGTGTCAGTTCCCGGTATTGCAGAGGCATGCTGGTCTTCCTGTGCCTCGGAGGCACTTTGACTCAGGCCCCCTGTCCTGCCTATATTGCCCGCACTTCCGCTTGCGTTTTGACTCCCGCTACCAACAGTCGTCTGCCCCTGCGCCCCTTTCCGTGCACGCCACCCCTCCCTGTCCGGCGTGCTGTCAGTTCGCTCCTCTCCCACCAATTTTCTCCCCGCGATGCTGGCCGTTGGACGACTCCTTGTCGGTAGAGGGGATTCGTCTTCCTCACTGTCGCTCACCCTCAGATCGTCAATGACCTTCGTACCAGCTATCTTTTCATTTCGCAACCCGGAAGCCTTGCCTGACTGAGCCCCCCTTTTCAAGCCCTCTGTGACGCGACCAGCCGTACTTCGATGTGGGACATCCAAAGACCGGCTCCCATCCTCACTGCCAAGGGTACGCACATCAGCTTCTCTTGGCCCATCCGCATCAGCTTTGAAGAGCCCGTTTTGCGAAGCGCCCCCTGATGAGACTCCCAGTCTCCCCACTGCCTGCCTGTCTCCAGCAAAGGGGTTTCGGAAGCCTGGCCCTTCTCTGGCCTTTTCGGTCATCTTCTTTTCTGTTGACTTTTTTACTTCTCTAGTGGAGAAATGAAGAGGGGCCTCTCCATCATCTTCATTTTCGCTAAGGCCCAGATCCTGAGAGCGCAAACTTCTTCTTCTTGTAGGCTGGTTCAGACCATTTGCGTGGCCGCTTTCCATTGCGCTACTTACCCCGTTCCTCACAAGATTCCTCGATGCCACTCTTTTCTTTTCAGATTGAGCTCTGGCTTCCAGGTCAAATTAAACTAATCTTGCTTAACATTCTCTGCCAAATTCATTGCTCTTTCCACTTCAAAAGGGTCAAGACGGTCTCTTTTCGACTTTTATTGATAGGACCTGAAGGGAGCTGCTGCATGAGCAACTATGGTTCTGGCCATGCTCAAGTGAAGCTGATGAAATACAGAGGACTACTCAAAAGCAAGTTGCCTCGCACTTTTACATTCAAGCTGCAGCGACTTTCTTCTATCACTGCCGCACTTTACTCTGCACAAAAGAAGAAGTGCTGTCAGCAACTTATTTGGTTCAATGCAATCACTGATTGAAGAGCTGAATGTAAAATGTAAAACAAGTCGGATTCTTTTGGCAAATAACCGCAAATCAGACGGCCCTGCTGCTTCCATAAGTTCTCCACATGCCATCAACTGCGAAGTTTTGGCAACAAAGGAGCCACGGACGAGGAAAGAAGAATCTCAAGTGCCTTTCTGAGCCGGGATGAGACTCCACAAGTACAATTGTCAGGTCTGTCAAAGTGTGGGGGATCTTGTCAGGACCTGAATGGCATGCATAACAATCCAAGCTTTTCAGATCACATCTAACCTTCTCCGAGACTAAACAAGAGCAAGACAAAAGCCTCAAGCACCATTGAAGTCCATTCAACAGGGTCTCGAGCAGCAACAGAAGTTTAATGGACCGTCACCAGAAAGACCAGCGTCGAGTCAAGCCACAGAAGCAAACATGTGCCATATGCCCACCTTCAAGGGAGAAACTTGCACCACCCTTCGAGCCAGAGGACCCAGGAAAGCTGCCACTTGCTGCTGTGAACAGAGAACTACCTAGCAAAGCTTTTTGCTTTGACACGTCGACTCTCTGCTTTCACTTGTAAGCTAATATATGAGCAACGGAAGTGAACGCATATATCTGCTATGAAGCAAGTTAACCCGTAACCGAGTTGGATAACGGATGTACATACGGTAGGAACTATTGTGTCCCCCATCATGTTGTGTCAGCTCGGTAACTAAAATAAACCATGTGCTACATCTATGATATATGTATATGGGACATACCGCATATGCAATGAAACAAACCGTAATTCTTGTGGCCAAATATTTGACGTCTGAAAGCCAAGCAGGAGGAGAGATGTACAGCATTGCTAGACTCAGAGCGCCTCCAGGCTCCAAATTTAATGGCGTGTTCCTCACTCATGACTCCGATTTCTGATAGCGTGGAGACTTGAGCAGGAAGGAGCTGAAACCATCAAGGGGCTGATTGGAGCAACGCAGCCATGTCCCGTCTGGGCTATTCGCAGTGCTTCCACCTTGCAAGACAAGCGAGGCACACCTTCTTACGTGGGGAGCAACCACTCTTGCAAGGCGCGTTGGAAGTTGGAAGGCAGAAGCTGTTGCCTGTCAGAGCAAAAAATTTCTCATCGGAGCGGGTTCAGGATCAGAAGAGTGCTTCTTCATCCTTTAAAATTCGGCCCCTCAGCCAATTGTTGCTCCGGACAGAAACTGGTTCACATTGTCTGGTGCATACAGAGTACGGAGGCGCTTTCCTGGTGCGCACATTCTATGCAAGAAGTGCACCACCCCATGCATCATCGTCTGCAGTAGACGCTTCAGGTTTGGGAGGAGACGACAAGTCAGGAAGCAGAGCTGGCGATGCCAGTGGTTCTGGGCTGGGGGCCAAAGACAGCGAAGCAAGAAGTCAAACACACAATGCTGCCAGCATATCTGGTTCAGAAGCAGCTGAAGAGTCCCCACACTCGACGCAATCCGCACCTGGCAGCAGGTTCGGTCAGAATTTCAATCTTGCTGGCATACGAATCACTCTGGGACTGTTGTTTGGGGGAAAGAAGCATCTGGCCGTCCCGCACATAGCGGTACCGGACATCCGGTGGATAGACTGGCAGGCACTGAGAGCGGCTGGCTTCCAGGGGGTAGTCTTCGACAAAGTAAGGCTTAGGATAGGAAGCTAGCCTGGATACCTCTTTCTTTGGATTCTCAGGCGAATGAGTCAGGTTGCATGCATGAACTTGGTGACCGTGTAGAGGAAACCTTTATGCCACCGCTCTGACTGCAGAACCAAAATGTACCGCAATGTGAGAAGACTGTATGCCTGCGTGCCGGCTCTTCCTCTCGAGGACCTTATCCACGCAAAAGCAAGCTCCGTCAATGCTAGACTTGACATTACGCCACTCTTTTTGACTGCTCGCCAAAGTCCTCAGACTTAAATGTCACCAATGAGCGTCTGCAGTTTGTGCACCTCAATAAACTTGGAAGTATTCTTTGCAGAATCATTTCAGAAGACTGGACATCAACTGATTCTTTTGCAGGACAACACGTTGACCGCCCCCTATGCCTTAGAGATCTACGAAACTCTGGCAGAGTCGCTGCAAGAATGTCGAGATGTCTATGAGGGGAAGATTGTTCTGCTCAGCAACTCTGCAGGTAAGTTCGTGATCTTGTGTCCCTATCATGGTGTCCTGCAACGGATCTTCCACTTCAATCGAGCGAATTGCCAACTTTTGATGCTCAAGAATCATTGTCAAATAGGTTGATTTGGTCAGGTTTCAACTCTGTGGACTCTCCTTTTTTCAAGCCAACAAAAGGGGAACTGACAAGGGCATGTCTGCGGACACCACCGACGACGTCCTGCAATTTGGTTCAAAGAGTCTTCGGCAGAGCTTTGCAAGGTGGCTTGCATACACCATTTTGAACAGGCCTCAGAACCGGCCTCTTTTGCAGGGCTTGCGCAGTTCGACCCTGATGGAAAGGAAGCGAGCCTCCTGGAGCAGAAACTAGGCATCCCGGTCCTCAGACATGGTGAGAGGGACAGGCTTCAAACAGTCCTGCATCCACGCAGCGCTTTCGAGTCCTGCATCCACGCAGCGCTTTCGAGTCCGTGATATCTGTGATCAACAATCGGCATTTCCTTGTTCAATCATAGCGCAGGGATGCGAAAGTGCGCTGCTCTTTGGCCGAACTACACACGTTTCCATCTTAGTTCGACAGAAAATATCGAAAAGCACCGTTTGCTTTCGCCAGACTGCGCATGAAAATATTACGCCTCACTCCTTTTGGTTTCGGACTTGCTGCTAAAGCCACAATCTCTTTGCCAAAACGGAACGTTTGAATTTTCGATGACGATCGACTCTGTTGAAAGCCTGAAGTTGACAATCGAACAGCAGAACTCTTGCCTGATGGTTGGTGCGTACGAATGTTTCGGCCATGATACGTGACTCTGGTCGCTTGGGTTTGGGACTTTGCAGAAATCTTGACCATCAGTATCTCGCCAGGACAGACCTTTCTTCCTTACCCCCTTGCTTTAAATCGGCTGTTCACATTTGAATCTGTTCGGTTCCAACTTCCATCTCAGCTTGGTATCTCAAACGGCGAAAGGTTAGGCCGTCTGGACTCGTCTGACGGGCTTGATTTCTCTGCTATTCTAAACTTTCGCGCTGTTTCCTTCGTTCGAACCTTCAGGTGCCAAGAAACCAGCTGGGAGTTCGGATCCGCTGACTGCACACTTTGGTTGTTCAGCTGACCGTCTCGTGATGGTGAGCATTTCGAGCACCTACCTTTTTCCTGCTTTCTTACTGAGATATTTAGAGTCTGCCATCTAAAGCTATCCCTCGTTCTGTGACGGAGAACCAAAACCTGTTTGTGATTCCCCTTGGGCGCAAGTGCCCCTCAGGACACTGTGATTATTGTCTTGGACAAGCGCACTCCGCCGCACCTGACGATAAAATCATGCTCGAAAAGCGGTGTATTGCGCTTCGCTTAGGCATCTGCTTCTGCGTTGCTCGCGCACGAAGATCTGACAGCAATCACAGAGTCGAAGTCACAGTGTCTTCTTTGAGGCCCAGTACACAAAGAGGCCGGATCAATTTGTCTTTGACAGTTCTTGTACAGCCTGTTCGGGTGGTCCCGCCTCAAGAGACCCCCATCTCGCAACCACTAGTGAAGCTTCAAAGCTTCTGCAAGGGGAAGGTTGAACGATCTGGTACTCGCCGTGACGCAGGTCGGGGACCGCTACTTCACGGACGTCGTGTTTGGCAACCGGCACGGGATGCTGACCATCCGGCCCGCCCCGCTGACTGCTGTGGGCGAACCGACCATGGTGAAAAAGGTGAGAATCAGACCTTCAATTTCAACAATATTCTCTGTTGCTTGATTGATTGTTTGACGATTTCGTCTTTCGTTTGCTTGACACCTTTGGCGGCTGCAAGCAAATGGCGACGGAATGGTTGGCTCGTGGGCGCGACCCGCGTTTATTTTTTGTAGGTTGCAAAGAAGCTGGGACCATCCACGTTTTCGCAATTCTGCAGACCGAGTTATGTATCTCAACCAAAGTTCGAGTTGTTTGTGCTCGAACTGCTCTTTCTTTACATTCTTGAGTTGGCGGTCTGGTCTCTGAACCGGCGATACGTAGTCAGCCTGTCTGAAAAGCTTCACTTTTGTGTATCATCGAAGATGGCCTCGTCTATCTGACTTTGCTTTCTTGGTAGCCTCTTCTTGAGTTTTGATGCCCTTTAAGTGACCGCATCGTTTCCGTTAAAGCTGGTCGGTATCTTACAAGGTTGTCAGTGAGCTCTACATAGAGATGGCTGAAGTTATTTTCTCCCTGTTTGCTTAGACTCGCCCCAGCTTGAGAATCAAGTCGCCGACCTTGTTGCTAGACGCCCCTCAGGCAACCATAGTTTGACCCAGCTGATGAACACGGTTTTCATTATCTGGATCAGGTTCGACTACTGGAGGCCACGCTTCTATCGCGGTGGCAGGCCAAAGACATCTCGGCCCCTGAGCATAAGCTGGCTCTTGCTCCAGGCAAATACATCAAGGACCCGGGCTGCTGGTAACCGCAGCCCTTCCAAATGAAGGGATGTCATCTGCCGTATTTGCAACTGCTAGGGCCCGTTTCTTTGTCAAGCGCGCTGATAATTGATTGACCCGCAATTCAATCAACGTGGACTCATGCTTATATTGGGAACGGAAAGTGCACGCGTAAGAGATCTGGTGGCTATTTCATCTTCTGAGCAAATGTAGCTTGAACCGTGTCTGAATGCCTGGTAGGTCGACCTCAGATCCGGCGACTCGAGTCGATCCTGCAGGGTTAAAGACCTTCGCATCGGATTGCTTGGGGCCCCTGGTGTACTAACAGGAGCTTGCCTTTGGATAACCAACATTGGGTGCTGGCTCTGATCGAAATATGTATCTATGGCTCGGAGTGAACAAGTTCTGGTGTTTCGATATGTCGGACCACTCTCGAGAGTTGGCACTGGGACCATGCGCAGTCGACGTTATGGAAACTCTCGCTGCAATCGCCATCAAATGTGGCCTGCAAGCGCGCAGAATATCACCCCCCATGTGCAGCTGTGGGCTTAGTACGACCAAACGCAGTTTCAGTTGTAAGCGTCACTGAGTTTCTGCTGAGTTCTAGCCATGCAGCATGTTAGCAGGAGCGGCGCGGCACTATACGATGAGGAAGCTAGGAATCACAAGAAAGACACTGCGCGAGCCTCTCAATTGTGGTGCGATCAAATGAGCATTGCTTATTGCATTGCAAAGGCTTCATTGGCGATGCAGATTGGGGCTATCTAGGCGCATGTGTGCATATGCCAATCGCACCTGCCACGTTACGAAACTATCATGCATGCATAAGCGTGTGATCCGTGACAATTTGCCACTACGCGAATTCTGGATCTGGTAATGAAAGGCTGCATGCATGTGTCGCGGACATGCCATGGTCATATAATGCATGCCGATCGATATCGTAATCATTGTGTCGGCCGGTATATAGATGCATATGTTTTGCAACTATTGCCGCGTGCAAATTTTAGTACCTATTGACTTTGTATACGTACAGTCCCCATACAGTCACGCGATATCCAGCTCTGAGGAATCACGTGCAGTGCCGGAAAATGTTCCATGCGGACAGATGTGAGATTGTAAACGATGTTGCCAGGCAAGTATCTTGTGAACATTCAAACATCGTGGAGCTGCCGCCCTCCATGCAGTGGTTGAGGCAAGGCTGACCGTCAAGGCAGTACTGTAGTGACTAATCTGCTCATGCTTTGTTTACGACAACGTCACCCTTCATCGGCTCCTATTGCAATCTGCTTCGATTCCAAGATTTACATTTTGATTGTTACCTCTCAATCATCAGCTCGGATCCATTGCCTATATTTTCTGCAATTTCTGGGGAATGCTCTGCAGCCCTAGCACGCACAACTCCTTCGGCATGTTCATTGTTCAGGATGCGATCACTCAGTTTCTGCAGAATCCCCATGGTACTGCAGCTATAGCTTTTCTGATTTCCATGTCGTCTGTCATCTGATCGAGTACCCTGACGGCATGCTCTCGTGTGACCATCTTTTCACTCCCAAGGACGTCAACAATCATTTGCAAGGCCCCTGGGGAAGAAGCAACGGCCTTCAAGAACCTAGCATCAACACCCACGTGTGCTAGCACCCACACCGCATCTTCGTAAATCTCTTTGGGATCTTCTGAACTTGGATCCAGGAGCCGCATAAGCCTTTGCCAGAAGTTAGGCACCCTCTGCATTCTTTGCCCTACTTCGGCGTTTTCGGCAAGGCTGCATACAGCCCTTGCCGCCGTCGTCTTTAGAAACATGATTCTGCTCCCCAACAGGTTCACCAACCCCTCCAGGCACCCTGACACTCTGGCTATGGCATGTCCGTGGTCAGATGCTGCTAAACGCTGCAGACACCATGCGGCGCTCTCCTGCACCAGTGCGTGTTTACTTTCCAACATGCTCGCCAGTTTCTCCAAGCAACCTGGGACAGCGACGATCATCTCACCACTCCAATGACTATCTGCAAGCTGCGCCAAAATGCCTGCAGCAGCTTGTTGCACGCCCTCGTCCTTATCGCCCAGAAGATTGAGAAGACCCTGCAGAACCTCAGGGACCAACTGAATCAACATCCTCAAGCTGACCCTAGGATTGAATGTCAACGTGCTCAATACGAATGCGGCCCTCTCTCTTATGGATTCACTCTCACTTCCAAAGAGGTCGACAACCTGCTCTAGGAAGCCTGGGAAGGTAGCTATAGTCATAATGTCCTCTGCGTCTGTTACCAGATTCTCTAAAGTTATAAGAGCTTCTTCCTGCACCGACTCTTTGTGACCTTTGAGAAGGTCAACCAGCTTTTGCAGGCACCCTGGGACACGGGCAATCACATTCTGGATGGGTATCTCGTTGTATGACAATTCCAACAGCATTTTTAGAGCCTTCTCCTTGACTCCATTATGATCACTTCCCAGAAGGCCCACCACCATTTCCAAGCTCTTCGGCACTACCATGCAGGTTGGGCCCTGGCTGTCCAATCCAGCTATTTGATCGCCCCATGACACGGCTTGCTTCATAGAGGTCAGATCGTAACTTTGACCTTCAAGATGGTGCAGCTCTAGGGTCTCTAGACTTGGGAAGGTTGCCACAAGAGAACTGAACGCAGTGCTGGGCACAGCAAACCCAAACAATGACAGGTTGCGAAGCTTTGGGAAGGGCTTTGGGAACCTTGAGCAATCTAGTGTAATGATTGGATCGTGCCACCAGCTCTCCCACAAGAATATGTGCAGCACCTCAAGCTGTTTGCATTCTTGAAGCATAACAAGAATGAGCTCCCAGTTAATTGTCCTTGCATCCTTCTCCGTGAACTCCAGAGACAAATAGACCTCCTGAAGGTTATTCATTGCGCAAGGGATGACAGGTTGTAGAACAGCCATCAGGTTCTTGGAGCGCACTGCATTCAGAGCTATCTTCCTCAAAAATCTGTTGCACCCTTTCTCGAGTACATAGCATATGGAGTCTTGCTCGGCATGAGGGCCATTGTCGATGTCCCAATGCAGGCATCCCATGGTAAGGACCACCTCCTGAAACCTCTTGCAGACGGCCTCCAGCCGCACTCTACCCCGGGCCTGGTGCCGGAAGACGCATGAAGGGTTCCAGAGGGCTCTCTCAAAGATGCTCTCGAGTACTGCATCACAAAGACAGTCAAACAGGTTGTTCTTCGACGCCATTTCAATTGTGGTCGCCAAGTTTGTTGGTGATGCTATGTAATATCAAACATTAGTTTACCTAGGTGTATGGATCTGACGCATCTCACAATCTCAGCCTCAGGCTCCGACTCCGAGTCAGAGTCATGGGCGACAATTTGGTTTGTTCAAGCGACTCTAAAGTCTAATTGGGTGATCCCCCAACCGCGCGTGCGCGCGTCACATTGCAGTAGCCTTATTATCAACGCGCATGGTTGCCTTCAAGTTCAAGTTCAAGTTTGTACGCCAATGATGGCCCAGTCTTCCTGGCACCACCATGCTGTAGCCTTGGGCGCTCTACTCCTTCAGTCGTAGCCTGATCTCCGGGCCTGCTGCACCAGCTTCGTAAGCTCGTCCAGCACCATATCCAATGCAAGGGCGTTCAGAGTATCAGGAAGAGCTGGCCAGCAAAGTCTAAAGAGCACTTCATGGAACCAAGGCGAAGCGCGACCAGCAGATGGCGCCTAGGGAAATGAGGGTTAATCTGTTGTGAGAGACCACAATGTTGCGCTTCTACATTCATTATGAGGGGTCTCCTGAGCATACGCACCTTGCAAAAGTGCCTCAGAACTCTGACCAGACGTTGGCTTCCCTGAGGGACGAGTTTGTCCAAGCATACAATGCCAAGCATGGTGCAGAGCACTTGCTGGATGCGAGCAACTTAAATCTGCGGAATGAAAAGCGTCGACTCCTTGATGTTAGCAGCCCGGTCGTGAAGGCAATCCGCGATCGGGCTGACCTTTTCATAGTCAGGCGAGAAGGAGAGAGAGACCAAAGTGCAGCACAATTGGCAAGTCGTGGGAGCTCTAGCGGGCAAGCAGTCGAGGAGAAACCGCCACCAATCCCATCGGTTGCCAGCACTCGTTTATCCTCTCTAAATGATCCTGACGCTGTCCACTCGAAAAGTGGCGTCAACGCTCATGGCACTGATGATAAGCAAGGTTCCGCTGGTCCGGATGGCCCTATCAGAGCAAGTCTGGAAGGTTGCCAGAGCAAAAAGTCTCTGAATGACAGTGTGGAAGTTTCGACAGCGGCAGAGAAAGCGAGCGGAGGCCCTTCTGCTGGAAAAGCAGCTGTGTCTTCTGTGGACGAGATCAGGGCGGCATCTGAGCGCAGTCTTTCGGAGCCACTTGTCAGAGCGCTTTTGACCAAAGGGCTGGAGGCACAGGAGGCACAGAACTACAGGCAGGCCACCAAGTTCTTTGAGGATGTGCTGCAGGTGAGGGCGTCCAGTTGTCTATGCGCACTGCCTGAAGAAAAGTCTGACAAGCTGTTTGAGGTGTTTTGGACATAGAGAATGGGACTCTCACATTGAGGATCAGCCTCCCTCTAAGGAGCAGTCATATTTCTCTTCCTGCGGATTGCAAGTGTCATTCTGTAGTTGAGGGCAGACACTGAAAAGCGATCATTAGTGGCTGATTACCCCCTAGATCATGACCACACACATCAGTTGTCAGTCACGGTCTACTCAGGATAACCAGAATCTAAAAACAATGTTGCTCGAATCTTGCCGTGGCAGTTTGTTCCCAAGCAGCAGATCTGCCTCCGAGCACTTGCCTCCATGGCACTGGCAGCCAGCAAGTTTCAGCGCGCAAAGAGATGGCTTACAGAGGCTCTGGAGATTTATCCAGCGGATGCAGGTCAGTAAGGCCTGCTCTTGAATCAGAAGGGATGCTTATACTCTCCTTCAAAGACAAGCTTTCTCTGGGGCCACGAGAGGCTTTTCCCCAGGTGTTGCCAGGTTTCGGTATGGGCCCTGCGGTGTGTCTGGAAAATCTTAGAGCTTCTGGGTATCCTTTCCATAATCTGCAGGAACCAAGTCGATTCGCTTGCGGAAGCGACTGTAGCCTACCAAAATCAGCTGCTTCTGGACTATCCTGTCTCTTGGATTCAGGAATTGCAATCAGCATTATGAAAGGAAACTGACTGCATCTGTGAAAGTCTGCTTTCCGCTTACGTCCGCTGTCTGTTGTCTTCGTTCGGCCCTGCCGTTCATGGCATACTCAGCTGGGAGACGAGATTGGCTTCGTTTCGACTATTCTTCATGCGATCGTTTTTTTCAGAAAAAGCCCCTTCAATCATTAAACCGTGTCTAAAGTTGTTTTTGCTGCATTCAGGATTCCGTACACGTTTGGGAGACGCTTTCCTCGGCATAAGCGATTACGAATCAGCTGTCAGAGAATACGCCATAGCGCTCGAGATCCTGGAAAGACGCCCCCCCGCCCAAAAAGAACCCTCCATAACCCTGAGAACCAGCGTCCCGAGCTCTTATCCCGGCAGCAACTACCAGATGGGGATTCCCTACTACCTGCTGAACAAAAGGCGAGAGCGAAGGGAGAATGCAGGCGATCTGACGGTGCCACATGCGGGGGATCTGAGGGGGGGTGTGACGGAAAACGAGGTGCGGTGCAGTATGGTGCGAGCGCTGTACGCGGCGGGGGCGAAGGAGGCGGCGGTTAACCTCGTGACGAAGACTCTGGGGGTGAGTCGTTTGCTGGTTCTGGTTTTCTGATGTTCCCAATTGAAAGCGTGCTGATGGAGGCTTTCAGTGACGCGGTCAAGAACGGACGTTCTTTTCGGTCAGGCCCCTAGAATCAAGAGTTGCTTTTGCTTCTTATGTGATCAACGCTTGTTAGATCCGGAACACTTATTCCAAAAGAAAGAAGACATATTGCGACTCCACCCGCCCTGAAGGTCGTCGGATATCTACGATTCCCAGGAATAATGAAAACCCTGGTTGTACTCGCTCATGACGGGGCAAAGAGGACAACTCCGGGATGCTGTTTGAGTACTCCTTCATTGCAGCTTTCAGTTCACACGTACGAACTTGCAATGTGCGCGCTTTATTGGAAATGGTAAAGACGAGACTTTACTGTGGTTCGACAGGGCAAGGAGGACAACTTTGGATGCTATTCGAGTACTCCCTCATCGCGGCGGACAACCACATGCACGAGGAGGCAATATGCGCATTGATCAACGAATTTATGTAGACAGATCGCTTCTTGAGTACGCGCAATGTTGTGACAGAGCAAAGAGGACAATTTCGGGATGGTGTTCGAGTACTCGCTGATTGCGGCCGACAACCAGATGCACGAGGACGCAATCCGGGCGTTGTCAAATAAATCCTGCAGACACCTCATTGCTTGAGTACAGCCAAGCTGACCTTGAGAAACTTCGAACTGTTCGCAGGGCAAGGAGGACAACTGTGGGATGCTGTTCGGGTACTTGCCCATCTTGGACGATATCCACATACACAGCGATCAGCGTTTTCCAACACAGAGTGGAGACACGTCATTTCGAGAGTAAAGGCAAGCTGATCTTGAGAGACTCCGCACTGTCTTTCACAGGGCAAGGAGGACAACTTTGGGATGCTGTTCGAGTACTCCCTGATTGCGGCAGACAACCACATGCACGAGGACGCGATGCGCGCGCTACTGAAGCTGCTGGTGGTGCGTCAGGACCACCGGGGGGTGCGGGAACGGCTCGCCGCTCTAGTTCGTCGCCCGGGGGGCTTCGAGATGCTCCAGAAGGAGACGGGGGGGGCGAACTCGGAGCCGGCAGCGCAGGTGAGTGGGGATTATGGACGAACAGTTCAGAAGAAACTGAAGTTTTGGATAAGCTCATTGGTGCAAAATGTTTCCGTTTTCCTAGCTTCACTCACGAGCGGCTTGATGCAGAGATTCGGTTGTAGCTACCGCTTTCTTCTTCCAGGGTCTGTGCGCAATTCGTATTCGCTATCAACCCTTGGCTGTCCCGCTTCGAGAAGAAAAGAGGCTGTGAGGATTGCTTGTTGTCATTTGGCTTCGACTTTTGTGCAGAGTTTCCCTTCTCGGGTTACTTTTTACACCTTGACGGCGTCATTGGTTTGCTCCGTCTTCGTAACAACCTGTTGCAAAAGCTTCCTTATGAGCAAGGGCTCAAAAGAGCGTTTATCGTACCGTAGGAAACGCAATCCGGCGGTTGATATCATCAGAACCTACTCGGGCGTCTATTTCCTCGGCTCGCCACTTGATTTAGCTGGGTCCGCTTCTAAGCGTCAAACGTGAGATTCTGAAATTTGTCAGCACTCCCAAAGCCTAGTCGCAACTCTTTACGTTCTACTTCAACCGTTCGTATCAAGTTCGCCTCTTTTCTTTGTCGACTTCCGTCCTTGAGGATGACTTTCTGATAGCGGCTTGCAGCCTCCATGTCTCGTACCGTTCTCGATCTCCTATGCCCAATCCCCATCTTCTATGCTGAGGACCATCTCCTGAGGGAGCGTACTCAGGGACTACGGTCTCATTTTCGAAGCGGCCCCGGCTGTGTCACATGTTCGATAGTCGATGCTTACGGACGCATTCCGTATTTTGACAACCATCTCGTATGCAGGCGTTTATGGCGGGCGTACTCAAGGCCTACGGCCTGGTCCGCGCGGTGGCCACGGCTGTGTCACATTTCATACCCAATTTCATAAGCTATGCTTACTGTCGCATCTCTTATGCAGGCGTTCATGGCAGGCAAACTCAAGGACAACGGCCTGCTCCACGAGGCGGCCCCGCTTTAGCCGCGGACGGGCCGAGTCATCTATCTGATACTGACGCCCATATTCTATGATCACAATCTAATCCCGTATGCTGACAACCATCTCGTATGCAGGCGTTCATGGCGGGCGTACTCAAAGACTACGGCCTGCTGCGCGAAGCAGCGACGTTGTACGGACGTGCGGCCACGCTCGCGCCGCGGTCCGTTTCGTACGCCCTCAACTGGCTCCACGCGCTCGAGCTGTGCAAGGAGCCCGTCAAAGCGCTCGAGGTAGGCGGTCCGATACTTGGGCCTCCACTTTCTCGGGGTTTCGGAGAAGAAGATTGCGAATCAGATGACTTTCTAGGAAGACCGCGGATGGGGAATTGAAGCTGAAGCGGGACAGGCAACACGATCCGGGAAGTCCACTCTTGCGGGTTCCAGAACTACGTGCATGAAGTCGGCTATTCAAATGTTCTCGGATGTGATAGTTGGTCGGATTGAGGCTGGGGGCACCGACTCTCGTTTGTCAGGGAGATTTGATTGTGCAGTGACTTTGAAGAGAAAGCAGGGCTGACTGTGCGGCTTACGAGTTAGTGGGCTGTTGGGCAAAGACTTAAATAGAGGCGGTCCAACGGGCTTGAATAGAAGCTTTCCGCAAGATACTATGGGCGGACGCACAAACGAATCAAAATGAAAGCGGCCGAAAGTAGTCATTAACAGATGGATTGCACATAACGTGATCGCTTTTCGGTGGACCCTCAAAAGTCGCAAACTGGTAGCATGCGCCTCGCAAACGTTGACGGGTTGTTCTTTTCATCCGCTGGTTCCTGATACCGGCTGCGAACAATACTTATTATCCTCACTTCTCGTTTGAGTCGCCCGCAATCGCATCTGCCAAAAAAAGAAATATCTTGAAACTTTGACCCTTCACAAGATGCCAGTCCGCTTTTCGTTCCACCTTCGCAAATGATTGCCTTTCCATTCCATTTCCGTTCAGGTCGCTCGGAAGTTTATCCGCCAGAACGGACATCTCTCCTTCGGACGCGCGCTCTCTCTCAGCGAAGTCTCCGAGTGCCTGCAAGACCTCCCGCTGGATTCGATGGACTTAAAATTGCACCCCGGGTTTACCGTCTTCCGTAACTTCGACGTCGAAGCACACAAAATGGCACCATCCGTCCCTTCGAAGGCTCCGCTGGAAAGCACTGGCACGCAAGAAACGTCCGAAAGTTCGAACACAGGTGCGACGGAAGAAGGGGTAACAGACGCATTGAAAGCAAACGGGTCAGGCGCGGGGGAGACCGACATCGATGTGGAAGAGATTGTGTCGCCTGGAGTGGCCCGCGTCCGATTAGCCGCAGAAAAGAGTGACGCAAACGGCTCCTCAGCTCAAGCCAACGGCAATTCCTCGCAAAACGGCGCCACACCTGCCCACGAAGCGGAACCTCTAGCGGGTTCGTCGGCCCCAGCAAAGATCGCCTACGGCTCGGAACAGCTAGACGTCCTGGCGGTCCTGTTCACTGTCGTCAAGATCCTGTACCTAGGCGGAGCGGTCGAGAGAGCGCGACAGCTGGCAGAAAAAGTGGAAAAGGCGCGCGCGCTTTCCGAGAAGGCGCTCCACGAGACGATGGTCCGCAACGAGGCGGCGTACTTCGGGTGCATCTACCAGGTGTTCACGGAGTACCCGTTATCGCGGCCATTACCGCCCGCTGACAGGTACGCGCTCGGCTACGCCGGACGTAGAGACTCAAAAGTTGTACGCTTCGTTGGTACAACTTGCCTAGGCGCAAGCTTTTGTTTTCTGACCAGTAAGCAGTCGTTCACGTAAGGGAATAGCAGATTGTACAAGTGGTGGAACCTCAGGTGTGGGGGTCCAGACATGAAAACTGGAGTCCAGGTTCTTCTTCCATACGTTCTGACATCTTTGTAAAATGAATGAAAATCGACGGCCCCAATGCCACACAGCCAAATCAGCAAAACGTATCCTGTCTTCAACTGACAACTTACCGCTTTTCCGGCCTGTTCGAAAGGTAAGTAGACTTAGAAGGGCGGCCCCTGCCTTTCAAATCGGGCTCTTCCAGGGGGCTGACTCTTACATCACACCTGCTGCTGCAGCTTCCCCCCCCTTTACCTGGTCGGCGACAGCCACTGCCTGACCCCCGCGTGGCGGACCGTCGAGCTGCGCGGCGCCCCTCGCCTGCTGGCGCCGCTCCTGGTGACGGGGCTCAAGTGTTGGCACCTGCGGGACGAGAGCGTCTTCTACCCCAAGGTGAATCCAGTTGCTCTTTCCTTTCTAGCTAACCAACCTACTGCACTCTCGCGTCAGGCGCTGTACTTTTCCCCTAGAGTGTGATCAAGGCTTTTCCTTGGGCAATCCAACCGATCGCATTTGTGGTCACCGGATAACTGGTACTCAAGTGTTGGCACCTGCGGGACGAGAGCGTCTTCTACCCCAAGGTGAGCAAAGGGCTTTCTTCTCGGGCTATCCAAGCTACTGCTTCCGTGGGTCAGGCGCAGGACTTTGGCCCTAAGGCAACCTAGAGCTTTTTCACTTGGGTACTCCAGCCAAGTGCTTTCATGGCAACTTTAGGAAGGAATCTGTTCTTATGGGTTTTCAATGGAGTACTTTTCTGGGTTAGCAACTGGGGAAGATAACGTGCTGGCACCTGCGGAACAGGAGCGTCTTCTACACAGAAGTGGGACTTCCTCTCGCCTGTTAATTTCACGTTCCTTGTTTACAGCCGGATTGTACAAGTGTCCTGTGTAACGCCCCTGTGTCTGTCTCTGCGACTTTCGGGTCAATGCTTTGCAAACCGGCCGCCAATTTCGCGGGATTTGAATACCGTCTCTGCAATCATTTCGCAAACCCCTGCGCACAACTCTTGAGAACCCCTAGCCCATCCTCAGCAAACCCTCTACAACCGCTCTGCTTCTGCTCTCTGCAGATCCAGTTTGAAAACGTTATTGCGAGCATCCCGCAGAACGCCCACGTGATAATGATGTTTGGGGAGATTGACTGCCGGGAAGGGATCGTGGTCTCGGTCGACAAAGGCCGCTACAAGGACCTGGAAGAAGGGGTGACCGCCACGGTTAACATCTACGTCAAGGTAACGCGTCGCGCCAGCCGTCCTTTGATTCCCTTCTTGTTTTGCTTACTGTTTGCTCCAGGTTTAAGACCAGAGGCTGGTTAAAGGACACAGGCCAAGGGGCTCAAATCAAAGGCCCGGCGAAATCCCAGGGTCGAAAAGCCGAACTCCCTGGCCTCACCGACTGATCACCGTTCTTATCCGTCCTCATTTGGTCGTGGCTCCGTCTTGTTCCGTGCTGGTTTCCTGGACCCATTTTCTGCCCCCTCCAATCCAGCCCGTTCCTAATCTTGGCCACCCCCTCGGGGCTGGTCAGTTGCCCGTCTAAGCTCGGGAGCGATTCCCCAGCACGTGGATGCTACGGACGGTAAAGACGCCCCGTCTGTCACTGGAAGATTGGGCGCCGTAGGGCAGCTATTGCTGATGCGTACACCATGTGCACGCACAGGTCCTCCGCAGGCTGGTGCGCGAGCGGGGCTTCGAGATCTTCGTGCACCCGCCGCCGGCGGTTCTGGACGAGACCAGGTGACGAGATTCGCCTTCTCTAGTTTCAGACAGATAATAGAGCATAATGCGCTTTTTGCAGAGGCCTAGCCAGGACCATCGAAATGAACGGAGCAGTTTGCGATCCTACAACATGCCGTGCCAAATCGAATCCTCAGATTGCGGATCAGGCAAAAGTCTCGGTGATAAGTTCTCAGATTGTGTCGCAGTACCTGATGCTCAGTCACAGGTGGCAAGGAAATCGAAACGATTTGAGTGATTTGTAAGATGCAGCGCCGTCTTTCTGGAAAGCATTGGAGAAAAAGTCGCTTCGGTTCCTCAATCTCTTGCAGATGGTTAGAACTGTGGTTCGCAGCGTTCTATCGTATCACTCGTCTTTTGGTATGCGTAACTGTCTTGTGCCTTATAGACGACGGTCTCTGCAGACTCGATCCATGCCTCTTGAATCTACCGCCTTTGCGAAACCTGCTGCTCGATGCCTTCTGTTCTTTGCGCTTGCCAGGAACATCGTCAGCTTGTTTTCGCGGGTTCTCAAGCGGAAAGTATTGGCTGCGTCCCGGGCAATTGAGGATGGCAAAAGCAGCAGCACGCAGGATAGACCATCCGGCGCTTTGCACTGGCTCGACTTCTTTGATGACTATCTCGACAGTCAAGGCCGATTGAAGGAGCGATACAAATTGGACGGAACCCACATGAGTCCGCTGTATGTCGAGCTTCTGGACCGCGAGCTTAAAAAGGTACCAACATGAGAGCAGGAGCAAGCTCGTGACAATAGGAGCAGTACAGGGCGAACAGAAAGTACTTTGAGGTCAATGGTATGAAGAGATACGAGGACACTGCAGCCCCAGCCTGGACGGCCGCTCTTCTGAACATGTCGCTCAGGTCTGAATCTTGACGGCTTCGCGCGTTCAATACATCATATTTGATAACATGATAGGTGCGTCTGTTCGTCAACTCGTAGCACAATTCTTAATCGTTTGTTAGCCAGGCTTCTGGTAGAGCGGGCTGAACCCTTAAGAAGGGCCGGCCCATGGGCACCGGATCATTGATACAGTATACTGTAGAGGCAAACCGCCCGATCCGCATTGGTCCATGCCATCTTTGCAGCTTGCATGAGGCGCATATGTGTGCTGTCATGCTGGCAGTGACTCATGACTATACAAGCTCGTGCGAACATGGACCATGTGCGTCTTGCCTCCTATCAAAACGTCTTCTACAGCTACGCTTCATGTGCAACTGCATAACACGTTTGCGTCGGTGGGCCGAGAATGTTGGTGCACATTGTCATTGTTGCATGCTACGCGTTGAGACATGTCCATTACAATATGTGGCTCAGCATGTGGTCAGCGCTAGGAACCTGACTGCTCGTATGTACCAGAAACACATTGCAATATACCTTGGCCGGCATTCTCGTGCAGGCCTTTACCCGCTGCAGTGCAACTTGCAGCATAAATAGACGAGGCAACGACTGCCCTCACCTTACTCGGAAATCAATAATGCAGATTGAAAAATCTGAAACAAGTCTTTACTTCTGTCCGCAGTCAAGTTGCTCATATGGTGTGGGAACGGCCAGCTGGACCTTCCCAGCGACTTCAACTCCCAACCCAAAACAGCTTGCCTCAACCTTTCAAGCGAACTGGTCGGTAGTGACCATGCAACTGCAGGGAGCCATGGGGCAGTGCAAGCGCTAGTGCAACATCCTAGACAAGGCTTCCGGACCTAAAATCTGTGATGATGCTTCTCCTTCTCAATGTAGTCGTTTGCATACCTGCAGGATACAGCAGACTAAATGTCATCGGCTTCAATTCTGCACGTAGCTTTTCTCATCTGTGGAAAAAGCAGATATCAGAAATGGGGGGAATGTTTGCTGGTCAATCAATGCAGGACCGATATTTACAAGATTGGTCTGCCTGGTTCTTTACTGCCAGAGAAGTGCAGCGTATGCAGACTGTTCTGTTCAATCAACCGCATCCTAAAAACCACAGCAAAATTCTGATTAGGGGGTTCATTCGACAAGCATTGCACCACGTGCTTGATTCTTCCAACAGTGTATCATGCAGAATACCAGAGGACGATCACCTGCCATGCACTCAGAACCATTCAAGACCTCTTTCCAGATGCCAACATTCCCTCCTGAGCATACCAGAATCTAGTGCGAATATGGTCCAGCGGTGGAGACAGCTTCCGCAACAATCTTCTGCCAACCTCAGTGGTAAGGTATGCAGGTGATCTTCTAGAAAATTGCAGTTCCAAAGTTCCCATAGAAAGGCATAATAAGCCACACGCCTGATCCACTGCATCAGAGAGCTGCCCTTACTCAGGGCCTGCATACATATTTTTGCAGCAAAGGCAACGATCCGGCGATTGAGGGTTTGTGAGAAGCAACAGCTCGTTGCCTCCATCAGATTCCATCTGCACTATTGACAATCTTGAATAATTTTTGGAAGAAAGCTGAAGTGAGCGGCCTGAAAGAGCATTAGGGTTGTCTCACAGCACATCAGGATAAAAACCTGGTGAATCAAAGCTGTAGCACTTACCAAACTGTTCCAACGACGGGTGCAACAAAGCAAACGATGTCAGTCCAATTCTCTGAGATCTTCTTGTGCAACTTCCCAGGCATGTCGTGAAAGAGGCCGGTCAACGCCCTCTGCTCGTGAGGGGACAGCATGTAGATCACCTCCTTCAAGCGGACCGGAGTCTTCCCCATCTTTGCCCCTGTGGGAAGGTCCTCTAGTGCTCACCGCTCAGAGTCAGAACGTCGCAAGCTAGCGCTCCCCTTTTCCTGCACTGGCAGGTTTTCTGCACTTCAAGTTTCTGCCTGAAGCTTTGAAGCCTTCGGTCTCCGAGTCCGAGTCCGAGTCCGAGTCTCTGACTCTCCGTCTGAGTCTTCCTGGGTCTTCAAGAGGTTGGACCGAGGCCCCGGGCCCCAGAGGGCGACCAAAGGATGCCGGTTGTAGTGTGGGCCCTGCCGGTTCTAGATTCTCCACACTCTCTGTCTAAAGTTTTCCCACTGCCGCAGGCACGGCCCAAGGAGGAAGCGAGGCGTCTGGTCGCCACCATTCGTTAGAAACTTCTTCGGCACGAGGCGGCTCGAGCCTCAGGTCGAAAGAGGGAACGCTAGAGGTTGACAACCGGTTCTTTCCAAAAACCCTATCCGAAATATGCGCTTGATGTCCTGTGTATGGGTTGGGCGGGGTGACGATGTTTTGAGAGCAAGCTAGGCAAGCGTTTGCCACTGCCATTGGTGCCAGGAAAGATCTGGGGGGTTTCATTTTCTCTGCCAATTCTGGAAAGGCGTGCTGCGTGCAGAGGCGTTGATGCATGGCCCCTGGGAGGCCTGCTTCTTATCCTTCTTTAGGTTTTTCAAAATAGGAGTAGCTTGGCGGACGGTCGTCTCTGTTCACTTGGCCATGAAAGCTGACACTCTGCTTGTTTTAAGTTAGTGGATCTGAGAACGTCCTGGCATTGGAAAGATTGGTCCAATCTGTTTTCGATTGGACAGGCACGTGATTCGTGAACCCAATTTCGATGCATGCAAGCTGCGGCTACTGAGTTCAGCTTAAGCTTCAGCACGCTATTGGCATTGATAAGCTAGAGATCTGCTGGCAACATGACAGCCAAGATGCTCCTTCAGGGGTTCCGGGGTGGTGCATCTCTTGCTCAAGGTTTCAGTCTAGGAAGCTTCAAACTGCAAGTTTATGGCTCTTGGCTCGAGGGGATTGCACTCCAGTCTGTGCAGACACCTCGAAACTTGGCCTCCGTAGCAAGCACCGGAAGAGGCCTCAAGGAGCTTGCTTCCTTTGGTTCAAGTCAGAGTGCAAAGCAGTTCTTTGCTGCCTCCGCGACCCCCTCCATTGCACGGTTCGCTGGCTCTCATGGAACATCTTCAGCAAGCAGCTCAAGCCTAGCAACCTCCCTCTGGGGAAAGCCAACAAACCGAAACGTTTCGCTTATCAGCAGGCATTTGCGTCCATTCAACCAACAAGCAACGCTCGCACAGAAGGCCATCACTACTCAGCAAGCCACTCATGGCAAAAGACTAGCTTTCTCTGCAGCTGAGATCAGATCTATCGTGGGGAAAGCGTTTTCGCAGCAGACATCAAGCAGGTTTTTCAGTGGGGCCACAAGGATTGCGAAGGAACTTGGGGGTGAAGCAAGCGGTGGAACAGCTGCGAAAGCGAATGAGACCAGCTATCCTGGAAAGCGCTTTATTGAGTGGTACCTGCAAACGATCGAGGAGAAACCGCTGCTGGTAAAGAGTCTGACTGCGGGAGCGATCTTTGTGGCGTCAGATCTCTGCGCTCAGGCTTTAGGAGGTGGGTCTTCGCAACCTTGCTGAAGTCTATGGAAACTCCTCAATATGCGTCACAATGTATCGACACTCTCGCGCTAGGTCCTGAGACTTCAGTATACCGTGCGCACGTGGCACTTTGGATGATGGACAGTCAAGTGTCTTGGGAAAGTACTGTGGAAGCATTTCTAGCTGAAGCACTGGAGGAAAGAAGTGATGCCACAGTTTGCAGCAATCTCTTGGACGTGCTCCTTTCGCAGAAGCAGTTGGAACTCCCCGTCACGGTCCAGCTATTAATTCTGACCTTTTAGCTTTCTGTCGCAGGCTGGGAAGGGGGATACGACTTTCCGCGCTCGCTCCGTATGGCTGCCTTTGGCCTTTTCATGTCGGGGCCCCTTCTTCATTTCTGGTTTGGCTTGATGACCAGGATGTATCCTGGGCGGGACTTGATCAGCGTGTGTAAGAAGATCTTCATCGGACAGACAACTGTAGGACCGCTCTTCACCGCCATATTCTACTCATTGAATGCTGCCTTGCAAGGTGAGGGACAACCGACATAGACCCGTAGATCTAGGGACTGTTCTGTTGCACGTCTTCAATACTTCACTACTTTCGCTGCTTACTGAGGCTCATTCTGTCCCAAGCTCACCTGGGTTTTCTAAAGACAATCTTGATTTGATACCTTCCGTTCCAGCCAGCAGACAGTGGTCCACGGCTTCAAAGCAGCTCGTTGAAGTTTCACTCGACTCCCTTGTTTAATGCCTGTAAGAGATTCCCAATCGTCTTTTCTTTCTGCGACCCTCTCTAAACGGTCCCTTCCGATCTCACAGGAGAAAATGCGGATGCTATTTGGGCCAGGTTGAAGCGCGACTTGATACCTACTTTGAAGGCTGGGCTGACTTACTGGCCGCTGATCGACCTCTTCACTTATTCACGAGTACCAGTACATTTGATGGTGAGCTCAATTTCGTAAAACCTCTTAGTAGAGAGGTTTGATGTAGCTCGCTGCTTGTCGCTTTGGTTCATTCGCTTTACTCCTTCTCGTTCCCAGGGGTGTCGTTCGATCAGTGACGCGTTTGGTTGGACGACGTACTCGTACGAATTGTTGACACACCAATCAAGCTCGGCTTGTCCCGCTTCCTCGCTTTTGGGTTTTTGTCGTCACCTTATGCTGGAATTGCTTTGATTTTGCAGCCTCTGACCAACAACACTGCGTCCTTCTTGTGGACAATCTACATAACATACATTGCGGGGCAAGGAGGGGCGGGTGACGACAATTAGGAGTAGTCATGGCAGCTGCCAGGAGGATTTTCGGAGAGACTTGATACGCGACCGACACATCCAGTTCGTTTCTGAGCAATACATTGTGCAACCGGGGTATATAGAGCTTTATCGGAGCTGCTCATCAGCTATAGATTGGCCATGCTTGTCGAGAACAGATGGGAAGTCGGTTTATCGTGCCAAGCATGCCTGACTTCAGGTGCAGAAGGGAACATGGATCGCTGTTTGTTTACAGAATGCCATAAGCTGATGTCAGCCAAGAGCTAGCCAATACTGGCATGCGATTTCCGCAAACGGTAGCAAAATCTAAACTTCGGCACTCTAAATCGTTTAGTATACTTTAAATCAAGGTCCTGAGTGGCACTGCGATGGATAGTCACTCCCAGGCCTCGCCGGCATGCCGTCGGACGACCTGCGTATCCAATCGTATCCCAACTGCCACTCAGGACGGACTCACGGTGGCCTGCTGTCCCAGGCCGCCAGCCTGCACCGCACAGGCTTCATTGCACATGATCGCAAGCAGACGCCACAGCCTGCTGCCCGCGTGCATGCGTGAACGCGGTATAGTTATGCACCGTTGAGCGATTCCTTGATCCGGCCATGGCTCGAAAGCTTGGCGCAGCTGGCGCCTAGGTATGCACAGAAAGAACTTGGTTGCCGTAACACCTGAAGGTGAAGACGTAAGCATGAAGACCATGTGACGCTCATGTGACACCGTAAAACGTACGCCAATTCATCTCGTTCAAAATTGGGTTGCTCATGAACATAATCGAAGTCACTGACACGAAGTTCCTTAAACGAGCTCATTCAGTGCGCCTACGAAATTGCCGCCGCCCATGACCGCACCATCATATCCAATTTTCTGACGCAGAAAACGACGCCCCGTGAAATCAAATTGTCAATCGATCTGCCTGGCTAATCAGGTTACTCTCTTCTCAGTTCTGCGCTGCCCGCGCGCCTACGTCTTAATGAATGCCAGCCTGCAGAACCCTATGTCGAATCTCGTCTCATACGGAAAAGCTTCTACCGCACGATCGAGCCGAGACAGATCCAGAATGGGCCTCACGACAGCCTCCTGGGGAAGCTCTTCTTCGAAGCTGGGCAGGGTCGAATCGGGATCCAGACCGTGCACTTCTCCAGCAGTTTCGCATGCGTGGAACTCCGGGACTGGCTTCCAATCCAAGGACTCGATCAGTCTCAGTATCTCACTGAAGCCGACCCGGTTCAGATTGTTGTCCGAGTAGACGTATTGGACGATCCCATCTATGAGCTGGGGAGTTCCGAAGCCCTTCGTCTTAGAAAGCTGCTCGCGAAGCTGCTCGGGGCTGAAAAGGAGATGACCCCAGGGCGGTATGACCGTTCCGTCGTTCCGGTACGTGCTTGTCGTGTTCAGCCGCTTCGCGCGCCTCTGGACCATGTCTTCGTGCACGTGGTGTCCAAACGGACCTGTCAAAATGAAAGATAGAATGGATTTTGCTGAAAGGTGACGAGATTGTCTCTGCTACCAGATTTTGTGGCGCTTTTTCAAACGTCTTTTCCAGAAGCAATTTAGCCACTTCCTTACGACGTCAGAAGGTGATTTTTTCGTAACTTTATGAACTGCTCATCCACCAGCAAAATGTCGAGCGATGATCCTGACTGAAGTAGCATCGGCCTCTCTACTCGATCGAGAAACTGGTATCGCAACAAGCATGTATCCTGCAAGCTGATTGGAATCCAGATTCACAGCCTTTTGAAAAGGAGAACCTACCTGTCCAGATCGGGCCCCAGCTGAAGTAAGCAATGCCTTTCTGCTTTAGGACTCGGTGGCTTTCCCGCAGGAAAAGATCCACAGGCTGAGCATGCTCGAGAACGTTGTCCGAAAACACAACGTCGAAAGAGTTATCTTGGAATGGAAGAGGGCCACAGTCGGTGCTGATGAAGATTGCGTTCTCTGCTGAGTACTTAAGGTTCTCGGGCACGTCCTTGTTCTCGAACCCACAGTTGACCCCTATATAAGTACCAACGTACTGGCTGAGATACTGGCCTACGGCTCCAGTTACATCACAACCGTTCTCAAGCAGTGTGAGACTTGTGATGCTGTCAACGTTTCTTGTATGCAACAGGAGTTTCAGAAGGCCTTCAACTCCTTTCTTTTGGTAATCTGGAAGAAAGGAAGCTGGCACATGCTTTGGAGCTTCGACTTTCTTGGATGTGGCTTGAGATGCTGCAGCTGCTTGAGTGTCGCTACTGACTAAGGCTTTCATCGGAACATTGGGTTTGAGCTGTTGCAAAGTGAGCCTGAGCGAAGCTTTGTCCACCTCCTGAATGTAAGCTTCTGTGGTTCCAAGCCATCCGCTGCGAAGGACTTTTCCTATGCTAAGATCTGGTATCAATGGAGCCGCAAGCGCGTGCCGTCTTCTGGCTACTTTCTCTGCAATTGACACGAATTGACTGCTCTTGATGGTTGGAGAGGGTATGATGGTTATTTCTGTAGCATATTCCATCTCTTTCGTTTCCAACGGCACGACGGAGGACAGAAATCCGTAAACACCAGCCAGAACTGGTTGGCTAGTCATCCGTATGTGAAACTCTTTGCAGGTCTTTCCCTCCTTATCTTCAAAGAGCAGGTTGTCTGAGGTTCCATTCAGTTGACCAATTTTCTGACGAATCTGCACATGGTCCAGAATCGAAGTCCGTTTCACAATCTCTGGCTGAAAAGTCCTGAACACTTTCTCCTGAACATCATATAGACAGTGCAGAATGGAGCTTGCAGGGCTCGATACTGTTCTTGAGCATTCAGAATGCATCAGTGTGAACATAATAAGGTGTCAAAGTAAAGGTTCGCAGTCTCTCAACTTCAGAACACAATATTGCATCCGAATCACAGAAGAAGAGACAGCGCATGTTTAAGTCCGAAAGCTAGTTTCTGCGTTCCATCTGCATAAAGCAGAGTGCTTGCTCTCGAACCTAGTTGGAAGACAATTCACCATCATCGAAATTTCCACAGAAAGGTTGACTCACCTCTTCAGCGCGCAACAGAAGCAAAGCGGAGCAAGCAGCAAACAACACCAGCAAGGCAAAAGTCTGGATTGAGAGAAGCTCTTTGTTTCTTAGTTTGTCCATCTCTTCGATGCTCTGTAGGTACAGGTTGGCTCTGGGACTCGTCACGTAGTTGGTCCCAACGCCGACACAGTCCGGTGTCAATCACAGAGCTTTGCTCTCAGATTTCCTTGACTTCATGTTTGATTGTCAGGTACACAAGATTGATCGGCGGATCATTCGCTTGCTCGCCTTTCCAAGAGGTGCCAAGGAGGAATGGCCTCACAATCCTGACTCAATCGGCTGGAGGACTTCAAAGCGCTAGGTTTTGGTGTTGCTGGTATACCGTCCAGTAGCCGTCCAGGCTTGAAGACAATTGACCCTTGTTGAAGTGGAAAGGACCATTGCATCCGTTCACCTTGCATGCGCAAATTACAGCAGAGCTGTACTTTGCCTGTGTGCTGCAGGGATACGGACGCTGATACTTGTATGCTACTGGTTGAAGGCGCACAGCTGTCGACATCATAATAGATCTGCAGAGGAGCAGAAGCAGAAAAGTTGGATCGTCAAGCTGGTGATCAACGGCTGCAATGTAGCCGAGTAGCAGAGCTGCGCAGCTAGCCGGCAGCTTCGCCTCTAGACAAGGTCTCTTCCGAGGATCTGGATCTTGCAGTAGTGCTCTTTCCGACCAAGCGTACCATCGAAGCTAATTTCCAGCCATTTAGTCCTTCTGCGATTCGACAGCTGCACCAGTGCTGAGCTTGAATCTTTGGCAAATGCACCTCCGGGTCAGACCTGGATTGACATTCGGTGTCGTTTATGTGGCATCCTCGAAACAGGACAGCTAGCTTCCTAATTTTGTTGACTTAAGACTCTTATCATGATCGCAACGAATTTCTTCAATCTTTGTTGGCTTTGCAGGTCTCGAACGTGCTCAAGATGGATTACCCCTGAGTCTTAAAAGTTTGAGTGACCATCACGGGCGGGAAATTGAGACAACTCTCAAGAAAGATAATAGTAGGCCAAGATAATAGTAAGCTCCGACTAACACTAAAAACCCTAACCTTAATATAAAACACCCGCTCCGCACTCGTACCCACCCTAACCACCATACTAACCCTACCCGTCACAGTGCGGTTACCTTACTATTATCTGGGCTTACTATTATTTTTCTTGAGTTTCATGAAATTGAGAGTGAACCGCGATTGACAACATGAGTGCATCGGGGAGTGCATGCAACTAGCTGCGCCGGGGTATCCTCAACTCAATTATGCTCTTGCATGATTAAAAGCTAGTTGACTGCAGTCTGCAGGTTTGCGGATGTATGCATATACGATCGATTTCGTGTAGGTTCGATCGAGCTTGTTTGACATCAAGAAAGGCATCAGACAATATATATATATTCACAGGGTCTCCGACCCGTTTCCAATGGTGCTATGTACATGTATGAGCTAGTACACACAGCGCTCAGACTCACTCATTAAAGGTGACAGTGGAACGGTGAAATCATACTGCAAGCTATTGTTCCATTGCAATTACTGAAGGAGTTCACTCGGTTCACTCAGGCCCGCTATGCTCATCATGTGCCGATGTGATAGGGCTTCAGAACCTGTACTAAACTCACAGTACAACTTTTAGATGGCGTTTGAGCTAGGCAGAACCGCAAGCATAAGGTGGTGTCAGAATCCAATTGCACGAATAACGCCCAAAACCGCTGCTGAACTTGGGACCTGAGAAAGTCCGACTGAGCCGCAACCAAAATGCAAAATCGATCTTAGAATCTACTACCAGATAGAATTCTGAAAGTCGTCATCGGGCATCGACGGCCACTTCAGGACCGCTGAATTTACATCTTCTTTCCGCTTCTCTTTATCTTTGGAGAACCAGTCTACAACACGGCCAGCATTTAGCTCCTCAATGGGAACCCCCTCTTGTTTCGAGATGACCCTCAACAGGTTGAGGGATGATATCTGCAACGATAGAAGGATCTGAGTAACATTCATGAACACTGGGCTAAGTCCACTGGAGTTAAATTCAAACAGAGGGCACTGCACACAAGTCCCAGATGATGAAACATCTATTTCGCTTTTCAAGGTCGACCAAATGCACATTGCATCTTCAGCTGTGCTAGAATAGAACAATCACTCATTGGCAATTGCACCCTTCGTATGCGGATTTGGATGTGAGGCAACTCACCGTAAGTCGCGCCAAGAAGCGCTCATGCATATCTAGGTTAGTTGCGAACTCCACAAGCCCTGCCTCCTCGTATGACAAAAAAGAATCCGGACTAGCAGCCTGTGGTATATCTTGCGCCTCTACGTTCTCTGCTTCCGAATCAGCCGCTGCTCGCAGAACGCTTCCTGTCATCAAGCACAATATTCAATGGATTATTGAATTGGTCTCTTGCCGTCCACCCATATCCCCAACACCACTAAGCTCTTGACAACCCGTTAGGAGGTGGAATTGCTGGCCATCAACTTCAGGGAAGACAAACTGCCACAATAAGCGATGGTGATCCAGAGAGATCTGCTATATGTAGGTGCTTTGATGGTGGGCGTCCACCAATTAAGTACAATAAAATTGCTGGTGGTATGGAGAATGGAGATCTACAGAGTGTTCAGATACTTATGTTTCTTTCCAAGAAACATCAGATTGTCTGCGATGAATGTGCTGCTGCTTGAGACACTGGATGGTTGATAGATGCAAGGATGCAAGCTCAGGCACTCCATCAGCACTCCATTTGTTTTCTGAGTGTACCAGGGAAAGCTGTGGGGATGTATCAAGGTGGTGTATTATCCTCAATTGTGCAAGGAAAACAAGCTTGCACAAGTAACCTTACCTCGTAACTTTTGCCTCTCCTTCAAACTCTGCCAGCAAGTGCTCTGAGCAGAAAACCGGCTTTTCAAGCCAGGGCTGCCGCCAATCAGGTGCCACGACCCTCTCTGCTTGTCAGCATTTCCGTTTGCGATGCATGTTAGGCAAGTTCCAGGCAACCTCTCTTCTCTTCCAATTCTCAAAACGCCCTGTACATGCAAAGGGCTCGACCATTTGACGCTTGCGATAGTAGCCATGCTGGCAACAAGGAAGAGGATCTGCGCGCCACCGCTTTGAATCAACTCGTCATAAAAGCTATAGCTGCTCAAGACTACCGTGCAGGGCCCACTGCTGCTGCCCTGCTCAGCTGCCGCTAATCTCTTATACCTATTAAGGGTTAACTCTATCTGTCGCCAAGAGCATTCGATGTGTCGGTTTTATAAACGCTTTATGACGCTTTCTACATATCATCTTCTCCTAACGCGTCGAAATC